GGTTGACTACGACGAGATCCTTGGGGACACGCCGGTCTATACCATGCTCAAGCTACTAGCTCAGCAATTCTTGGCATTTCCTGCATACCTTCTATTCAACGTGTCAGGCCAGAAGACCTACCCCAAATGGTATGCAAAGTCTACGTCCTCGTTGACATGTCAACATTGTCTGACAAGCATGAATGTAGGACCAATCACTTCGATCGTGAGCCTAGTCTCTGAGGCATGCAGGTTGCTATTTACTGACACACGGGCAGCGCGATCAATCTTATTTCTACCTTCTCAGCGGAACGCGGTGATTATGTCAAACATCGGGATAGCCGCCATGTTCTACATAGTCTCCGTGAGCTGTGAACGCTTTGGCACCGCCAACGTACTCAAGTTCTACGGCATTCCTTGGCTTCTGGTCACTCATTGGTTCATCATGATCACCTACGTGCGTTTCGGACATCCCTTTTGGCATTGACTGTTGTCTCAAAGTGCTATCCAGCTTCACCATACGGATCAAAAGCTGCCGCATTATCGCGCCCCGGAATGGACATTCCAGCGGGGCGCTGCTGCGACCATCGATCGCACCTTCTTGGGCTGGCAAGGGCGCTTTTTTCTTCATGATGGTAAGCTTCGCTTGGTGCCTCTGACAACTTCCATTGACATGAGTTCCCTAGTCGCGCACTTTCATGTCATCCACCACTTCTTCCCCAAGTTGCCCTGGTATCACGGTGAGGAGGCAACTCGCTACCTTCGTACCTTCATCGGACATCATTACCGCCAATCTGACGCACCGGTCTTCCCGCAACTGTGGAAGACGTACAATGACTGTCAGTTCGTCGAGGACGAAGGCAATGTGCTGTTTTACCGCGACCGCCACGGGAACTACTCGCGTCGGCCCGCCCGGCCTGCAAAGTCTATCGCCACACAATAGAATGCCTAGAATGCCGACCCGTCGTCGCTTGCATGGGTCCGAGGGCGATCCCGATGATGTTCCCCATCCATACGCGATGAACGCCGTTACGATCTAGAGCCTTGATTTACTCTATCCTTATATGATCACTTAGTGTATCGGAAAATCACCAGCTGTATTCATCTCGCTCACATTCTGTACTTATATTCTGGGTTCGAGAGGAATGTCATATCGGGCTCGAGCCCGCATCAGGATGTACTCTCGCTGGCGTGACGTTCGTAGACTGTGCCTTGTGGGAAGCCCACTCCGACTTCATTTCCCGACGTTAGTCGGAGGTATGAGGGCAGCCCGGTCTGTTCCTGACATAGAAAACACTACACTTCAGCTCGTGCAGATCTTCGCTAATACCAGTCTAATATGACATGGCCACCAGCTTGTACACGGCATGCACGATCATTTGCTGATTAGCTATATCCGTGATCGCCTCGGCACGGTTGCGTATACATGGAGACATCTAGTGCGAGCGTGGTGGAGGCGGTACCGAGCGATAGACTGCGCCGATAGACGCCTGTAATCACGCACCCATGGTGTGACTTGACGCCAGTACCGACTTCACGGGGAATGAGGGCGTCTCACGCCATGCCCTGCACATGTCGCCCGCAAAAGAGGTATATCAAGTAATATCATAGATGAGCTTGATACGGTATTGCCGGCGATGACTACTCGTCCCAGTCCGTAAGCCCTAGTCTCTGACGAAGTGCTGACGACTCCTCTGTGCGAAGCTCCTTGAATGGGATTCCGTGGACAGGGCCCTTGTTCGCCATTGAAGGATGATCTTGGTCGAAGAGTGAAGACGCGAGTTGGGAAAGCATGGACGACTGCGTGGCGAGTGCCGCAAACGATGAAGTCGAGTCGTGATATCTGTTGTAGGACTCTCAATTCCAGATCAAGATGCATTTGAGCGGTATATTAGATGTACGTACAGCCTGAACGCCTCCTTGTTCAAACAGTCGATCTCTTTGATGTCGTCTAATGCATGCTTCTTGAATGAAGCCTTGAGCCAGTGCAAGACATCGTAGACATGATGCTCTTTGGGTCTGAATTACTGTGAGATCCGCACTCAGGATACGCTGCACGCTTCGGTGAACTGACCTCCAGGGTCGAAAGCGCGAGGCGACGTTGAACTCGCCGTCTTGTTGCGCGATGAGAGGATGGAAGACATCGGTGATGAATTGCACATTTGGCGCACGATCCGGGTAGTTGGGAGGGAAGATCACACGGAATTTCAGGATAGAGTCGGTGTAATATCCTGTACAATAGATACGCGTTGATATAGTGCACAGATAATTATGGAAGAAGCTCACTGACCTTGATGCACGAAAAGCACCCCATCCCAGACAAACAGGTTGTCGGCCGCAGGTACGATGTACATCCCTAGCGGACAGTGACCCTCATAACGCAGGTTCGCAAACTCTTGGGCGACTGCTGCACGGGCCACTGGGCTTGCGGTTGCCGAATCGGGCCATGTGGGAGCGGGCGGCAATGTCTGACCCGTGCGGCGCGGGGCCAGCTGGGGCGGTTTTGCATGGTGCGGGGATACGATGTCGAGACTCGGAGGAGGCGCGAGGCTAAAGGCGCCTAACATTCTTCAGGGATCAGATTCAGAACGCAGATGATAGGGTCGGAAGGGAGCGGGCAATTCGCAGGGAAAAGAGATCCGGGCGAGAACGCTCGAGAGGCCAGTGATATCGGAATTGACAGGGCCTAAATACGCCTGGAGCTATTCCTTACAACGGTTGAATGGTGACAGGCGGGGCCAAATGGAGGTCCAGACGTTATATTATCCTAAACAGCAGAGCTGCAGAATCGACGCCTGTATGTTTTCTCTCCAGACGAGGTCGGCGAACACAGGCTTCTCTGCGTCTGAGAACCACGAGATGGTCGGAGACAAGTCGCGCCGCGATTCGGATCCTGACCTAAGCCACTCGCGCGCACGGGGACGGCCGCCACAGGGGATTCCGTGTGCGCCCGATGCCCTGCGTGAGGCCGGAGATGACGCGCAGCGCCAGACATCTCCTCTCGATCTCCGACTTTATAAACTTGGTCTTGCGCCTCGAACTGCCTCAATCACACATTCACCCTCCGTCGCCCTTGTACATTTTACCGCATCATGAAGGTCTACACCACAGAGCAGGAACTCCGCGAGCTTGACATGGCCACCTACAGGGGTGGCCTTGAGGGTGCAGCTGCCGGTCTCGCCATCTCTATTCCCGGCGTTATGGCTGCTTCTCGCTACTCGCCCGCCTTTGCCCGCCTGCCCCTACAAGCCAAGGCGTTCGCTGTCATCCTTTTCACCGGCCCCATCATGGCCATCCGCATCGAGAACCGCATGACACAGTTCGACGAAGAGCACAATTGGTACTTCAGAAACTCCTTTCAACCATGAGTTGATCCCTAATTCCCTTTCAGGACGGGAGCCACGCGGAAGCTGTTGGAGAACCAGCGCGATGCAAAGGAGATCGAGCTCGAGAACCTTCACGGCTGGAAGCGTATGAAGCAATGGGCCATCAACAACCAGTACAAGGTCATTCTCGGTAGTTGGGCTCTGTCCATGAGTGTAGCTTCTGCTATCATCTTCAAGGACAGGTGTGTATCGCCCTTATTCTCGTGATTGCGTATTCTCACCTCTCATAGGCATCAATCTACCTCTCAGAAGGTTGTCCAAGCTCGTATGTGGGCACAGGGTCTCACTGTCGGTATCCTTATCGGCGCTGGTATCCTGACGCACTCTGCTCGTGAGGAGGCGGCGAAGCACCACACAGAGGATCACTCCTGGCGTCAACTGGTGAGCTAATTTGACACCACCCGCATAACCTCAAACTCATCGATACCTCTCTAGCTCGCTGAGCAAGAGCGCGAAAAGGACGCGCTCAAAGTGCGCCAGATGCAGCCTGGTTCATAGGCATCTCATACCCGTAGAACTTGCCTTGGACTTCTATCCTTATCATCACGATCGTACATGCACAGCGCTATCATCACTCGCACATTTCTGTATTCTTAGACTGCTATCCTCCCTCGCCGAGTATCATATGTTAGCAGGTTAATCACATCGTTTTCTGGACATCTATCTATGTATACGACGTAGTAAGACAGTGCCAATCCTATAATCTTCAAACCTCTCAAGGCACTAGTACTTGAACACCTCCGCATGAAAGTTGACAGTCGGCCCGCCCTTGAGTACATCGATGATCTCCTGGACGCTCGATACTGACGATCGGGCTGCATCGACAAGGCTATGCGGTCCAGACACTAGGGCTCCGAATGAGTCGCTAGTTCGAATAGACTTGCCGATGTAGTCAACGTACCTTCAACGGCAACTGGGCCTTGACCGCGCGATATCTCCTCAGAGATGATATGATTCACGTCGGGACGCCCCTTGATGGAATTGAGAATGTCACCCATCTGCGCGAGCGCGGGATTCGCAGGGGATCCCTTGGTCAAGCCTCCTCCAGCTTCGAGGTCTTCGCCGACGGCGAGTTCAGGCAGTGAGCGTTTCTCCTCCATACTTCCGGCGTCACTGGGGGAGTCTGTGACGAAGAGATTGATCTCGAGACTCAAGTCAGACGGACAAGATGACACGGTATCGCGAAGATACGGTGCAATCCAATTCAGATAAGCTATGAGGTCGTCAGAGATCCACCTCCTCAATGACAACGTGACATAATTTCACCTTCAGAGCGTACGGCCCATACAAAGCGAACGCGCTTCGTCCGCGTTTTTCCATCAGCAGAGCGCCTGGCGCGAGGTAAGAATAAGTCGAAGACCTGTCAAAGAAGATGCTCACTGTATGACATCGAGAAGTAGGGGAAGCGTGTACGAGACGCCTGTCCCGCCTATAACATAGCTATCAACTGCTGTCCGACGATGGTCTAGGCGCGTGATACATACCGGCGACAAGCACAGAAGTCCTGTATGGGGCCAGATCGGTGGGCATACCGTATGGTGCGTCGATCTGTACAGAAACTTGGCCGTTGGGCCTAGCCGCTGCCGCCCGCAGCATGCGTCCTGTAACTCCGTCGCGGGCACGAATCATGAACATCAGCTCCTGCTCGCTTCCGCTACCCCGCTTTGGGATGTTCGCAATCGAGAACGGGTGCGACTCGAGTGGGAAGGACGAAATGCGAGGGAAGGCGAGAAAGGCGTGTTGACCTGGCTTCCAGCCCAGTGGCATACGACGAGTGAGCGTGACACAAAGAGTATCAGGCGTGATGAGGCTCAGAGCGGCAGACGACGGCGTTGATGAGCGCGGCGCGAGGATGAAGTTGATCACTAGGTAGCGGAAGCCACGGACTATGCGCTCGAAGCCCCAGACGACCCAGACAGGCCAGACGTAGTAGTTGAATCTAAAGAGCGAACAGTCAGCGAGCGAATCAGGGTTTGCATCGATGAACTCACCCAGGCGTGGTTGTGTGGATACAAGAAGCGATGATGAAGACACTATCTTGGGGTCAGCACATAACGAAGATGAGAACGTCACGGGCAGTGATCGACGTACATGACCATCACTACATGCGTGAAGTAGAAGATTTCGTATGACCAGCGACGGAAGGGACGGAGCGAGAGGATGATGATAAGCGAGTATGCTGCTCCGGAGACTGCACCAACTTGCTGCCAGGGCATGTGAGGAATGTCATCGGGGCCATAGAACCCGATCTTCCAGCTACAGTGACGGAGGGTGGTCAGCATTAGCGGGGAATTGAAACGATAAATGATAATCACCGGCCCCAGAAGTGGATCCAGACGAGGACATAGATGCAACGACCCGCGGCACGATGTAAGACGTTAAGCTGGACGCCATAATGTCAATGCAGACACTCGTCAAGCAGTACCTCTATACATACCCGCTCATGGCTGATACCAGTCAGAACTAGGAGATGGTGTCAGGGCGAGTTACATGTCTAGTGGGCTTCACTCACGGCCGATGACATTGTTCTTGGCCGACAGAGCCGGCATAAGCGGCAGTTGGGCCGCGGCGATGTGGGCTGCCCGGTTGCTCCAGAAAGCTTTATAGAGTCAGACAAACAACGTTCGGGATGACTTGCAGCACATACCAGGCGCGAGATTGTTGGCTATGAACAGAATGGCGTATCAGATGACGCTCTATAACTGAGCCATAAGAAGGGAACGCTTACTATGGACGAACTCCCATATGAGCAGAGCAGCCATGTAGACACACACTACAAAGGCCTCGAAAAGGGAAGCATCGACCAGACTTCCCAGAGGCACTCGCCATCTGAAAGCCAAGATGCGCCAGCCAGCGAGAAGAGCCGCAGGGACCCTGCTGACGGCGACAGCGTCTTGTCGGGTTGAGCCGCCACGAGGGAAGAAACGAGGTGACAGCTTCGTCCAGGCGATGGTTACTCCGTTGATGACCGTCGCAAGCGCTAGCACCGAGAGATTGAGATACCAGACTTGAATTGGGTACTCCTACACAACACGGCCAGGATCAGACACCGCACCAAGAACGAAAGCTAGCATAATGCACGCACAAATTCTCCGCGATGTTTGATGGCCTTGAGATGCGGTGGCAAAGGCGGGGTAGTCATGGTGGGCGATGGTCTTTTGGGGCTTCAGCCAGACGCTGCGAAGTTCCCAAATTCTGGTGCGGGTATTTGTACGCGCTAAAATAACGGTCAGTCTTCGAGCGGAGATGCAGGAGCGCTCCGCATATGAGAGAAAGACGTACGAATACGGAGAAAGTAGGCGGCTCCATACGACTTCAAGGTCCATCCGCATATCCTGCACGGTCGTGTATGGGAATATGCAGTTGCTCGGCGCGATGCAGAGTCCGTATCTGATAAGATAGTGCGGGCGACATGGGAATACGAAGGCAGATGTGGGACATTTCTCACAAACAGAGGTCGATGAGAAGGGTGAAAAGATACTCACCCTTACTCACCACGCATGGTGGTGAGCGCAGGTGACATGGAAGTCCATGAACACGCGATCGAGACCCAGGAGCGCTCGTCAAGCCAGTCTGGCGTTTTAATCAGGCCGGCGCATACGGCAATCACCTTCGGCCTGGAGTTTACGCTGCCATCAGAGTGGCGGGGAAACGGGTGAGGAACTTGCGACACGGGCTACCGCTCAGATGTATCACAGCCGAAGCCTCAGACTATCATGTAGAGCACGCCTTGCGTAATCAATATGCATGCTGATGGGGAAAAACGGGCCCGCGGAATTTCGTTGATCATGAAAATAATCCCACGCTCAGCCGTATCCAGCTTATGATGTGCGCTTAACGACGATGCTCACCAATGACCGAGGAAGGGGTTATCCGTGCGAAAACGATCTGCAATCGAAGGCAACTGCGGATCGCGTATGTTTAGAAAACAGACATACTGAAGTACGTGTATGCGGAACAGGGAACACCGCGTTGTACATTCTTACACGCCATCTCCGCGACGGCCTCAGTCATACTCGTCAGGATCTTCTAGGAGCGGCTCGCCCTCATCTGCTTCGTGAAGAGCTTCTGCTGCGGATGGTGACACTTTCTTCAGCTGCTTCTGCATTTGAACGTAGATGATCCTATCGTAGGCCTGAGCACTGGAGCATAGAGGAGTCTATGACGTTTCTTACCAGCCCGCAGCAACTCCCAGTAGAATGCCGCCTGCGACCAGAACACCGTTGAGGATCTTCGCAGCTGAGGAATCGTGAACATCTCCAAGTACAGTGCACATATGCTTGAACTCACTCTTATCCATCTTTCCGCGTTGTTCTCCGTCGGCAAGCGCAGCAAGGCGCGAACCAATGAAGACGTAGAGTAAGAACCTTGGGAAGGTGAAGATAGTGGCCACCATAAACTGCCATAGCGAGACAGAACGTATGGACTATAGGCTTGATCAGACCCGTGTCGCACGAGAGGATGCCACTAACTCACAGCGAATAACGAATTGGAGTAAACCCAAGGAGGGAAAGGCGAGACTCGTATTAAAACCATTAGGGGCAAACCTTTTGATTGCTGTGGAGCACGCCGGTGAGTCCGGTGCGATGCCTGGCTGCAGAAGGGCTCACGATAACACTCTCTAATGCCTGCCAGCCTTCGTGCGTGCTCGACCATCTAGCAAGCCTTCTAGCAAAGAAGTAGCGTAGTACAATAAAGGCAAAGGCGGATCCGAAGAGCGACGCTGGTCCAGCGACCGCAAAGCCCTTGATGCCATATGCAAACCCGCATAGGTTCAAGACGGTACTGTGACCGATGGCAGGGGGGAAGGACACCAGAACTGCAACTAGTAAGAACCCCATGCCGTCACATGAAGGGGTTGCATACATATCATTCCGGTGAGAAGTAACCATCCCAGAGGATGGCCGCTGATGCGTTGGGCGGTATCGTACAGAAACTGGCCAATACGCGCAGGCGTCACGATCACGATGAAGGCAATGAGAGCGCCATAGAACAGACAGAGGAAGGCGAGTGTGAACTGTCAGAACAGTGAGCGACGTTTCGCGTATTGCATTGTACAATAAGTACCTTCGCCGTCAGAGGCACTATAAGACGAGCATGTGAGATAGGCTTTGCCGACGAGCATGGGTAACGCACTGTACACCAGTCGATGCCATACGGCACGGGGTAGCCTCTTCAGCCTAGTAGCCCAGCCAGTCGTTGACGAGTCTTCATTGTGTAAGCCCACCATGACGGTAAGAGGCGAGCGTGGTGTCTGACCTGGGAGGATCACACCGGCGGGACGCGTTCACAGCTGCGCCGGCACCGTCGACGTTTAGGCGCTAGTGATGTCAGCGGCCGCTCGTACAGAGTAACGCCACACGTGTCTTGACGCGAAACGCGTCTTGAACGCAACCCTTCCCAGACCACCAGCACAGCGGCGCGTGCCATGGAAAAGTACTCGGCTTATAGGGTAAGCGATCTCGTGCCACTGTGAATGTCGAAAACGGCTGACTGCTCGCAGGACCCGGGCACGGGCATCCAGGTGCTTAAGCATTCGCTTCCACGCGATGTACGCACTCATCCATCTCGACCTAGCCATTCCTCACGCCTGTGCCGTCTCTGGGATCTGGCGCGCTCCCGATATTTGCTCTGCCTATCAAATATGCACTTGGACTTGTCCGGTTCTCCGCAGTGTGCTTGCTCGGTTTACTCTATGCTATAGTAGTCGACGGCATCTGCCTTATATTCGTACGTCGCTATCGTATATGATGTATACTTACGGCTCACATAACAAAAGAAACCCATCGGGCCGTTGCATAGGGCCGTTACACGGCCGCTGAGTGCATTGCTATGTCGGATGGCCCTGCTTGTGATGGGGTTCGTCTGGATACCCACGGAGCATTTAGTGAAGAAGCGAGGGTGTGTAGTCGTATCCTAAGTATGGATGTGCGGCTGATGAGTGCGGCAGTCGCTTGACACGGTCCACGGAACCCTTCAATCCTGGGGCTGGCGACATCATCGTATCAAACTGGATGTCGTGGGTAGAGCTGCTCTATCTGGCTTTCCGGTGCGTAGATATGACCATGAGAAGGCCGCAGTTATCTGATTACACGAAGGTTCAATCCTGTGTTCGTGTTGCCCGTTGCGTTAGCGCCCGACACAGCTATCGTGAGCTCGTCGACCGGAGCTCAGAGAATAGGTCGTGGCACCGGCACCGGCTCCGCGAACGTCTCGACGCCATCCAATCGACCTGCGATGAAACGTTCTCCCATCAAGGGCTTCCGTGCCATATCTTTGCTCGCGATCGTCAGGTTCGCCGGTCATGTACCAGAGTCTACGTACGACGGCTCGATGCAGTCTTTGGAGAGCATTCGCAGCACTTCTGGTCGACCCATCGTGGTGTTCCCGGAGTGTACGACAAGCAACGGTCGCGGGCTTCTTCGCTTTGCTGAAGTATTCACGGGCATTCCTGTTCCTGTCCGGAAGTTCAAGGTCTTCGTGGTCTGCTTCAGGTGTGTGCCATCTTGCACGCCCAGCCCTCTCATAATCAAGGTTGATTCACATTCGCAGATGCGATCCACCGACCGCTCTGGCCCCTACGATATCGCATTCCATTCCAACATCGGCCAACCCTCTCACCCATGTGTTTTCACTTGCATCCAGCTTAGCTCCATTATCGCTCTCCGTGCGCTTCCTTGCGCCTTCAGACTCACCGAGTTCGGGTAGCTTCATGCCCAGTGAGATCGTCGGGTCCGATGTCGGAGAGGACGTTCTTGCTGCGTCTTGTCAAGGACTCATCATGCAGCTGGGAAAACTCAAAAAGCTGTCCTTTGGGTGGGAGGACAAGGCCGCATTTGTAGACTTCTATAACCAAAAGCGGCGATAGCAGATATGTACTGATATACGCTCTCTGTATGCACGTCTACATCATCCTGTACAATCAGAAATATGCTGAGTAGCGAAACAGTATTGCCCGACTCGCTGGTTCGTCGATGCTCAAAGCTTCGTCTTTGCCTGAGAGTACGTTAGCATCGCGTGAATGACAGGTTGATGCCCGCAACTGACCTGAACCAGTTCATTCAACGCCCGCCGGAAATCTTCCTTGAGGTCCTCAACGTCCTCGACCCCGAGGCTGATACGAATCAGTCGGGGGTCCTCTCCTGGAGACGACCGCGCGCGCTGCTCGATGAGAGATTCGACACCACCCAAACTAGTAGCATCGGTGAAGTACTTCAGCGTGATTGGAAGAGCCGTGGCATGCTCCGGCTTCTCCATCAGGATGGCGAATGTCGGGCTTCCTCCACCTTCCTGCTGAAGCGATGGCGACCAAGTCTTTGCATCCTTGCCTTGAAGCGACGAGTGCCAGACTTGTGCGACGAGTCCGCCAGGGACGCCGTCAAACGTTTGGCCGGAAGGTGTCTTGGACACACGATGAAGCCACTGAGCTAGCACTGTCGCGTTGTGCGACTGGCGCGGGACGCGTAGGTGGAGTGTGCGCAGAGAACGCAGGAGCAACCAAGACTCCAGTGAACCCATCACGCTCCCAAGGCGCAGACGCTCATTCGTCAGCTAGAAGAACTGTCAACCAATCACCCATAATACCAGCACTTGTGAATCATCACCTCATACCACTCATCGATGGTCTTAACATACAGTACGCCGCAGAGCAGATCCGAATGCCCCCCAAAGTACTTCGAGCCTGTAATTCTGTCAAATCCATCCCCTTTTGTACTCAGAACATGCCACTCACCGCTGTGCATGATCATGTCTGCGCCCCATTTGAAAGGATACTGAAGCGGAGGCGGGGCAAATGTCGCATCAATAACAAGGTGCCCGCCAACAGCGTGGATCTTGTCCGCATAGTACTGGATATTTCTGTCGTATGCTGATAAGCTTCACACCACGCACCCAAAATATTTGTGACACCAACCTCGCTTCACCTGTAGGGTTCAACGGAGTCTCTACCCAACATAAGTCGACGCCAGTGTAATCATCGGTGTCCAGGTCGACGATCTCCAGGTTCCGACCGCGCTTCCAGGTATCGATAACGAGATGCACTCCGTAGTAGCCGCCGGTAATGGCTATGCGCTTGGGCTGATAGAAGTTGAGGGCCTGTATACGTGGCAAGTCAGTATGCCAGAGAACCACATGTCGACAGATTGTATGCGTACAGCCAGAGTGGCTGATAAGCCGGACGAGTATGTTAGAGCGTAGCCACCGTTGATGGCGCTCAACACGCGTTCGGCGCGTGCATACGTCGGCTGGCTCAAACGTGAGTAGACGTGGTCCTTGGTATCCCTGACTTCTTGCGCGGTGGGTTCGCGTCCAGTGAAGTCCTTCTCTGGGTCCGGGTCGTGGCGGAATGCTGCGAGGGCATCTGAGCTCTCCGGCCACCATCAGTATTGAAGCATGCCTTACTCGTTGTGACAGAGATGCCTGCTGCTACTTCGGCAGTGTGGAAGATATCATCAGCGTGCAGAAGGTCTGTTCCGCGCAGTTTGAAGTCTTTGGAAGTCATGCTGGAGCGCTCTACGAAGAAGTGAAGCCTTTGGACAGTCGAGGATATATAGTCCCTACACAACCCTGATCGAGTCAGAATCCGGCTCAAAGTACGTACGAACAAGGCATCCGTTCCACACGCACGGCGCGCGGACCCGGAGAAACAAATTGTACCGCAGATCGACGGACAATGACACTGACCTGGGCTTGATAAAGTGTGTTGTAGTGATGTAGTGGACGACCGCCCAAAGCTCCTGGTAGTCTGCGTCAAGAAGAGCGGAACGGATGTACACGGAAGGCACGCGTTATCGCACGAGCATGGCGACACCGCGGATCGCGTACACGCGCCGATAGAACCGATTCCGCGATACGCCCGATATCTCACGTGGGTGACGCGGTCACCTGAGCGCAGCACCGCGACGCGTTCCAGATGTTGCTTTTGACAGGGAAGGAATTCAACGAGCATGGAGCTCTCAAAGTGCTGAGTTATGCAGCTATTGTATCTCCCTTCGTACCTCCATCTTCTCCGACTCTTCTTCCTCTTCCAGGCAGGCTTGTCCGCCGTCTACGCCCGCTAGCGAAACCCTTCATAAACCAGTAACTTCTCATCAAGCCCACAGGCGCCCACACTCTCTTGCCCCTTATGCTCTTTTCCATTCTCGCCGCCCTCGTCTCTCTCACCCTTATCCGTGCCGCTGCACCCCCGGAAGACATTGCAGGGCTTCGCCATGCCCGTTCGCACTCCTACGACGACGATTATGCCTTCAGTCCCGACGATGGCTGGACGACTATATCTGCAGGTGACGAGCCCTACAAGTACCCGAACGAGACCATGGCAACATCCCCTGCCGCTTCTGCTCCCAAAGCCCATACTCCTTCGAAGGATTATACATCCCGCGGTCTCATCTCGCGCGGCCTGGATAAGATCTCGACGTCGCTCAAGTCTATCATGAAGGGTCTCCACGGCGAGGGTGAACCACAAGACGTCGTAGTCACTTGGTACGCTAGCCTACCAGTTATACAGCTTGGTCATGACTGAAGAGCGCATTCACAGGTACACCGGACACGACCTCCAGAACCCCAGTTGCTGGCCGAACTCGGATTGGGCACCCACGGACGAGTCGTACGCGTGCGCGCTGACGCTGGACGGCTGGAAGGACAAGCCCGCTTGCTTCAGGTTCCTCGAGCGTACGTTCTTCCCCATGAACATGTTAAGCATCATATGCTCACTGACCGATACAGTATGCAACACGCCGAAGAAGTGCGTCTTCGTCCGGGTCGTTGACACTTGCGCCGGGTGCGCCAAGGGCAGCAAACACGTCGACCTCACGCGCGCGGCGTTCGGAGAGTTGGCGGACTACGATGAGGGCATTGTGAAGGTCAAGATGCGCATGGCAAACGAGCCCGATACATGGTCGGAGAAGCTCTGGGGTCCGCAGGTCGGCGGTGGAAAGGCAAAGACGTATAGTACGAAGAGCAAGGGTAAGGGTAAGAGCAAGAGCAAGAAGAGCTACAAGGGGAAGAAGGGGAAGAAGAATTAGAGGCGCAGAGAGCCACGGCGTATCCGACCAGAGCAGACTAACTTCACGGCGCCGCCTGCCTGGTGCAGGAGTCGGGCGTCTCCATGTAATGTGAATCATCGTAGCACGTGGCCTACACACTGTAGAGTTATACATTCACGCGTTTGCGCTTCTTGTTGCCTTCTGCGATCCTCGCCTGGACCTTCTCCTCGTCCCATCCCTCCTCTTCGTAGAACTGCGCTGTCTGAGCAGCATCCGCCTGTCGCTTGATATACTGCAAGGCTGCGAGGTTGTAAGAGAGCGTGGACCTGTGACGCGCGAGGGCGGCACGGAGATGCTTGCGCAGCGGGACGAGTGCTGTACGCATGGAACGATGCGCAACGATCTGGTGGTGATGGACTTTGACGAGGAAGAACATGATCTGAGAGACGAGTGTGATGTTCCATTCCTATGATAACGTTGTAAGCGATACGTCCGTGCACATAGAAGCAACGAGCACTCGCCTTCTTAGCCCATATGCTCAAGTAGTTCATGAGCGACACGACCTTGCCAAACGGCAACACCAATAGCGCATCCTGCAGCGCCGCATTTGGGATCCCCTCCACAGTCCTGAGTACCCATTTCTCCGGCTCAACATCATGCGCCTTCAACACCGCGTTCCGCGCTGGAGGAGGAAGCTTATCCGCCTGCTCCTTAGGCAATCCCTTCTTCGCCTCCTTAAACTCCGCCCACAGCGCCCGCTCGGCGTCCGCCAGATCCAATGCCTCAACGATCCGTTCACCAGCCATCAGCGTTTCGCCCGTCTGCTTGCTCACGCCCGTCGCCTCGGCCTGATCCGGTAGAGTGTTCGCGTCGGCATCGGCGGCGCCGCTTCCAATTGCAGCATCCTCGCGGTTGAGCGAGTCCGCGACGCCGCTTTCGTAGAGCGTCTCGAGCTCGCGTTCGCGTTCTTCCTCGAGGAAGAGTGGCTCGTCGAGCTTTTCCCAGACCCGGATGGACTTATCGTGGGAACCCGTCACTACGAAGTTGCCGAACCGGCTAGCCGCAAGCGCCCAGATCTCGCCTTGATGACCCTCCAGTTTCTGGATGTTCTCGAACTAGATACGAGTCTTAGCGTGCGGGTTCAGTAAGATTCGACTGAATTATACCTTGTCGCCGTCCCAGTACTTAAGCATCTTGTCCTTGCCCACCGTCCAGAAGTAATGGCTCTGATGCTCAAACACGACTTGCATCACGCTATCATCATGCGCGAATATGCTCCGATGACAATCGCCGAAATCCAAGCCCCAGATCTTCACGTTCTTGTCCGCGGAACTCGTCACAATCAGCTTCGAATCGTGCGAGATGTCCATGCTCAACACGGGCAGTTTGTGCCCATACAGACTCAAGAAGAACTTGAGCGTATCTTGGTAGAAGACTTTGACTGTCGAGTCGAGCAGCGCGACGCAGAGCAGTTTGCCGTTAGGGCTGAATCGGACGGATAAGACGTCGTCGGTCATTTTGAGCGTGCGGGTGTGCACTAGCGAGAGCGTGTCTGGAACTTGTTTGTCTGCCGGTTGATGCCATTCGAAGGACCAGAATTTGACGTCTTTATCGGCACTCCCGGTGACAAGGGCTTGTTGGTCGTGTCGAACGTGCAGAGACCAGAGGGTGGCGGTGTGCGCTTTGTAGGTCTCGACCAGAGTTGAGGTTGAGAGGTCGTACAGCAGGAGCTCGCCCGACTTCGTGCCGACGGCGATCTGAGAACAGTGAGCACGCGACAGTCTGAATATCCGCTGCGATACGTACATGGCGGTCTCCTGGCAAGAATGTGCTGCATATAGCATGTCCACAGTCGAGTGTGCGAATGCAAGCGAACGTGCGCATGTTCCAGATCTTCAGCTGTCCGTTTGATGCGGAGGCTAGCAGTGAATCGTCGGAGTTCAAGCATAGCGTTCGAACGTCCGTTCTGTGTCCGGGTAGATCTAAGGCGTATAATCGGGCGGCCTCGGGTACGTCCTTGGATTTTGTCGGTGCGGGGATAGCGTGCACTTCGACGGCGTTGTTTGACAACGCGAGGCAGATCTGAGCGGGACGTCATAAGCAAGTGAAGAGGAGAGTCATTGTCACACTCTTACCGGTGCACCACTCTTAGCCTCTGCTCCGTCCTCCGAAAAGCAGAACGAGCGGATCTTGCCGGTGGCCCTCACGATGAGGTATGGCGTGAACAATTCGGCCAAGTCAATCTCCTTCTCGTCTTCGTCGGCCTCCTTGACCTCTTTTCCCTTCTCTTTCGCACGCTTCTTCCTCCGCGCCTGCTTCTTGCGTATTTCCTCCTCTGTGCGTATACGGATGATCTCGACGGAGCGGTCTTGACTCTGCACGGCGAGGTAGGGAAGGGTGGGGTGGAAGGTCACTTGAGATACGCGATGTTTTGAAGAAAGAGGGAGAGAGGTTGCGGGAAGGATTGCCTGGGAGATCTGCAGAAAGTGCGTGAGTACAGTCCTTACTATTCAAACGCGAGAAGGGACATACTTGGCCGTCTGCGGACTCCTTCAAGCCGTCCTGAAGAACGCTGTGGTCGAGCTTCCAAATTCTGAGGTCGCCTTCATTACTCCCGGTGAAGATCAAGTCTTGCTCGGGGCTCAAGTCAAGCGACCAAACCTCGGCACGGTGAGCGACGACGGTCTGTATGCAGTGCTGGGTAGACAAGTCCCAGAGCTTGATGAATGTGTCCTTGGACGAAGTGACGATGAAGCCTGGGCTTGTGGACGTTGAAGTCGAAGGAAGGTTGGAGGCGACATTTGTGATGAAGCGGATTGCGGTGACCTGGTCTCTGTGACCGCGCAACCTGAACAAGCCAGCCTCTGCGACGACGTCCCAGACGATGATGTTTGTGTCCTGGGAACCCGAGGCAAGCCTGGTCCCAGTGGGGTCAAAGACGAGTGCAGTGACAGAGGACTTGTGGCCGTTGAAAGTCGCGCTGACCGTCTGTGCTGCCGCGCTCCAGAGCCTGATGGACCCGTCCGCGTATCCGACGGCGAATGTGTCCTTTTGGGCGGGAGAACGCGCGATGCAGCTCACCTCTGCTCTGTGCCCAGCCTCGTGCCACATTCCCATCTATTGCACTGTTAGAGTGTGTAATGACATAGTATATCTCGAAGCGCACCATTTCGCCCTTTTTCACGTCCCACACGAGCACATCCTCCAGCGCGGGAACATAGGCCAGCTTCCCGTCGTAGATCGAATTCGACGACGGCGAGCAGACCAAGCCAAAGGCCTACAGTACATTCAGCACGTGATAAACCTACAAAGAGAGCATATACGGACCTGTGTAGGCCCATGCCTGAGATAGCTCTGCACCATGATGGCAGATAGAAGTTGATGCAAAAAATACGCGTGCGCGCGCCTCGACGCGTCGCGCGCAAAGATCTCACGCGTCCTTCAATTCTTTCCTTCGTCCCACCATGGTGCGCAACCCCTTAACTTTCCCAGTCGTTCTCACCATCTGATATGTGTAGTAGCTCAGGAAACAGTCACGTGAACGCAGGCAATACGTCTATGCCAAGTCGCTCGAGGCGCAGGAGCGGCAGACGTACGAGCGCAAACAGGCCCTCAAGGACGCCCTCGCGAGCGGAAAGCAGCTGCCCACCGAACTCCGCAAGCATGCCTCCGCCCTGGGACGCGACTTGCCATTCGATGAGGCTCAGTCCGGTGTGTCAATTGCTATATATATCACGTGTGGGGCTAATTAGGTGTCCAGATCCGACCACGCATATCGACAGTGAATACTCGCGCGCGGGCATACAGGACCCTAAAATCATCGTCACTACCTCCCGCGATCCCAGCTCAAAACTGCTTCAGTTTGCAAAGGTATATCATACCCTTTACGAGCGCATACAGTAGCTGAACTCACTCTGCAGGAAATGCGTCTGGTCTTCCCCAACTCTCACCGAATAAACCGCGGAAACTACGTTGTGAAAGACTTGGCCGAGGCCTGCCGCGCAAACGACGTCTCGGACCTCGTAATCCTCCACGAGCACCGCGGCGTACCGGACGCCATGATCGTCTCGCACTTCCCGCACGGTCCCACGCTCTACTTCACCCTGCATAACGTCTCTTTGCGGCACGATATCGCGTCGTACCGCGCTTCGACCGTGTCGGAGCAGTACCCGCATTTGATATTCGAGAACTTCAGTTCGCCGTTGGGTGAGAGGATCCGGGACTGCTTGAAGTACCTGTTCCCGGTGCCCAAGGAGGATGCGAAGCGTGTCATGACGTTCTCGAACGAGCATGATTTCATCTCTTTCCGCCACCATGTCTTTGTCAAGGTCCCTCCACGGGATGTGCAGCTCGCGGAGGTCGGGCCTCGATTCGAGATGAAGCGTGCGTGCTTTTCATCGGCATACAGCGTCCCGATACTCACGTCCTCCTGCAGCATACGAGATCAGGCAGGGTACTGTCGAGCAAACAGAAGCCGAGCGCGAATGGGTACTCTCGCACTACTCGCGAACGGCAAAGAAGCGCAGCCTACTTGCCGGCCCTCCTCCCCGCGTACAGAAGGCTCGGGCTGATGACGACGACGCCGATGGTCCTGTCAAGAAGCCAAAGAAGGCCAGACGATGACCGTGCTCGCCGACCTTTAGTCTCTTTCGTCTCTTTCCCTCTTGCTTGCTGTCCTTGCTTGCTTTCATAGTGCTGTCCATCCAAAAGTACTGATTTTTGTACTATCACATTTTACAACATCCTACACCCAGTTCAACCAGTGTGGCGCCCCCAACAATATTTCAATTTGCACTTGATCAATCGACGTTCAGCGCCGCGTCCATCTTCGAAAAGTCGTTGAAGAATGCGCCGAAGAAGTCAATCATATGTTGAACGTCGTGCGAACCCGCCGTCTCGCGGATCGAGTGCATTGAGAGCATCGCGCCGCCAACATCGACAGTGCGCAGGCCGTTCTTCGAGAGCATAGGGCCGACCGTCGAACCACACGCCCTACAAGCGGTATCATTAGCCCCAAGTCTTGAATTTCGGAGAGAATGAATAGACGTACATGTCGTTCCGGACCTCGTACTCCTGTACGCGCCCGCCCACCTTCTCGATGAGCTTCCGCACGATGAACGACCCCGGCGCGTCGCTCGCATACCGCTGCTTCGCGTTCGTCTTGATGACCACGCCCCCGTTGACCAGTGGCCTATGATTATCCTCATGCTTGCTCAGATAGTTCGGGTGGACAGCATGTCCCATGTCGCTGGACACCAGGAATGACCGTGCCGTGCTCCTCCCTAATAAGCTCGGACTGCCTGCGAGACGCTCGAGGAGCGAGGGGATGAGGTTGCCGTCGGCGCCCGTTGTGGAGACCGAGCCGATCTCTTCGTGGTTGAATAGAGCAATACAGTTCACATTGCCTTCTAATGAGCCGAATGAGGGCGAGGAGGCGTGCTTGGCGAGGGCTTCGACGGCAGCGAAGGACGAGAATTGATTGTCCATGCGCGGGGAGAAGATGAACTCGTTGTTCAGACCGCCGAGGGCGGAGGGTTGCGTGTCGTAGAGGTGCCTATTCAGACAGCATAAGCATGGGGCCTCCTAGATAGGGATGGCTAAGCACGTACATCTCAAAGTCTTGAATTTGGTCCGGCGTGATATCCAGTTCGCCTGCAAGCAGCTCCAACAACGAAGAATGATGATTCGCCTGAATACTCGATCCCTCGACCTTCGGCACATCCTGAGCCTTCTCTGCGGCCGTAGCATTGAGCTCGCTGGCAATCAGACCCAACACGGGGACAAACTCGGTCTCAGTATTGAACTGGAAGTTGTCCGCCGAGTTGCGGTTCACTTAACGGAAAACGAAAGATCACACGTGAGCGTGCAAGAACAATAAGGACTGGGCGGACCACACCAGTGAACCCAGGTACGGGCCACATCCCAGTATCCCAATAAGGATTAAGCTCAGAGCCACTCACAGTGCACAGCCAAGTTCGGGATCCTCAGCACCGGGCGCTCGATCTTGACGAGACGGCTCTTGTACTCGCCGTCCTTGCCCACGACGACACGGCCGGCCAGCGACAGATCGCGGTCGAACCACGTGTGCCACAGTCCGCCGCCGTACGTCTCGACGCCAACTTGGAGGTAGCCGGCTTTGGAGCGCTTGGAGACGGGGCGGATGCGCAGGTTGGGCGAGTCGATGTGTGTGGCGACGATCGAGACGCCGGCGCCGGGCTGCCACGAGGCGGGGAGCGTGAAGGCCAGGAGCGCGCTTTGGTTACTGCAGAGAAGTCAGTAGGATGTAAGGACGTGCAGGCTAGTACCCGAACTTACCGGGTAAAGTAGTACTTTCCGCCAGCCTTCAAGCCCTTCTCCCAATCATCGAGCTCCTTCACCTGCATCATCACATCACATCAGCCATCACCTCACTCTCGACTACCGCTAGACAGACCTTGCGGAAGCCAGCCTTTTCGAGTCTGAGCGCGGCGTTATGAACGGCATGGAACGGCGTTGGCGACGCGTTCACGAAATGGAGGAAGCGCGTGGCCGCTTCGGGCGCGGTGGGGTAAAGCATCATGGTGAGAGAGAAGCGCGCTCGGCGGCGTGGCTCTGTGTGTATATAGGTGCTGGGATCTTCGCGGGGAAGATGAGGTGTCGGGTGTGAGTTGCCTTACAGGTCGACAAACGCATGCACGGACGGGCACGCCAACGCGATCAAGGCGTTATCGCGTGCCTCTCAACATATATAGGGGCCACATGGACGAACAAGAGCGAGGATTGTATTATGCGACGAGTAGCAGTACAAGAAGGTAGGGTAGAGTGCAAATTATACAGGCGTTATAGTATTGTCACAGCAATGCGAGTACGAGTGGGGGTGAAAGCGTTCCGCGAAGTCCGAAGTATCAAGAATGTGATCGAGTAGAGTTTTACAGGATGAGCGGTGAGAGCAATGGCGATAAAATTATTCGAAGCGTTCGATATGGGCGATTAGAAGTCCTCGTCCGTAGTACTAAGTTCAGATCAGCTGCCTGCGACAGAAGCGAATGACTGGTGTGCTCACAATGTGCGCGAATTATCCTGGTCAGGCATGCGGACACTCGCTTTGGAGTACTCTGCGACGCGCTTCTCAAAGAAGTTGGCTTTGCCTTGCAAAGATATCATGTCCATGAAGTCGAATGGATTCGCAGTATTGTAATGCTTGGGATTACCCAAGGCCGCCAGCAGTCTGTCGGCGACAAACTCGATGTATTGGCACATGAGCGTGGCGTTCATGCCGATGAGGTCTACGGGCAGAGCGACTGTGGGGATAGACCATGTTAGTTCATGCACTACTGGAGCTGTGACATATGCGTACCAGTAAGGAACTCCTTCTCGATAGAGACAGCTTCAATGATGATCTTGCGAATGACATTCGGGTGTGGTCGCCGCCGCAGATGCGAAAGCAGCAAACATGCAAAATCTGTATGCATGCCCTCGTCGCGAGAGATAAGTTCGTTCGAGAATGTCAAGCCGGGCATCAAGCCGCGTTTCTTGAGCCAGAATATAGATGCGAAAGAGCCAGAGAAGAAGATGCCTTCAACGGCGGCGAAAGCAACAAGACGCTCCGCGAACGTTGATTGCTTGTCTGAGATCCAGCGTAGGGCCCAGTCGGCCTTCTTCTTGACGCATGGAATCGTATCTATCGCGTCGAATAGATACTCGCGCTGGCCGGCATCCTTGATGTACGTGTCGATCAGCAGAGAGTACGTCTCCGAGTGAATGTTCTCCATCATGATTTGAAAGCCGTAGAAAGAGCGTGCTTCGGGCAACTGTACTTCATTCGAGAAGCGCTCTACGAGGTTCTCGTTTACAATGCCGTCCGATGCGGCGAAGAAGGCAAGGACATGGGAAATGAAGTGTTGTTCGTTGTCGTTCAAGCGATTCTTCCAGTCCCAGATATCCTGAGAGAGCGTGATCTCTTCCGTGGTCCAGAAGGAGGACTGGGCCTGTTTGTACATCTTCCAGATCTACAAGTCACATTGAGAAGATGCAGCCGGAGTAGTGATGAGCAGCACGCACGTCAGGATACTGAATAGGATACAGGACGAATCGACGTTGTGAGGGGGTCAGCAGTGGTTCCTCATCTGATATGCACATGCCGAGTGAGTCCGAGGCGCATATAGTCCACCAAGACGCGTACCTTCGGACAGGTGGACCTCGCCCGCGAAGCGTTCGGCTGCCAGCGGTTGACGCGACGCGTTCTTGCAAGTCACGCTCATACGTGTGGTAGACTGGAAGTAGGAAGATGAGTACCACAAAAGACATGGAGCGAGGTCCAGAAACTGCGCACAACGTCAGCCACATTGGACAGGGACGGCATACGCTGCGTCAGGATGATGGTGGACCCAGCGAAGGACGCGTCGATGCCTCCGCGCTGACTGGACCGATGGCCGCATCCGCGCCGTGTCACGCCCACGTGAGTCAACGCGCCGTGGTTGATCGTGACTGAATTGGATCTTTTGATCGCAAGTTTCCGGTGTACCAGCACGAGATCGCGTTTATAAGGGCGCGTTCGACTTTTGCTATCCTCCTTCAACTTCAACCACTACCTCACTAGCCGCCGCTACTCTAGCCGTCCCTATTCATCATCGATGACCGCCGTCGCCTCTGTCGCTCAGGTAAGGCACTACGCGACGCGTTCCCCCGGCACTACTGACTTGAGATGCAGAACCTCGAGTCTCTGTCTCTCGAGAAGAAGCCCGTCGTAGAGGAGAAGCCCTTTGACATGGAGGCCGCACGGAAACGCTTTGTTGGCGACATCGAACTGCCAGAGAGTGCGTGGCTTGGGATCGATTTGCCTTCGAAAGCATGCTAATGCCAGGTTCAGGCAAAGAGCCTCTACTTCAGGAGTCCAAGCGCCGCTTCGTTCTCTTTCCCATCCAATATCCTGAGGTCAGCCACGCCTGCTGGGGACACTATCGCAATAACTGACGCGTCCCCCAGATCTGGCAAATGTACAAGAAGGCCGAGGCCTCGTTCTGGACCGCCGAGGAGATGGATCTCTCCAAGGACTTGCACGACTGGCACACACGCTTGAACGATAATGAGCGCCACTTTATCTCGCACGTCCTCGCTTTCTTCGCCGGCTCTGACGGTATTGTCAACGAGAACCTTCTCGAGCGCTTTTCCAACGAGGTGCAGGCCGCCGAGGCCAGGTGTTTTTACGGCTTCCAGATCATGATGGAGAACATCCACTCTGAGACCTACTCCCTGCTCATCGACACGTACATCAAGGACCCCAATCAGCGCGACTACCTCTTTGACGCCATCGAAACTATTCCTTGTATCAAGAAGAAGGCCGATTGGGCTCTGCGCTGGATCACGGACAAGGACGCAGCCTTCGGCGAGCGTCTCGTTGCCTTCGCCGCGGTCGAGGGCATCTTCTTCTCTGGCTCGTTCGCGTCGATCTTCTGGTTGAAGAAGCGCGGCTTGATGCCTGGTCTTACCTTCTCCAACGAGCTTATCTCTCGTGACGAGGGTATGCACACCGACTTCGCCTGCCTTTTGTTTTCGCACCTCCGCAAGCGCCCGCATCCCGACACCGTCCGCAAGATCATCACTGAGGCCGTCACAATCGAGCAGGAGTTCCTTACCGGTATGGCTCCTCGTGGAACACCTGCTATCACATTTCACTAATCCCTATCTGCAGACGCATTACCGGTCAGCCTCATCGGTATGAACGCAGACTTGATGTGCCAGTACATTGAGTGCGTTGCGGACCGCTTGCTGCTCGCTCTCGGCTGCGAGAAGTACTACGGCTCGCCCAATCCCTTCGACTTCATGGACATGATCTCGCTCCAGGGCAAGACCAACTTCTTCGAGAAGCGTGTCTCGGACTACTCCAAGGCCGGCGTCAAGTCAGACAACTCAGCACCAACCGCGGACTCGAAGCTATTGTAAGTACTGCTACTCAAACATACGTGCGATCTGTGGACTGAACCGTATCTTAGCTCTGTCGATGAGGACTTCTAGATCGTTCACTGTATTCCTAGTCTCGTCGTTATTGTTCCGCTATATAGGCTTCACCATCGACTCACATGTGTATCCCTACCATCTCATCGCTAGATATCCTTGTACTGCCTGTAATTTAGATCCTGTCACCACTACTTACCGTGTCAATCCAATCGTGTAAAACTCTCAGTTCCAATGAACGCGTCACGCTGACGCGCCCGAGTACGCGCCTTGGGCGCCACATCTCGGCCTCGAGTGTGTTCTTTCGAACCACCACCACCACCACTGACTCTACGCACAATATGAGCGGACAGGCGGCACCGGCACAAGTGACTGCTCGGGCGGCACAAGCCGGAGAAAAGTATGTGCGCAGGTTTCTCTGTACTTGTGGCTGGCGTTTACCTTTCTTTAGTAGCCAAGTCCTCTTCAAGCTCATTCTATTCAGCATCGCTCTTGGAGTTGTCCCACTCGGCTCATACTTTCTCTCGCAGAAGTACATCTTTGATGGTGAGCTCGACAATACCATCCCCTTCAGTCGCTAATCCACACTCCCCAGGTAACACGACCTATGCGGCTGTTGTGGCGATCATCGGCGCGAATGTAGTCCTCGTTACGTATATACTATTGTCCGTCTTGGATGACAAGCGGGAAGAGGCGTCGAAGAAGGGCGCGGAGAAGGTTGGCGGACCCGTTGAGTCGAGGAAGGATCGTTGAGTTTACGGACTATTCTGGTGCGCAAGCCTTCCTGCCGTCATGTTCTGGATGAGCCGGCTCGCCATGCTGATTCTGCGCATATCTCGTGTATAGTGACTGCACTCTCAATGTATGCAAGCTATATAAAGCCTCATAACTTGGACTTGCTCCCAGCGCCATCTACCAATAGTCTCCCAAGACCGTCCCTCAGTCCACCCTCGATCGCACCAGTCCGCCTACTATCCGAGTCGACAAACACATGAGTGTACCCTCCCACCGCCGCCACCTTCTGCGAACCCTCCTTCCACACTCCGACCTCGTACGTGACCGAGCTGCGTCCGAGCGCAACTACCCGCAAGCCGAGCTCCAACACCTCCGGAAACGCTAGAGGCGCGAAGAACGAGCAGTGTGACTCCACGACGAGACCAATGCGTTCGGACTTTGTCGGCTCGAGTCCACAATGCGCGATGAGATATGAGTTAATGATGGAGTCGAAGAGGTGGTAGTAGACGGAGTTGTTCATGTGCCCGTACTGATCGTTGTCACTCCTATACTCTCGCAAATCAATATCGGGTGACCGCGCAAGCATGTCAGGACACACCATCTGGTACGATATGTCAAGAAAAATGGGTACTGTGCTCGGGTGCGATTCTTCATGATCTCCACACCATCGCCCTTGGCGTTGTCTCTCAATCCGCCCATGCTCTTCTTCAGTGCGACTGCCCTGTACAGGCGTAGCAAAGAGGTTCAGGTACAAGGTTAGCCTCTGCGGGGTTGAATAACGAACGACGTCCAATGAGCCACGCCGGCAATCAACCAGGCACCAGTCACATATACGTCATAGAGTTGATTATGGGGATTACCTAGACTGACTTCTTTCGACAGCATCGTACAGACTTATACAAACACCTCTTCAAGTGACACGTATGGCGGCAATCTCTATTGTACATCATCCAAAGCACGAATCAAAACTGTACAGCTTGACAGCATCTCGATAACAATCAATTGCAAAGTCCGTGGCGGGAGCACATCGCCGACGCGACGCGGCTGGGACGGCGTGAAGCGACGCTCACGAAGTTTCCTGGCTGCTCGGGTCCATCAACTTCCCGAAGGTGCTCCTGCGACCCTTGGAAGGGCGAGGGCCTGAGTCACTATCTTCGGATTTCGAGCCCGCGTCTGAAGCGCTGGTCACGCTACCAGTATCCTGCAACGTTGACTATCAGATTGTGCCGTGCAAGCGGACATTCCAGACATACATAATCGATACGCAGCCGCTTGTGGAGTCTTCTAGACGGCCCCTCTTCCTCATCGCTGAGATCGGCATTGGTCAGTCTACGCCTGGTCCGCGGTGATATACGTGGTTTATCGTCTTCTGCATCGACTGTCGTCAATCCTGAACCCTTCAGATGCAATTGATGAGTAGTGCATACGGTCAGTGAGTGTAATGCTTACATCGCTTTGCTCTGCTTCGTCGTTCATGTTCTCGTCTCGCACCCGTTCGCTCTTTTGCTCCTTACGTGCCATCGACCGGGTCTGCATTTGAGTGTGCGGAGGCGGCGGTGCGTTCTTGCCTTTAAAGATTGCATCTAATGGCTGATCGCGTTCCAGAGACTAGGTCAGCAATGCCTTTGAAAAAGACAGCGTGCGTACGTCGTAGTCATCATCGTCTTGATAGTCAGCGTCGTCGTCCACCTGAGATCCGTCGGAGGTGATGAAGTCCGATTCATCTGAGACTTCTTCAATGTCATCCTGTCGATGTTGATGAATGCGGTCGGCAATGCCGGAGGAGACAGGGAGAGAAGACTCACCCCTGAGGTCTGTGTTTGAACGTCTTGTGCTTGAGAGCCTACTCTCGAGTTCGTAGAAACAATGCTCTCTATCTGGCTGTCGTCTTGGCTGTGGCCCGTGTCGGTGTTCACACACTCGGTAATACCAGACGAGCTCGGATCTTCATTGGGCCCATCATCCTCTTCATCAGACACCACAAAGCCATCCTTCTCGTACTCCTCATTACTGTCAATGGCCCCGTCGTCCTTCCGCGTGAGCCTGAGGCCGACGTCGCGGACCTTGTCGGAAGGACCTCGCGCGCGGTAGGAACGCCTGTGGCCATTCCTCCAATCATCCATCTTCTGTGTTTGTCTTTCCAGCCAGTAGTACTGATTAGTGTCCCGACATGAATATAAGTACCAAGCGTTGGCGCGGGAGATACGCACCCATTTATACGGCTTGTTCTTGTCATTATCCAAGAGGTATCGAACATGGCCGGGCGCGTTGTACATTGTCGCAAAGAGGCAATTCCTGTACCACTTGCCGAACCAGACGACGGCTTGACCTGGGTTTATGGGTCCTTCTGTTCTCTCCAACCATGCCTCGTAGTCGCTATAAAGGCGACAAAACTCATCGTACTGACAGCACTTTAGTCTGCGTGAATGAATGTAGTCACGGACCGTGACCGCCACGTACCCATTTGAATTGTTCTTTCTTTCGATCAGGATGGCAGCACCACTCAGCATATCCGAGATCCTCTTGCACGACGGCGTCGAGACGGCGGCCACGGTTCTTTCCGAACCAAAAGGTCCTCGCGCCTGGGTTGTCCGCGTGCACATCGCCTCCAGCCGCGTCGTCAGAGTCAGCAGGGCCCGACAAGACGTCCTCTACTTCGAGATCACTCATGTTGCAGACTTGATATTGTTGTCAGAGTCGATATTGAGCCACAGTGTTCGAATGGTTCAGTGCAGGCGACGATCGGAAGCACTCCGACAACAGTTGGAGGCAGACAACCAAGAAAGGGTCGAGAAGAGGTGGACAATAATCAATACAGATGCAATTATTTGGAATATAACGGGGAAATGATATACAAGCGTGCGAATGCGGATGAGGGTGAGAAGGGCGGGCGCAGTTGGAAGTCCGACGTTGATATAGCTGGGCCGCGCGAGGCTGTGCAGCTCTCCTCCCACGACGCCGCAATATGTAACCTGATCCGTCGGATTGCACCTCGCCGCGTCGCACTCTTGCTTGAGATAGCGAATTGACAGCGAAGGCGAGCAACGGTCCCATACCGTACTGAGTCGTAGACTGCGCCGAGGCCTTCCGATGCATGTCACGCCCTTCACTGAACGCGAAGAGCGGGGACCTGGGGTGCACCCGCCGGGCGAACGAGATGAAAGTGCTCTTGACGACCGTACACCCACTCCCACCGATTACGTTCGGAAACCCACCAGACATCTTCCTCGGTGAAGAAGCGCCATATTTGGCCGTTGTCGAGAGTGTGCTCTGCGTATGACTCGATGCTGTAGTAGGTGTCCGGCCATAGCGGCGCATCCCCGAGTACGCCTGGAACGTGCGTCGGTAAGTTCACGAAGCCTGCGTGCACATATCTTCAGTACGCGCTCTTCAAGGTATAGTCACCAATGCCTACCAATGACCGGTCCTGGACCATGGCCCCAGTCACCCAGAGGGTGCGCATACACCTGCCCACTGACGCCTTCTTCGTACATAGCTTGCAGAGCATTTGTCAATGCCTGATTCCCGGTCCTCCCTGGATGCATACTCTCTAGGATGATATCTTGAACCCTGTTTGCTTTGCGTAAGCCAACCACTAGGTCGGCCGGCGGTTCGGTCTCGCCTCGGCTTGCACGAAGCACGTAACAGAGATGTTGTGTATCGGTGTGCAAGCGTAGACCAGAGCTTAACCCAAGGTCCACATGTAATAAGTCGCCCTCAGAGATGACGCGATCGACTGATTCGTCGGGGAAGTCACCATTAAGTATCGAAACGTGAGGATGTGACCAGGTTGTCATGCCCATCTCTTGGACCTTGTCTCGCATGAACCAAGCGACGTCCTATAGAGGATTGCATCCTATCAGTCACGGAAAGTCCACAGCACATGAGAAAGCTACATACATGTGTGGTAGTGACACCAGGTACAATGAAGCGTTCACTGAACGCCTCCTCGATGATGGCCCATACGGTCTCCATCATGCGCGCGTAGTACACTTCTTGCCCCTCAACTCGTCTAGCAAGAAACTCTAGCGCCAACTCTGGTACATCGACGCCCCTGCCAACCCACATACCCCCGAGGTTCTTGTACAATGCCTCGAGTTCGCCAGCCGCAAGACCACCAGCGTAGCCAGTCTCACTGTTGAGATTCAAGGCGATACGTTTAGGTTCGTAAGCACCTAGTGAAGATAGGACACCCGGCCAAAGTGCATCCGTGTTGTCAATCCACTCGAGAGGGTTCGACGATCCTGCCAACGCGGAGCCATTCCGGTGAAAAAGTAAGACGGTACGCCTCCGTGCGGCGAAACTAGTTGCGTCGCGCATACTGTGCCACACGGGGTCTTCCGCATTCTCACGCATGCTGATCTATGTGTTGCATGAGTATGATACGTCGCCCAAGTCAAGGCACAGGTTGTACCCACAAGCCATGCATCGACATTGTACTTTTCCAATAACGCAGGGACTCGGGCGAGGCGTTGATCACGCCAGCTATCCAACAACCTCGCCTGCTCCCGCAGCGAGGGGAGCGTTCGGTACTCTGCCCGATTGGGAGGATGATACAGAGCAGTAGCTCCGCTCAGGAGACACAAGGCCGCTAGAAAGCCCAGGGCCTGCATGCGCCCGCAGACAGACGTCAGCAACGGGCACGACCAAGCGTAGAGCTATACTTCAGATCAGAGCCCTTTAGCTCTGTATGCAATGATGGAGAGCAGAAAGTGAGAGCTTGCAGATATGCAAACGCGTCGATATATATCCGTCTCGATGAGCGTAGTCAGCGTAGTCAGGAACCCGAAATTACCATGATTGCGCACTCGGAGGTGCTCCGAGACAATGCCCTGACCGGTCAGCATAAGAGCATCCGATGCCGAGTGAGCATGAACGGTGACCGTGGAGGTACCGAGACGAGACGAGAGCTCAGATTGCGACGTAGAAAAGGCAAAACCCAAGGCGACATCATGTTATGCATATTTAGGTCACGTACCGCTGACCGTCGAAATGAAACTACTTCGTCCGATAATGACTTGTTGATCGCAGCGAGGAATCCAGCAGCTAGCATGAATAGAATGGAAACTACATCGTTAGTTTGTTCTGTTGCTTTTGTACAGGGAATAGTTCAGCTTCTCCTTCTCAACGCGAGCTCTTAGACCAGAGTTTTCACAATTTCGGCAATGGAGTCGCCTATCTCGGTCGTCTTCACGCTGCCGCCGAGGTCTGCCGTGCGAAGGCCCTTGCCACCGATGCTCGGGGAGTCAAGCACGATACGGACGGCCTTCTCGATCGCCGCTGCCTGCTTCTCAAGTCCGAGAGAGTAGCGCAGCAGGAGAGCGGCAGACAGGATCGTGCCGATGGGGTTCGCGATGCCCTGACCGGCAATGTCTGGTGCAGAGCCGTGTATAGGCTCGTAGAGACCAGACGTAGGCTTGAAGCTGGACGATAGGGGATCTGCAGCGGCAGGTGGTGGACCAGAAAGGGAAGCGGAAGGAAGGAGACCCAGCGAACCAGGAATGACGCTGGACTCGTCCGACAAGCTATAGGGTCGTGCGGTGAGCACGAAGCTTAGAAATGAGCGATAAAGCTTACATGTCACCGAACAGGTTCTCAGTCAGCAAAACACCATTGAGCTTCTTCGGGTTGGCAACGATGAGCATGCTTGCGGAGTCAACAAACTGGTGGTCGAAGGTGATCGTTGGGAACTCCGCCTTCAGCGTCTCCGTCACGACCTTGCGCCACAGCCTGCTCGTGGCAAGGACGTTCGCTTTGTCGACCGAGTGAACGGCGAGAGGTGGGTTGGTACTAAGTGCGATATTGGCCGCCACACGAGTGATGCGTTTGATCTCATCAACGCTGTAAACCATTTGATCCCATGCCGTCGTCTCGTCCGTGGTCGCGTCCGCCGTGCCGGCCTCCTTCCGTGGGCCAAAGTACGCGCCACCGAGAAGTTCACGCACACAGATAATGTTCACGCCCTTCGTCACGCTCTCCTTCAGGGGTGAGAGTTCGAGAAGCGACTCCGATGCAAAGGAAGCGGGCCGGATGTTCGCGTACACGCCGAGGGCTTTGCGGAGGGCCAGGAGTCCAGGTTCGGGCCGTACTTTCGCATCGACGCCCCATTTAGGACCACCGATAGAACCTGTGACTTGTATGAGAAAGACAGATGAGGCTCATTGGTGGCTATAATTACCCATGAGAATAGCATCGGCCTTCTTGCAAGCCTCGAGTGTAGGTGCAGGCAATGGCTCGCCAACAGCCTCGATGGCGGCACCACCGAAGTCATATTCTGTAAGCTTGAGCTCAACATCCGAGCCGGAGGGGAAAAGCGCCTTCAGAACTTTCACTGCCTCAGCAGTGACTTCGGGGCCTAGAGTACTACTTCAGACGCTATACGGCGTGCAAATAGATTATACGGACCGATGCCGTCGCCGGGAAGGACGGTGATGTTGAAGCTGGTGCTGCTTGAGCTCGGATGAAGGAGAGGTTACTCAAGAATATCGTACGTTTTTGAAGGCATGACGATCGGAAGTCTGGTGGTGGTACAAAGTCAAGATGCGCTGGCTCATTCGCGTCGCGGCGCGTCGAGGTCAAGCGCGTCTCGGCCGTCGGATCGCGGCTCCGAGGGCCACAGATCCTTTGACATGGCTGCCTTACAGTACTCACCGTTCGGGCTTGGAAACCCATATGATGACCAACGGAAGAGAGAAACTGTCTATCTTCTTCCTTACCTCTCTAGTGATGGTAAGAATACAGCAAGCCCTGCCACGCACAGACCCACCTGCGAGTCGAACACAAGATCTACAGAGATTCCGGCTTCCGGGCCGGGCCTTAAAGCCCCTAACACAAAATCTTTGATCTTTCGAGTTTAAGCAGCTGAACCCGACCATCATCTCGCTATGTCCTCGTCCACTAAAACCGCATGCAAATACCTCGTTCTAGATGCTGGACCTCTCTTGTCTTTGTCGCCACTTCGCGGGCTGGCTGAGACCTATGTGACTGTACCGCAAGTGCTGGATGAGTTGAAGGACAAGCGTGCGCGCGAGCACTTTGAGCAACTTGCGCTCACGGCCGGTGTCAACGTGAAGGTCATATCTCCTGACGCCGCGGCCCTTGCACATGGTCTGTCAATATGTCTATATACAGCACTGCGAATATAGCTGAGGCGTCATGTTCTAGTGATACAGTTTGCGAAGAAGACTGGAGACTACGCCGTTCTCTCGCATCCCGATCTGGCCATCCTGGCTCTCACGCACGCTCTCAATGTACAAGCGAAGGAAGAGAAACCTGACGGGGATGCTGAGGGGCCCAAGGCAGAGCCTGAGGTGTGTCCCGTCTGAAGCTATCGCACCGTCAAACTTAAGTTCCAGGTCGAAGCACTGGCGACAGATACCGTAGAAGAGCATGAAGAGGAACCTCCACTGTTCGAGGATGAAGACGCAGCCCATGAGACTAGTTCAGTGCCGGCTGAGGACGCACCCGAAGATCTTGAGGATCGTGAACCTCTGAACGTCGAGTTACAACCACTGCCCAAAGACGACGATGCGTCTTCGGACCCGATCGCGGGACCCAGTACACAGCCCGTCGATCACTCCGCGGATGACGAGGCGCCTATCTTCGAGGACCCTTCCGACGAGGACGATGGCGAGGGAGAATGGATCACACCGTCGAACGTTTCCCTACACAAGTCCAAAGCGATGGGCCTCACTTTATCCGACGCGGACAGCAAGAAGCATGTGGTGCCTGAGACCTTACCGGTTGCATGTATGACTACGGATTTCGCGATGCAGAATGTGCTGCTACAGATGGGTCTGAATCTTGTTGGCGTTGAGGGGAGGCGTATCGACAAGGTTAAAACGTGGGTTCTCCGGTGTCATGCCTGCTTCAAGTACGTTCACGCGTCAAATCGTTGCGCAGATGGATCCGATGTTGACGTTGCGCCACAGAATCTGTAAGGATAACTCTAAGAAGTTCTGCCCGGCTTGCGGCAATCCTTCTCTTTTGAGGACGTCTGTGACAGTGTCCTCTCCCGACGCCAAGTCTGGAGGTGCACCTGCGCTGCAAGTACATCTCAAGAAGAACTTCCAGTACCGCACTCGTGGTACAATTTACTCGATCCCTGCGCCCAAGCCGGGAAGCGCGAAGACGGGTTCGGGTGATGGGATCATCTTGCGAGAGGATCAAGCGGAATACCAGCGCGCGGTTAAGAAGGCCGAGGCCAAGCGGGAGAGAGACGAAAGAAAGATGTTTGCGAGTGGTGGAGGTGCAGGAGCAGCGGGCAGTTGGATGGACCCCGACTGGGTACCCGATATCCTCACCGCCGGGACGAGTGGGAAGGGAAGGAAACCTCGAGACGATATGCCTGTCGTCGGATATGGACGACGGAACCCGAATGAGAGGAAGCACCACAAAAAGTAGAAGCAGTAGATGTGATGATCCTGTTCGACAGCTCGATATATGTAGACATACTGTACACTGATCTCCTTCCTTCCACGATGCACAATGATGTGTATGATCTACGTGCTGAGACTCCGGTTCATGAAACGCCGCTTCTGGAAAGCCATCCACCACTTTGATGGTTTGCCCGTGCCATCCGCGTACAGGCGCTCGACGAGGCGTGCGGCTACCTCTTGGCGTACCTGAGTGAGGTACTGCCGCAAGTAATCTGCACGAGGCCACATCAGTACAAATACAGGTGTCTTGAAACGCGGATACGCACCGGCATCAGCGCGCGACGATGGAGGCTGGTAGTGTGCATTCAGGTTGAAGGCGGCGTCTCCGGGGATGAGCACGTTGTCAATTGCGAAGGTGTTCAGTGCTTTGTTCGCCTCAAGCTGACTCATTCCGGCGCGACTGCTCCCAATCTTCGCGAGACAATCGGAGATGAATAGAATAAGGTAGATGAGCATGCGGTCTGCCGGGCCCTTGATCTCGAAGTTGCGGAAGAGCGAGTTGGCGCGGAAGAGGTCCAGCGCTTCGTCAACGATATCGGCGGCGGCAGAGTCAGCTATAAGGTGGTCAGTAAAGTATTCAAATGGTGTGCTACATGGATCGTACCCGCCAGAGGTGCGGGACCGCGGGCGCGAGTGGTCGACTTGATGGGCAGGACCGAGGTGTTGCCCACTTGCCGTACGTCTGGCTCGTCGTTGAATGCAGAGTGATATGCCTGTGCACCAGATCAGTATACTAAATGACCAGATATGTCTTTGGTACACACGGGCATGACTGCAAGAGGCAACTTCGAGCTGTGCCTTCGCGATCACGCAGCGACGCGCTTGCATCAATACACGCGTGCATTTCCTCAAGCTTCAAGACGCGCCCTGAAGTCAACGTTAAGTGCGTCATAGCAGGCTCAAAGTCTGCTTGCCTCTTACCGTCATGGACCCCATGGAGGCTGAGGCAGAGACGGCCAGTCTCACGTCCATACACTCCATAAAGCCGACCCCGGACACGATTGCCAGTACGAGTGCATACATTCTCCTTTTAAGCTGAGGCTGACGGGCAGTCACCAGAGCTTATTACTCGGCTACGGTCGCTCACCTACACCCTACTCCCGCTTGAAGTCTCTCCTGCGAGTATCAATGACCCGACGAGCCGTGTGATTACGCCGCAGGTCATCTCCGCCTATATGGCTGCGGCTGGCGACTTGACCGAAGCAGTACGCGTCTGCTCTTGTCCCTCTGGAACCGCTTACGCTCAGCTATTCTTCCGCAGCTTCCCTACTGTCTTCTGCGCGCTCGCGCAGACTTTATGAAGATGGCGAATAGTGACGCGGCAGATTATGATGAGAACCTTGGCCGGGGTGTGTACGCTTGGATTCCCTTCGAGATCTTAGTACAAGTCTGACAATCTTCAGCCACCGCATGTGAGGTCTTAGCCCGCAGAATTGTGCACAAGGCACCCACCGACAAGTGGGCGACTCTCTTGTCGACGCGCTACAAGTATAGGCATAGTGACGGAGACATTGAAGTGGCCAGCGCACTTGAAGTTGCCATTGACACTCACTGGTGAGCGGCTCCTCGTGGTATGGATCTACAGTAACTGAATGGAGTCAACGCCAGCTTGGTCTTTCTATCCTCCAACGAGACTCAAGATGGCAAGTTGTCTAGTGACCATCTTCGCCGAAAGCCTCATGCTGACTGTGGACTAGTTGTAAACTGGCTGTGGAAGGGCGATATCATCATGGAGTACCATGATGACCACGATGTCGACTGTGAGCGCTCATGCCGTCATGTCTACACCTGCCAATCATTGAGTATGGTGCATAGTTGTGGCCTTCGACGCCAAAGAGTCCAAGCGTAGCTTCTGGGGTCACTTTGACCCCGCTCGCATGGGTGTACCACGGTGAGGCTTCATGCGCCTCAGCCCAAGTTGGCATCTTACACTTTCGCTAGATATCAGAACGCGTTCCGTATCAGTGTATGGATTATTCTACTCGTTGTATACTCGCAAGCAGGTTAGTACTTCTTGTATGGAATCGAGATCACGAACCCAAGCCTGACGCTGTTTATCAGTACAACAGCCGCTTGACCGTGCAGATCCGACATTGGGCACGGAGCTGGATTGGTGGGAGATCTGTCTTTACGTACTCGGACTCTCGTTTGCTGTCGAGGAGCTGCACAAGGTGTGTGCTTGCACCATTCATCTTGAAAGGTACTGACACCTTCTTCTGTGTAGTGGTGGAAACTCTTGCGTTTCGCTACTTGGCGTGCCTTCGGCTTTTGGAACATCGTGTCCTTCATCATAGATGGTCTCTTCGTTGCGGCATTTGCTCTTCGCGTTGCTGGGATCTTCTCGCTTGGACCACAACATGACAACCTACGGCTACGCAGCTTCCAGACGTTGTCTTATGCGGCACCCTTGCTGTGGATGAGTACGTCCTATCAACATGTTATATTGTGCCTGCTCTTAATGGCAATGGCCGTAGAACTCGTGACGGTGTTTGACGGTTACAAGTATATTGGTACGATGCAAATCTGCGTGGCGCGCATGCTACGCGAGTCGGGTATTTTCTTCGCATTACTCTCAATACTCGGGATTGGTTTCCTTCAAGGTACGTGCTCCCTTCAACTCTTCTGTCTGTAACCTGCTCATACACTTCTTCAGGTCTATATGCGTTGGATGCATCGGACGGCATGACCGAGTCGCCCGTTGAAGTTATACACGTTATGGTGCAAGCGCTTCTCGGATCGCCGAACTTTGAAAAGTTTGAAGTCAGCGCCACGGGTATGCTTCTGTACTATTTGTGCGTTTAGGCGAATCCTGTATCTCTTGCCGCGCTGACTATTGCCCTCCTAGCTGGAACATCGTCACGGCTGTCGTCCTTCTCAACGTCCTCATCTCGCTGTTCTCCTCGGCGTATGACGATGTTGTTGACGACGCTGAGGCCGAGTTCCTTGCCTACTTCGCTGGCAAAACGGTGGGAATGGTTCGCTCACCCGACGTTTTCGTCTACCCTGCGCCGTTCAATCTTTTTGAGGTATTCCTCGTCGCGCCTCTTGAGTAAGTTTCTGTCCAATTTCCCATCCGACCGGGCTTGACAATATATACAGGCGTTTTATGGGCAAGCAAGCCTACGCACGTTTGAACCGTGTCGTACTCACCATCGTGCTATTCATCCCGCTCTCGGTCATCGCACTAATGGAGGCCCGCCTTCAGTCGCCACATACCTGGATGAATGGGACGGCGGGCCTTGATACCGAGGACGATGATGCACGTTCCGAAGCGCGCAACCCGCCCGCGAGCGATGATGGACTCGTTATCTCGCGTGTTCCGTACGAGGAGCTGATCACGGTCTTCCCAAACACGCACGAGAGTAGCGAGGCGAGCATTCTGCGGGAGATTGGCTCATTGAGAGACCAATTGGACAGGCTCACGAAGTTGCTAGAGCAAAAGTCCTGATAGGTGACCGGACCCAACTTGCTATTCAGTCTGGGCATTGTTTGCGATCTCACGAACATTTATGGACTGATTTGTTATATCTTTACGTTCGTATCGGGTTCTTCCAACATCGTCGTCGATGGACTATTTGTGCACCAACAGTACCTATTGTCATTGTCCTGAATCTCATCACGAGACTGTCCTTCAAACGTTCCTCTTGCACGCTTAAATAGGCGCCACGTATTCCAAGAGATATCCACATAGATTGGGAGCCGCACAGTGCAGCATAATACTCGATACTTCAACAACTCAAACTCAACATTCTCCCCCATGCTTCACAATCCGCGCTCAGATCCGTTCAGAACATGTTCGCGAGCTTACTCGCAGCCTCCCTAGCATCCAACCTCGACCTCGTCGGCGTAACACGCATGCTAGCGCTCATTCTCCCGACACCGAGCGGGTCAAGAGCCGAGCTGGGGGTCGGCGGTAAGCCCGCCGAACTAGCAGGGCGCGACAGCGGATCACCACCGGCGCTTGAGACAGGTGTGGCGTGCCCGCTCAGCGGATCCAGCGAGGGGGCCGAGGGACGCGTGACGAACATACTCTTTGTGCCATCGACGAAGCGCCCGCCAAGAGGTGGCTCGGTACGCGGAGCGGGCGCGAGTGTTGGAGGCGTCGGGGTAGGCGGTAGGCTTGGACTGCCAGCGACAGATGCGGGTGCCCCGAGAGGGCCCGCCGCAAATGGATGCGCTTGGCTTTGCGGAGGAACAACAGGAGACTTGGACGAGCCTGCGCCAGGTGATTGTGGAGGGAGAGGGCCCTGTGCGATACCGGTGCGGCCAGATAGTGCAGTCGTGAGCGGTGGTCGTTGAGGTGTCTGTTGCGCATGGTACTGCTGTTGTACATAGGATGGCAAACGGGGTGCACCAGGTACAGCACCATTGGGCGGTTGAACATAGGACGGTAGACGCGGGCCTGGTGGGCCGGGTGCGGGGGGTGCACTGAGCGGCGCTTGTGCGGGCACGATCGGCGGTTGCGGCATCGGCGGCTGCGGTGCTGCGACCGGTAACGGCGGTACATACGCTTGTTGTTGAGGTGGAGCGACATATTTCACCGGCCGTTGCGGTGGGGTGGTGGGCCGTGGACGGTGCGCGACGGGAACGTGATCCTCCAGCTTGGGTATGTTCTTTGGCCGAGGCGGGTTCTTTGTAGCGTTGGGGTCGACTTTGAAGTTATCTGCGTTTGCGATATCCGGACGAAGCGCCTCAAGTTCGCGCAGGAGTTGACGATCGTACATGAGCGTGCTTCGCGAGTGCTCAATCAAGGCGGCGGTCACGTCGTCGGTGACTTGCCGATTGTGTCGCTGCAAGGCGACGTGCAGGTTCTGGGAGATGCCCTCGGCACGACGGGCGAGCATGGACTCGTATTTATTAGCCTGTGTTATTCATAGATTAGCTCGGCATGGGCGTCTAAAGAGGCAAACCGCCGCACCTCCTCGAGTTCCTCCAGCGCCTCGTCTACCCTATCGGCACGGATATTCGAGCTCGCCTTCAATCGTTCGATCTGGCGGCGCTTCGAAATCGCGTGTTTCACAGCCGCCTGGTATTCTTCCAGCACACCCGTGCGCTGCAACAACGTCTCCTTCGCCGCACGCGCGTTCAGGCCTTGGTATCCAAGGCTGTCAGACAGAATCACGCATTCGGAAATAGCTTGAGCTTGATCCAGGTCACTGAGGGAGTGCCAGGTGCGGCCGAGTTTGCGGAAAGCGAGAGCGATGGGCGGATGCAGTTCAGTAGTGGCGACATTGATGAGTTTATTGCCCATTTCGGCATGCGCATTGGCGAGGGCTGTGCGTCGTCATTAGAATGTGCTACAGAATAGAGAGGGATTCCGAACCTTTCCGCGCGTTTGATACTCTGTCAAGCGCCTTTGCAGCCTCAAAGAACTGGCCCTCGAGTTTAGTGAGCTCGAACCTCGCTCGCTGCAGTTCTTCATCCTCGTCCGGCACCTGACGCCGTCCGAAGCCAAAGCCAGAGCCGGTCTTGCGACGCGGGCGCGGGGTCGGCTGGTAGCCGAAATCGGACTCGACGAAGCTGCGCAGTTCCTCGTCGTGTAATAAAATCGGGTCCGTGCAGACGCGCGCAATCCAGCGCTGGAGCATGATGCGCACGAGCCGGTCATCCTCGTCGTCGGACGGTGCCGAGGTTTGGGCCAATGGGAGCGCGGGAACCAGCGTCTGCGGGTTGTTGTGCGCGATGGCGTCGTAGAATTGTTGGAACTCGAGGTATGAGCGCGATACGTTGCGGTATGTGGTGCCAGTAAAGTTGGAGAGGTTCGTCTGCAATATATTGGCATATTGTTTCCCAAGAGAGACAATGATATATACCTGCGCATCAAAGCGAACGAGAATGTCGCGCCTATTCCTGTCGAGACCGGTGATCCTGACGTTCAGATAGGGCTCCGGCTTCTCGTATTTGCTGCCGTTAGCACCGGTGTTCTCCCGGGGCGATATAAGGCCTGGCTCGGGTGCTCCGTATATTTGCGGCTGCCTGTCCACGAATTGCGGGCTGCCCAGCCTGTCCTTGTCGGGTGCACTGGGCGCGTCTCCCGGCCGGCGCAAATTGGGTATGGGCGATTGCGGGTGCGGCGCCGACGGCCAGGACGCTGTGGTGTCCTCGTCGGCAAAGCCGTTGCCCAGCGGGTCGTCGTTCCACATCGTCGTGGCTGGAGGCCAACCTTGCGCGGGACAGCCTTCGCATCATGTCCGCTAACAGCGCGTGTCATCAGATCCGCGTCAGCGTCTATTCTTTCCATCCCCAATATCACTAGATTAAGTCGTGGTACATATATACCCAGGTAGATCTACAGTTACTGTAAAGAGCGACAGTGTCTATGATGGTGGTTATGGTCATGATCGGTCGAGGTCGCTGTGGTGCAAGGGTAGCATGTGGCCCATGCGCAACACTTTGGTCCGCAAGTACTTGTCCAAGTCCTCCCCATGCGTAACCTCACCGCCGATCATCGTCGCGCCGGGTATCCTCTCCTCCTCGACATCGTCCTCGCCTGCTATATGCGGCTCCGCATGTGCGTGCACCCGCTTTTGCCAACTCCGAGGCACCATCGGTACGCGCTCAAGGATGCGCAAGCCCTCCGCCTCCAGCGCTTGAACCTTGTCCGGATTATTCGTCAATAACCGCATACCCTCTCCCTGCCCCTCCTTGCCTCCCAAACCAAGATCACGCATGATCCCAACGGCGACCTCGTAACCTCGCTCGTCCGCTCCGTGACCAAGCATGAGGTTCGCCTGCACAGTGTCGTGCCCCAGATCCTGCAAGTTATATGCGCGAATCTTGGACAACAACCCGATCCCACGGCCTTCCTGGCGCATGTACACAACAACGCCACGACCGGGAATCGTCCCAACGCCCGGCACTGTGATGGGCTGTGCCATCTGCCTGAGAGCCTCGTCAAGTTGCTCGCCGCAGTCGCAGCGCATGCTACCGACAGTCTCGCCCGTGAAGCACTCCGAGTGCATACGCACGAGAGGAGCAGGTAGTGCTGGATGCAGAGATGTAGGCGCCGCGGGTTGGCTGGGCGCTACAGTGCGCGAATTCGGGCCGAGGCGTCCGGTGTATGCGCCGCGGACGATGCGGTCCATGTCGGTCTCGTTCTCGCTCCAAACAGCATCAAGCGTACGCGAGCGGATGGGTGGTGCGAGTGATGACCCCTCTTCAAACTGAGCGGGATCGACGACAAGGGCCAGATGCTCCTTGTTGTCGCGATTATTGTGGTAGAGGTGCAGGAAGACAGGGCCGTGCGGGGTCGGGACACGAGTGCGCGCCATACAGCGTACTTCGAGCTCGGGCTTCGGCGGGAGCGTAGGCGCCGAGGCAGATACCGCCGGCACGGCAGATGACTGAGCGCGCTCACGCGGGGAGGGCAAGTTCTCCGCCGGTTGCAGCGCCGCGTTCTCCTTCTGCAGTCGATGGGACCGGGGAGCCTGTTGGCTCACGTATGGCAGGCGCTTGCCATGCTTCACGTCGCCCTTCCACTTGGTCCAGTCATATGAGCCCTCGGCCTTGGGCATGTCCACGGCAGGGAAGAAATCATGAGTGTAGTGGTGTCGCGTAGGAGATGCGGCTGCTACAGAAGCGAGGAGAAGCGGGTCGAGGTCCTGATCTCTTCTCTTGAACTTGTTCTGAGAAAGTGGAACGGGACCGGTGAGGGCGTCTAAGAGAGCGAGGTCCGCCACAGCGTCGGCGGAGATGCCATGCTCTCGGTGCGCGAGGTAGTCCGCGTGCATGTCCATGGCTATAGACTAAGAGGAGCAGGGGTAGCGGTAGTAGATTGGGGAGAGTATCCAGTATTGTGCACAGTCCGCTCACGGCATTTTGTACTCACAATTCCGCGGCGTCGGAAGCTTGCGCCGACCCGGCACGCCACTTCGACCGCGTGAACTTATTCAGCTGTTTGCATCTTCCCGTTCGCCATGACCAACAGCTCTCTTGTAAACTCCGTTACATTGCACGCAAGTCTTACGCTACATTAGAGTGTATCTGCCAACGCCGATTTTCTGCTCGAGTGGAGCGATTCCATTGGAATGGCGCTCGCTCATTGGCTTGGGGCGGTCGTTCCTAGTGCAAGAGCGAGTGGCAGATACACCCTATTGCATACACGACCATGAGCTATTCCAGCGCTTGTCCCGGACTCGTTTAGACGACTATGCGCGCTGGATCAAGCCAGGCTCGTGAAAGTTCTCAGGTTGCCGACTCGGCCTCGGCCCACACCGAAACATCCTCCCGTGACGCGTTCTCCAGCGCGTTCTCCAAACCTCCACAGTCTTTCCAGCATACTTTCCGCGCAGTGGACGCGCGAGAGGCGCGGGTGCAGAGGCATGCAGCCTCAACTTCGCGACTTCGCAGACTTCCACCACGAACCCCTAACCCGATCTGAACGCGTCAATACAGTCTGTCAGCGATCACAAAGGCTTATGCAATCCCATTGGGTCCATCCATGATCTGCGCACACCCATTGGTGTGTATGGCATAGCGCACCCACACCAGACGCCTTGGAGCCAAATGCGTCTGCGATTCGCTCGCTTAAAGAAACACGAGGCGCGCCACACGACCAACCTATGCGACGGCCAACTCGCCTTTGAGGGTTCTTCATCTGCGCCTCGCTTTTGCTCTGAACTCTCACTCACCAACGAACATGTCTACCTCGAACGTCAATGACAAAGTCCAACAGGCGATGACGGGGATGAATTCGATCATGGACGAGTCTATCAGGCGGGGGGATCATAAGAGGTAAGCGCCCGCAACCTTGTCTGGTCGCGAGAGCCCGCACCGACCCTGACTGTGACTGTCTGCACAGCGGTTCGGCCAGGAAAAACAGGAGTACCATGTCGGAGAAGGAGAAAGAGCCGACGACGGGCCGAAGCGGTGTTGAGCTGGAGGAGCGGGTGCGTCAGGCCGAGCGCGAGGCGCGCGAGGCGAAGGAACGCGAGGAACAGGCGATGAAACGTGTTGAGGACTTGAACGGCGAACTTACTACCGCAACAAACACGGTCAACGCCGAAGCGGCAGAGACGATCGAACGGCTCCGGGTAGAGAACCAGGGTCTCAATGCCACTGTCGCTGAGCGCGAGACTGTCATCTCCCGTCTTGAACGGGATAATGCGCAACTACGGCAGGACGCGACAGCAATCAACGAGAAAGTCCAGCAGCTGGAGCGATCTGTGGCGGAGCTAAAGGAGGCTGGAGAGAAGGCGCAGAACGAGGCAGAACGTTTGAAGACGGCGCAATCTAATCACTCGACGATGACCAATGACTCTGCGTCTCCAGAGCTCGTTCAGCAACTCCGTGTACGCAACGCTGAACTCGAGACGCGTCTCGCGGATTCGGAGCAACGCTTTCAACTTGGCAAGCTACAACTCGAGGCGATGAACGGGAGTCTGCTATCCAAGCATAAAGAGCTAGAGCAACTCAAAGAAGGCTTGGAGGACAAGAATAGGGAGTTAGGGAACATGAACAGGCGGTTGGAAAAATTTGACGTCGCGAATCGTGTACTTCACAGCGCCAAGCAAGCGTTACAGGAAGAGGCTGAAGGCTGGAAACAGCGTTCCAAGACCGCCAGTGATGCCGTCAGGAGTCTAGAGCGGGAGCTCAGGGAGGTCCAAGCTCAAGGATACGTCGCGAATGCGGATTCCTCCGTCGTACTCTCTCCAGCACTCGACGTCGTCGACGATTCCATGGATATCGACGGTCCACCGGAACTGCCCTCACCACCCTCATCCCCAGTGGCAGGGCCCATTGAACTTCGCGAAGTTCGCCAACGTAACCGACGACTCTCGCAGCACAACGACACGCTGCGTTCGGGCCAAGTCAAAATCGAGCAGGAAGTCCAACTTCTTCGAGCCGACAACGAACGGTTACAAGCAGACAACGCGCGTTATGAGCCCTTTGTACTGGCATCGGAAGAATATAATGGTGAAGTCGAGAAACTGACGGCAGAGAATGCCGCTCTCTGTCGATCGAACGAGCGGATTCGTGAAGAGGTCGAGGAGCTGAGAACCCTGCGCGACCGCGGACTGCTGCAAGATCTCAAGAGCGCTTCGCCGAACGGGCTGGTTCCGTCGGGTGAATTGGCGGGCTTGCTGGCGCAGAACATGGCAAACGTGTTCGCTGGGATAGACGCTGTACTTGCAGAGACAGCTCAGCGGAAGTTCACGGTGATCGACAGGCCGCAGCCTCCAACGACTTCGCTCAGTCGGCGCCAGTCCATGGTCTTCAAGCAGGCCACGCGGCCGAGCACTCCGGCGTTCGCACACGTATGTGTTTGTCGCGCGTTGTGGGTATTGCGGAAGATGGCTAATTCCTAATCGGCATATCCAGACGGGCTCGATTGCGACAAAGAGCTTCACGGCTCCAGGCGAGAGCGCGAGTAGCGCGGGCGGGTGGGCCTCTACCACTGAGACTGGCTGGCCCTCGGGCTGAGTCTCTGGAGATCTAGGCCTTCGACTCTTGTCTCAGTCTTCCTGACCACTGATGTATTAGACAGGCAACTTTGATCGACGCCAATAGCGTTTCGTTTGACACGTTATCATATCTGAAGCCTAATACTACCTTTCTTGCTTGAATGTGATGCGCGCTTGTTTACTGTGAACGTCTGCGCGATCCCAGTCATCCTGTGGTAGCCATGAAAGTAAGACTGCCATGGCCCCTGACCAGTATGCAGGCTTCGCCCAACCCATCGACCGCGCTCTGGGCCTTCGACGAGTTAACAGTCCAAGACATGCAGTGAGCAGGTATATCTGACACCCAGTTCTGCGCTTTGTGCCAGCTTATTCCCTAGCTCCTTGAACTCACGCACGTCGAGAACGCTCTGCCGGCCATGAACGTCCTCGACGACCCCGTCATCACCCTGCCGATCCTCATGGAGGCGTGGATGCAGGGCTTCCTACAAATGGCTATCATCACCCAGGTGCGTTTGACACGTCTCGTGATACGCGCCTGACTGACGGTATTCATAGGCGGTAATGTACTATTACAACCCGCTGGGCGACAAATTGAGCCAGAGGTCGTATGTCGGGGCGCTGGTCGTCCTCGCTGCGTACGTCTGACATCACATTCCCCGCGGCCTTTACTCATTACCACATCAAACAGCACGCAAACCGGACTCGCGCTCTTCAAAGCCATCCATGTCATCATCCTCCGCCAGCCTTGGGTAGGATTCCTTACCTCTTCGCCGCGCGGCTATTATCACGAGGTACTCATCCATGAGCGCAGTCCGAATGGCCCGGGTACTTTCTCGACGTGTTCCTCAATGGGCTCATATGCAGTTTCTCCGAGGTGTGGTTGATTCGCCGTTGCTGGAAGGTCAGTCGGATGCAATAGTCCTCACCGTACTGGCTCATACATTATACTCCGCACAGTCCACCAAGAAGAACAAGTGGGTCTTGCTCGGTCTTGGCTCAATCGGACTATCCACATGCATTGTCAATATATATCTCGTGCGTGATGGCTCCTTCCGCCTACTGTCTCGCCTGTCTGACGGTATTGATAGGGCATCGACCTTGCAATCAGTCGCGTAAGGGGTGGGGTGGTGTCCGACGTATGTGGCTATGCCTTCACCGAATGGTCTCAGCTGACTCAGATGTCCTTGTAGCCTTTGCGCAGTGACCGATCGCCCGCTGTACGTATCATTCACAGTAGCCTCAGGCAGTTGCTGATCATCAAATATAGACCGTCTTTGCGTTTGATTACTTCATCTTTGCGTCTTTCGTGCTCGACGTGAGCATGTCCGCCATACGTACGTCCTTTCCGTCTCGTCTGATGACATAGTGACTGATACCCCTGCAGTTGGATGGAATCTTTTCAGAGCCAGGGTTGGCGTCAAGTACTTGGACCAGACGCTCGTGCGAATCAACCTCATGATCTGGGAGTCTGCGGTACTTCCTTGGCTATCAATGCTCGTCGCCGTTGGCTTGTACCATGCTCGAGTGGTATGTTCATTCTACTTCACCTTCATGGGCTGCCCGAGCTGACGGTATCTAGCAAAACCTACGCAACTTGGTTTTGCTCTTCCTCCTCTTGACCGGCAAGCTATACATACTCGGCATCCTCCTCGCATTGAACTCGCGCGAGTCCTATCGTAAAGATATGGGCGAGAATCAGCCACATGGCCGGACGTCGCTCACGGGTTATCAGTGGGACGAGGAGGCGACGCTCGGCGGTACCGCTCACAATTCGCAAGAGCCAAAGCCTAAGGACGCTCGTGTTGATATTAGCATTCATGAAATGCTCAGGGTGAGGGCTTCGATGATCCATGTGTACTACCTATGCTGAATACAAGGCAGTCGGGACCCGCAGATTCGATCTCGGTCAGATCGTTTCTGCCGGAAAGCTCCGCTTCCTTGGCTCAGAAGCCTGCTTCTATCGGTTCGATCAAGCGCAAGCCTTTGCCCCCTACTCCCAAGGAAGACGAGGATTTCGCACCGGTGAACAACTTTGGTTTCGCGCATATGGGCTCGCAAGACATGGCGATCGCGGATGCGCTCCGTGTACGTTCATCTCTACGTTGGTGTATGCTGTCTAGCTGACTTCGTTGCAGATTGGGCCAGGTCCTGACGCAAATGGTAGTCGTAAGGCGTCCACTCAGGTCGACCCACTTGACTGGCCTCTGTCTTCTTTCGTGCGTGACGGGCCAAGCCGCTCGGACCTTGACGCACCAGCGCCCGTCATTGTCAAGCAGACCTCCGAGCCCCGCGGTTTCATAGCTCTTCCTCCCGTTGAGCTCGGGGCTCGATCATTGTCCATCGGCTCTAGCTCGTTTGATATGGAGCCATGCACGAGCTGTACGTCAGCGGAGATCGCAGAGTCCAGTACGTTATACTCTAGGCGCGCGCGACGCGACGCGGTTTCGGGCGAAAGCATCGGAGAGTTGCATACTAGTATGCCTACTTAATCATTGAACCGCCAGTTGAATCTGAAGTTGCTCTGTCATCGCGGGACCAAGTCCGCCATCTCATGTATAGACATACAACCTCGTACCATTCACTAGATACCTATGCAGACGTGGAGTTCTTTGGCACAGCGAAAGGCTCTTTCCCTGTGCAGGATAGCGATGGGGGGGATCAGAGTCAAGATGTGGTCCCTCGCACAAGCCTTGAGCTCGTCGCCCACCGTGGGCTCGCTTGTGTGATCGCGCCTCCCCGAAGCATGTGTTTGTCCTCCATTCATGCCCGCGCGCCACGGCACGTTCCAGAATATCTGCATGACTTCCATCATGACTTGCTCTTTCCTCTCACTTAACCAAACATTATGTCCGACGACGGAATCTCAAATCGTGACCAGACTCTTCTTGCGGCACAAGCACAAGGCCCACATGAAGACCGCGCCTCCCTTGTGACGCGCGCACGGCAATTTCTGCTTTCTCCGCAAGTCCAGCATGAGGACGAGTCCGCCAAGCGAAGGTTTCTGCAAGACAAGGGTCTGTCGGAAAGTGAAATCGTTATGTTGCTTCGAGAACAGGTATCAATTACTCTGCCTCGGCATCTGTACTGCCGAATTGACGCGCATGTCAGAGCACTGTAGCATTACCCCCCGTACCTCCGCGCACCTATCCGCGGCCACCTCCTTCGAATATCCCCATCATAATGGCGGGCGTACTGAGAGTGATGATGTGGGGCGCAGGAGCTAGTGCCGTTCTTCTGCTGATATACCACGTACGTTTCCTGACTGGGCGCCGTCATGACTGAAGACTGACATACGCTTAGCGCCTGCTGTTACCACTCTTGACCCGTTCGGCGAATGCGCGACGGTCACTCAAACATCACCAACGAGATTTGCTGTCTAAACTCACTGCGTCGGCGCAAGAGCTAAGGGATGCCCAGCGGAAGTCATTCGCGGATCTACCACAGGCTACAATATCCGGGGAGCTGCCGCCCTATGCAGATTGCAAAACGGTCGATGATGTACTCTCTGCCCGGGCCGGGACGACTGAAGTCCCACCGTTGTCACTGTTACGCTGTGCTCTTGCTGATATTGGCCCCACGACATCTGGGCCAACAACAGACGAACTTTTTGCGCATTTGTATGGGAAAGTGCCGTGGTTGGAGGGCGCTTCTGCGTATCAAGTGAGTACGCGCACGCAACTATCGGCGAATTTCAGACTCAACATGTATAGGAGCGGGTCTGGCAAGTGCTCAATGAGAGCCCGCGCTTCAGCAGCTCTGTTGAAGGGCCGGACGATACTGCTCACTGGTCCTACATCCCTGTCCCTCCACCCCCGGCAACACCGGCAATCGCCTCGCTTGAGAATCTGGCGACGTCGCTGAAGTCACACTCGACAGCTTCAGAGACGGTTTCGTACCGTCAACATACTCTGCAGGCCTTGGCAGACTTCACTGGATACCTGACGACGCAAACATACTCGTTGGCTTCGTCTCGATTGCGCATACCAGGTGTGCAGCCGGATTTGCAGAGCACTCAGGAGGAAGACGTCAGGAAAGAGATTCGCGCATTAAAGGGTCTTGTCCTCAACCGGTACGCTGTGGTGTCGCTTCTCTTGCACTTCATGTAGACTGATGAGCTTTCGTTCGCAGGAAATCCTTTCTTCCGTCTCGACCTGTCTCAATGATTACATGACCGAACAAGCGGAGCCAGCGTCTATATTCCATCATCGTCTGCGGCCCTTTGTATCGTGGTGTACTTTGCGGTCTGTGATGAGTTTCATTTGAACCTCAGTCATCGAGCGCGCCAAGCGTACGAATTGAGAGGGCACAAGCGATAAATATAATAACCGGAGCACTCGAAGATGACCAGTACAATCGTTTAAGACCATCTCGTCATCGTTCACGCTCATCGAGTGATATACTCGGGGGCCTGAGCGTACTATAACGCACACAGACTCTCGTCAGGACCTACAGGAAATTGCATCATGCGAGATCGCCGGGGCCGCGACCACAATGCCATGGGAACCCTGGCTTAGTCATCCGGTGCGTCATCGCTTTCCGCTGGCGCGCACTGCCAGGCGCGTCCCCTTGGGGCCAGATGGCATGCCGTTGAAGCCTACCGGATAGCCCTTGTACAACCTCCGCTCCACCTGCCGTGGTCTGTACAGATCCCCGCGATGACACCTACTAAAGAAGGTTGAGAGCCCTGCGCGCTCCCACTTTTCCCTCACCCTCTCCCCATATACCGCCAATATGGCATACCAATTTCTGGCGACTGGCGACGATGAGCGCCGCGTGCACTTTGCGACAAGCTCGACCGGTCATCTTCTGAGCGAGGAAGGCTACTCGCACGGCTCGCATTCTCCAGCATCGTCTGTATCGAGCTTCACGAGCAGCAGTGCTCCGCCTCGTTCAGCATTCAACCGCCGGTCAAGCGGATATAGCGTCGTAAACGTGCGTGGCGCAGAAATATCTACGACTGTGCTGCTTGCTCATTCTTGCCAACAGTCAAATACGCCTTACGACAGTGCGGGAAGAAAGATGGGCGGCACAATGGTGGCGGGGACAGGACTTGGAAACAAGGTGCGTGGCGTGTTCTGCCATCTGAATTCCGCCTGACGTGTCGGTGATCCGCAGTTCGCGCTCCCAGCAAACCCGCAACGCCTGGGATCGTTTGCGTACGAAGGCCGACGCCAAGAAGCCGATGACGCACTGCATAATCCTAGCGCCCACGATGACGACCTCAACCTGTTCTCCGCTCGTGGTCTGGCCAATGTCGGCTGTTTGCTAGTGCTCTGTGCGGCTATCCTGGGACTCTTGTGAGTGCAGGTGTATGATTGTCAACAATAGTGGACTGACTTTCGTTCAGTGCTGGATACCCTATATTCACCTATTTTAACGAGCGAAATCATCCTGCAGGGAGCGCAAACACTCTCGCAAACGACTCGGGCATGGTGAGGATCAATGCTTTCTACCATTCCTTTGCGCATCTGACTGTAGGGGCAGATAACTTCCATGCACGGCTTGTGGAGTCTGATTGACCCGGATACCCCGGAGGATGCGAAGAAGAAGAAGGCGTGGAACGGAGGCGATGACATGGAGCTCAGTGCGTTCTGATCATTCCCGCATTGCTCAACACTACTAACCCTTTCCTCAGTATTCAGCGATGGTAACATTAAGGCCTCTCACCAGTATGCTTAATTCTGACAGAGTGTCTCAGAGTTCAATCAGGATGGTCGCACGTTTGCACCTGGCGACGATAAGTACTGGACCGCCGTCGATCTGCATTACTGGTGAGCTTAAACCGTGCCATGCGTACGATCCTCTATTCGTTCGATGCTGACGTCGTTGCAGGCAGACTAACAATCTGGGTTCGTATGGGTGCACGCGATCTTATTATACCGTGATATACTGACGGCACACTAGAATGGTATGACCCGTCTGCCATCACTACCAAAGACGTGGGTAACACTCATCGCATTATCCATTTAATTGTACTCACCGAGCCCATAGGGCAAACTCGTTATCACGCTATCCGAAGCTACGCCCGAGCTCAACCACGGCATGAACTATAAGGGTGGCATGATGACAACCTGGAATGTACGCCATTACCTCTATTACATTCTCATAGGATTAGTCCTCATCATTTTGCAGCAATTCTGCTTTACTGGAGGTATGGTCGAGGCTAGTGTCACGCTTCCAGGTGCCAACGACGTCGTTGGCTTGTGGCCGGTGCGTGTTATCTCTTCTTTCAGCCACCCTCTCATCATGCCTGACTGTCGATCAGGCTATCTGGAGTATGGGCAACCTCGGACGCGCGGGCTATGGCGCATCGCTAGAGGGACTTTGGCCTTACTCTTATGGTTCGTTATCGCAGTCATGTGTACGATCAATGAATTGACTCTCCTCACTCGTAGACTCCTGCGATGTCGGTATGTTGGACAACTCGTTTTGTAAACACCCATGGCTCATCCCGCGCGCTCTATAGGAACCGCCCCGAATCAGACTGTGAACGGACAACCCGTCGCCGCGACTGAGAATGGTGATCCGAGTGTCAACGGCATCCTTTCATACCTTCAAGGACAACGCCTTTCTCGCTGTACCTGCGGCGGCGAGAGCCACCCTGGCCCCAAACACTCCGACGGCACATATGGTATGTTGCAAAGGTTATTCATTCAACGCTTGAGAGCTCAACCTATCTGCCTAGTTGGCAGGGCGGCGCCCGAGATCGACATGTTCGAAGCTACCGTCGAAGCTTCTGTGGGTTCCACAGACAGTGATGCGCTTGCCGGGCTCGTTTCACAGTCAGCACAGTGGGCTGTAAGTTCATAGTGTCATGGCTGCTCTTCGCCGTGCTGAATAGTTCGCCAGCCTTTCAATCAGGGATACATCTGGAAGAACACGTCTGACAACTTGAAGATCTACGACACATCCATCTCCGAACAGAACCCCTACATTGGAGGCAAAACCCAACAGGCGACCTCGGCCCTCACGAATACGAACCAAGACTGCTACGAACTCGAAGGCGGATGCTCGTCAGTGTACGGTTTTGAAGTATGTATCCATCGTCGTATTATTTGTTGACCTCTCTCACCCCTGTGTCAAGTACGTGCCAGGGTTCGACAACGCGTACATCACATGGGTCACCGACAACAAAGCCAGTTGGACCATCAACGCGGCAGGCGTAGGTGCGGACGACTCCGTCGGCATCTCCGCTCGACCAGTCCCGCAGGAGCCTATGGTGAGCATACCTCCATTGATTCGGCTTCAGAGGAGCTGATTTGTTTACCCTAGTACCTAATCATGAACCTTGGTATTTCTGAGAACTTTGGCACCCCAGACCTCACGAATCTCAAGTTTCCGGCACACATGTCCGTCGACTGGATTAGAGTCTATCAACGGTCCAGTGATAGGAATGTCGGGGTAAGCGGCTTTGGCCTTGAAACATACACGTCACTAATGGAGTTTGCAAGTGTAACCCGAAGGACTTCCCTACTGAGCCATACATTGAGAAGTACCAGGAGGCATACAGCAACCCGAACTTGACGACCTGGGTGGACGACTACAAGCAGTCCTGGCCGAAGAATTCCTTCCTTGGGGAATGCTGATAAACTCCGTCTTGTTACGTGCTGTGCCGCTATCATCGCTTGCCTTCGCCATCCTCGCTCTGCGTCACAGATGTCAGATTATGGACCTTTGCAGTATCCCTGCTTGCCACTCATTCCTCGCTTCGACGACACAGGCCCGGACATTGTTCCGACTCTGATACCTCTTGTTTACTTGTATACCACCGCCACCACCAAGACACGTTAAACCCGTTGTATAATGTATCTACTTGTACTATGACATCATCCTCCGCGTACGCGCGACGAACTTGCGACGAACAAAGCATTGAAAGGAGGAGAGTCACGGCAATTGCCGATTACGCGATCGGACCTCGAACACGCGCTTCGTCAGGCTTCGTCGCACACTTCATCATCTCCTACATCCACACAACGACCTTGACATTTCGTCGCACTACGTATAGCGCAAGATACTTGATACGAGCTTGATACGAGTGCAACTTCAAATGCGGCCTCTACAGATTCCTGCCCTGATGATCGGCCTCCGGCAGTTCCCGTCTGGTGCGGCGACGTGGATGAATGGGTCCTTGCTTTCTTGTGGCTGCGAATCTGCGCTTTGTCCAACCGCACTCTGTGCCCGTATCTATCAAGTGGAATCAGAACTCGGAGTCTGTCAGCAAGGCGATTTGGACACCTGGCTGTGGCCCCGCTTCTCGTCGATGTTCATCCTTTCAGCCGCCACACGGGTGCTGCTCTTTGGCGTCTTTGGGATGCGCACACGATGTAGTCGAGGAACGATATGTGTGTGCTGGACTGAGATGAATACACGGGCTCCGCTTGAGCACTTCATATGACGACTATTCTCTTTTGGCATGCGCATGGGGCCACTCGCTACAATCACGAACTGAGGGCATCATGATGTTATGTTGAAGCGAAGCCACTGGCTGCCCACGCAGCAGCGCGCCCACTGGCGATAAGTGGGCCGTCTACTCTGCTCATGACAGACAATACACTACTGTCAACTCGTCTTCTATATCATCCGGCGTATGGGCTCGCTATCTGGGATTGTGGACTACCGATGGCCGCGTGTTCGTTGTGATTCGGGAAAGAATCAAGCACACCAAAGGCCGCTTCTTTGCAAGCGTTGTGGCTGGACAATGGATCGCCTATGTTCTTTGGACGAGCTGACTCTCTTTCTACGCGTGTACCTTTCAGAAGGCGTTATATATGTCGAGTTGGACGTTGGAATGTTCTTCAGCATCCAGCTTCAGCTACTCAGCGCAGACCCAGCATCGCATTTGGCATCTCTATCTCTCTCTCTGTACTATCCTCTGTATCTTCTAGGCTCTTACACTTCTGTATCTCTATATTCATTTCTCCATCTGTCATGGCTCCCGTTCAAATCAAGCTCGAGGATCCCCAGTCTCCTTACTTCTACCCAAAATCGCTCGCGCTGGCAAAGGTTATCAACGTCGCAGACTACAAGGTCGTCAACTACAACTATCTCTTCGAGCATGCCAGGAAACAGGGAAAGCACCGCGATCGCCTGCCACTCTACAACCCCATGAAGATGAGCAAGCACATCGACCCTTGGACTGGGCAGAAGTACACGCCTCTCCCTCCCATTCTCTTCGACCTGGTCGGACAGCCTGCTGGCTGGGGCATCAACGTTGGCGACGCCTATGCTCGCGGACCAACTCTAGGTCAGAGCCTGATCGGAGGTAATGATCTGGTTCTCCAGGGATACCGTCACATCGAGATAGAGATCAACGTCGAGGTATATAACTACCAGTCGTCATTGAGGATGACTATCTGACTGCTTGTATAGTGGCCCTGTTTCTTGCACTACCCACCCGTCAAGAGCAAGTTCATTCTCGGAGAGAAGACCAAGACCCGCTACCACATGGCTCACTATGCCTCTCAGGCCATCGTAGCCTTTCTCAACATGGCCGCCAAGTGGAATGTCGATTCGAACAGTCGCTACTGGGCTCCCGAGTCGTGCCGTGGAGGTGTCCCTGGGCTCAACGCATACACAATGCAGCTTGTTGCCCTCGTTAACACGCACGATAAGTATTGGCGCTGCGATATCGCCTTTGTCCGGCCTGCCGGCTCGATCCCGCGGGACAGCTCCCCGACTATGCTTGACCCCGTCCAGTATCAGTTCTTCTAGGCTGGTTCTTACTTTTTATCTCCCGTTCCCGTCATCCACCAGATCGCCGCCTGTATCTGTATCCTCTAGATTCACAAGTATCTCTTCGACACTCATCACCGTCATTGTATCCATAGCACTCGTATCCTCACGCATTCTGTCCTCATCTGTATTTCTGGCTCATTCGCATCGCATAACTCCAATACTCATACCCTTACTCATATCCTCCCCATTGTACTGTTCGCTTTCGTGCCGCATAGACTGCGCTAATACACTTTTCGACACCCTTCATTGTCACCAGCGAAGAAGATCAGAGCGAGATGCAAGGTGAAGATACGGATACATGGCAATAGGCTACAGTTAATACTGACAGCAGACTTACTGGTCCGCTTTCTTCTTCTTTTCTTCGACGATGTCGACGTTCTCGATAACGACACCCTTGAGCAAGTCGAGGCCCTTCTTTCCCTTGCCGCCAGCCCCCTCTTCTTGCGCGTCGTCGATCATATCGAACACTTCCTGCGAAACATCTCCCTGCACGACAATCTCTTCGATCCCGGCCGCGTTCTTGGTGACGGATGCGCCGGTAGCAAACTTCTGCGCGAACAGCTTAGCGGCCTTCTTTAGGTCAACACCTGGAGAAGGCGCGTCAGGAAAGCGGAGGATATCACAGATATCAGGCAGCGCACCGAACGCTTCTAAGCCTTGAATAGCGGTGACGTGCTTGCGCTTATTGCGCTCTATTCGCTTGATGATGACCTGCAGGACTGTCAGGTTGATGCATAGCGTAGAACCAGTAGGATGGACGTACTTGTGATGCCTTGAGGAACAGTCCATCGAGTTACTGATACACGAGCGATATCCATGGACGGCGACGTACCATCTTCTTCTTCTCTGCCGCCTCCGCCTTAGCCTCCGCCTTTGCTTCCTTCTTGGCCGTGTCCTTCTCCAGCTTCGACTGTGCCTCCAAACTCAGGGTGCCGAGCTTGGCCTGCAACGCCTCTGCGGAGCGGTGGTCGGTACACAGTAGCTCCCATATTTGGAAGGCGCACCTTCAGAGTAGTACTTGGGGTACAAGTCGGGATGGGTCTTCTCTAACCATTCCTTGCACTTGGTGAAACGCGAGCCGAATTCGCAGTATTCGATCGGGTATGTGCACACTTTACTCGACGCGATCTAAGGAGATGCGCGCGCAGAGATCATGATAGGGCTCACCTCCGCAATATAGGACCTCAATTGGCGGGACAGGCTGCTTTTCTGGTGTTGATGTTTCGGCCATGGGGATAGCGAGTAGATTAGATCCTCGAAGTTGGAGGCAACTCGTCCAACACCTTGACGCGGAAACAACTCTCCGGACCGACATCCGGAAGTCGCGCTCCGCGTCCTGTCAGTCTGTGACGCGTTCACGCAGCCGCGCATGCAAAAAGACAGGTTACAAGAATCGTATATGCTATTATTGCAGGTAAGACAAACATTGCGGGTTACAGTAGACACTATTGTACAAGAGAGCATGATTACGCAGACATTTCTTTATGCAGAAACATTGCGACGATTCCAAGAGTCAACAAACAACACGGGCACACACACGGTCGCGGAGCGCGACTACGTCAACGATCTCCCCCTCCCCCTTCTGACCTTCCGCTCAACGGCCCTCAGGCTTGCGGCCGTCCGCGTTAGCGCCAGCAGGACCTTCATGCGGCTTGCTGACGTTGGACGCCTCGTCCTTGGCGTAGGTCTCCGTGCCGCCGTAGCGGAGCTTCTTGCCATCCTGACCGTTTCCGGGAGTGTCATATGGCTCGTCCTTGTCCACGGTAGCGTACGACTGGGCCGCCTTTGCGCCAGTCTCTGCGTATTTCCCGTTCGGGTGCTCATACGGACGCTGCACGGCCTCTGACCCGCTGTCGACGCGGTGCACGGTAGAGTCATTCGGCGGCTCAGAGTCGACGTCCTTGAAATACGAGTCGGCGCTGTGACCGTCGCTGTTGGCTTGTGCGGTCTGGGTAGACGCGAATGTCCGCGTGAGCGAGGCAGCTGGCTGAGCTGGCATGCGGGACGCGATGGCGCGGAGGGTGGGTACAGCGCGGGCGTTGAACATGATTGTATGCGGTGTGTTTGATAGTACAAAGCGCTTAGTTTCGGGTGGTAGTGGTGGTTCTGGAGAAAGAGCGCTGGCTGATTTTATGCCCCTGCCAGCAGCGTACGGAACGTTGAGAAGCACAGGGGCCTGCGCCACTCGCGTTGATGTGCACGTCATGACGTCACGCGTTCGTCGACGCCTCGACCGCCATATATTGGCAATTCCCTTCCCTCCCCAATTGGCTACGCTGCAAACGAGGGTGCAAGATATATGCGCTACCAAAGTCTAATCCTCCCTCAGGTCGACGATGATAGGCATGAACGCCCCAGCGCCAAACTCTTGCCCTTCACGCACGAGCTTCCCCATCGGCCAAGACGCGGCGTTTGCGAAGATGGTATGCGGAACTCCCTCTGCCAACTCGACCTTGTTCTTCTCCGTTGTCAGTGTCTTCTCTGCATGCTCCCATTCCTGCACTGCGAGCCCGTGAGCTTCGTGAATGTGGCCGAAGAGGTGCAGCCGCGGGCGTAACTCCGGCAGCCGAGCAGCGAGCGCCTCGCATCCGACGTTAAGCCCGGCCATAACTTGGTCAAGCACACCGTGCGGTGGCCCGTGCGTTATTCTAGGATGGCCATCAGCGCGCATATACGGACATCAAACGGAGGTGTATGCTGACAAGATGTCCGCCTTGGGAAACTTGCTGACGATCTCTGCGCGCTCAGTGCTGTCAGCGGCGACGCATCATTGACGGTGAGAAGCCGCTCTACCTTCCGCCTCGGCACCGCGAGCGTAGTTGAATGCCCAATTCCAAAACTCCGGCTGCCACTGTAGTCGCCTTCGATCAGTTCGGGACGACTTCTTGAAGAAAATCCATACGCACAGGAGAGCCGTATACAGTCCAAGACTTTCCTCCCGGTCTGACCTGAACTTCACAGCTCGCGTCTTCCAGGTACGTGATATTGGCTTTCTTTGCCCCGGCATCAGTGAACATAGACTTGATCGTTTGAGTGTCCTGAAGCACAGTTATCGTCACCGCTACGCGTAGCAAGAGACATGATCTGCGGCTTTACCTCCATCTCGCGATGCCATGTTCTGTAGTTCTTCTGGTACCAACCGTCGTGAAAGGAGAGATCATGATTACCCGCGATGATACTGGTGAAACCCATGAGTAAGATGATGAAGCCGTGTAAGCACATGCATACGCGTACATCTTGTGTGGATGAGGCAGTGACGATAGCCAGCGCAGAACACTGCGACATCCTTCTTCCCTCCCAACATGCGTCAAGTCTCCGCCGTGCAACAAGACATCGCCAATCGGAACGTCGAACTCATGTTCGTGGGTATCGCTGATGCAGACGAAACGCGTCCAGTTCCCCTCCGTGGGCTTCGTTGGTGGATTGTGCACGTCGTATTGCTGTATACAGAATCTATTCGCACATGGCAGAAAATGGTAGGCACGAGTTAGCGTACTGAGTATGCTCGAGACGTAGGCGTTGCGATCGCAGGTTCAAAGCTCTTCTCTGTGTCCGACATCTTGAACCTTCGGGTGCGCGGCACTCGAGCACTGGCAGTTGCAGTAGATGAGCGATGGGGGTAAGATCGACTGGGAGAACCGAATAGTGCTCTGCGCCAGACGCGCAGTATATATGATAGCTTCGAGAACAGATTGGCAAGTCTAGATCGGGAAACAAGGGATACTTAAGCACAGCACCGTGGTCGTATGACCTTCTATAGTCTAGCAGGCAGAGTCTAGTATAAGGGGCCTTATCACGGGTAACAGGCGTACAGATGGGCGAGCAGACACAACGTGCAAGTACGCAGGTCGCTGGGCCACCCCAACACGTTGTGCGGAAGACACGATCACGCGAGTTGCTCGGATGCTGTACGAACGCTAGCGCGCTATGGGCGCTTGTGGGCTTCTGGTGCGTCTAACGAAGCACATATGGCTGGGTTCAGGAGCTCAATCCTCGTCTCGCCCAACTTTTGAACAGCGCTCAGGCGGACAGAAGATGCGTAAGCCCCGAGTCCGCGTCGGTTTCTCGCGCCTGCAAGCGCGTCTATAGAAGTCCGGCTCAGCTTCTTCGACCTCAACATGACTTGCCGAATACCTCCAGCTGCAGAACTTCCTTCTCACCCGGAAGCCCTTCCTCTGATGGCAGCTTCGCCACCAAGAAGACAACTTTCTTCTATCTGTCCACCTGACGAATGCGCCCGCTACTGCAGAATCCACACACCCCCGGTGAATCTTCGCGACAGCCCCGCCTGACCTTCCGCAAGACATCGGCTCTACCACTCGTACGACAGACTATTTACCCGCGTGCCTGCACCTTGTAAGCATATATGTCGCACAGTGAGCGGGCTCCCGTACACCAGCCGCCAGAGACATGCTGCGTACACCGTTCTCTTTGGTCTGCTTCATTGCGCTCGCCAGTGCAGCCAAAAATGGCCCGTCGCACCTGGACACACTTGTGACATTCGGCGACAGCTACACGGATGCAGTCGTTACCGGAGACAACGCTACGGCATGGCCCGTGTATGCTGCAGGATATGCACACGCAACGCTGCGCCCATTCGCCCGTTCCGGCGGGACTTGCACCAACACGCTCACGCCGCGCACGTTCCCAAGCGTAATGGAAAGCCAAGTGCCACTTTATCTGGAGGAGGTCCGGAACAGGAGCTTGAGGGTGGACTACGAGAAGGCACTGTACACGTTATGGATTGGTGGGTATTCGCCGAATAGCGTCGGCATTGTGGGCTGACGAGAGAGCAAGGTACGAATGACCTGGGACCGAACACTCTCTTGACTGGCGATGAGGTGAGCGTCTGCAGTTCTTGGAGATCAAGATGGATTTCACGAAGGACAGGTTATGCCTAATGCGACTATCGCATCCGTCACTGCCTGTACCATTGACTGGGCGAAGGAGCTCTATGCCACGGGTGTGCGCAACTTCCTCTTCCAAAATGTGCGTCGCGTCATAGTCCCATCCATCCAAAAAAGTGGCGCTTATGCTGTCCTCAGATCATACCTCTTGAGAGGTTACCGATATACTCCGTCGACAGCTACCCAAATAGGTACTGGACAGCCGAACGTAACACGACGGAATGGCATCTCTTTATCCATGAACTTGCCGTCGCCGGGAACACTATCTCACGCTTGATGTGGGAGTCGTTGCCAGCGAAACTGCCGCACGCACATATCGGTCCGTTCTCCCCAAGGCGGAGGAACGCAAGACTGACCGCGAAATAGGTTACTTCGACTCGCACGCGCTATTCACCGACATCCTCGACGACCCGCGCAAGTTCTTGAATGGCACTCTGGCGTCACCGAATATCACAGGTGCCATCAATGCGTGCGTGTTCCAACTCAACGAGAGCACCTCAGGCCCAGCGGACTGTACAGTCGCACAGGGCAGCGACAGGGATAGCTTCATGTGGTCAGTAACGCCCTTCACGGCCGACGTAGAACCATGGGATTGACTAGATGCAGGTACGACGAGCTGCATCCGAGCGAGCAAGTCGACAGAGTCGTCGCGCGAGAGATTGCTGCCGTGCTGGAGGGTAGGGGTAGCAAGTACGCGACTTGGTTCTCTTGAGCGGCGTAGTGTCCTGTGCATGTGCAAAACCGGAGCTAGTGGCCTCACTGGTTTCAAACGAAAGGGAGGAGGCAGCAAGGATAGCAAAATGCATTGAGGAAAGAATAAATGATGGCAGTGTCTACTTCTGGATGCGGGTGAAGATGGGTTTCTCCTTCTCGTGGATCTGCGGCTGGTTGGCGGGGCTGCCGGGAATAGTCTTTGTAAGACCCTGGTGAGATTCGTTCATATTAGTAGACTTCCGGAATAAGTGTTGTGGACTCACGAGTTTGTCGAACATGCACTTGTTTAATGGACGCTCAAACTCGCGGCAGTAGTGGTATTCCTATTCCAGCGTAAGATTATGTCACGAAGTTGATGAATACGGGGCATACGTGGTTGTTGTTCTCCAGGCAGTCGATGTGAGCATTGTAGAAGCTTTCGCAGTTCTCCTTCATCTTGGCGAGACTGCAAAGCGTGTCGGTGGTTGAACGCGGAAATTAAGTATAGAACACGCACAGGTCCGTCGCACAGCGAGTTACCCTCCTTCCCTCCTTGAGACAATGAGCGGGATCGCGGCTTTCCGCCTTGCACAGCATAAAGTCCTCTGCGACATATTTGAGAACGATGTTTGAAGCATGGCGCGAGGGACGCACCGTTGAAGTCCTTGCAGTAGGCGCCGATGAAGAAGGCGGCGGACTTGAGCGGGCCGCTAGTTGCGCCGACCTCGTTGACCTTTGGGAGGCCGTCCGGGAGCGGCGTTGGCTCGACATAGGGCTTGGACGACGTCGACGGGGGCTGGTATGTGCTCATGGCCGCTTTCGAAACCCCGCGAGCCTGACTGGCCCGGCCGCGTTCACCCGCTCAGTCACGCCGTCACGCTCCGCCCTCCCCGCCCCGCGCGTCCGACTGGCAGGCCAAGATGCTTGCTCTCGCCGCCCGTCGTGTCTGCACCGCTCGCGTGCTCGCCACGCATCCATCCCGCAGACTTGTTCATCTCACCGCACCCAGAGCGGCAGACGAGCGTTGGCAGACGCTCACCAACATTCTCGCCGATGACAACCCGCCTCCCGTACAAGTCAAATCCATCTCACGCGAAGGCATTCAGCTGGCAGACGGCCTTATACTACCAGGCGCAGTGATCTTTCTAGATGGAAAAGTGCTGCTCTGGAACGTTCCCTCCAAGCTCTGGCAGGGTTGGACCGAAGAGACATTCGGCGTTTTCGAGGCAATCGTACCCAAGCCAGAAATCTTGCTGTTGGGCACGGGCAAGACGGTAGTACCGCCCCCTGCTGCGCTTAGAAACTACCTTCGTGGCCTGGGCATACAATTGGACGTTATGGACTCGGTATGTCCGTCTTCGGCTTATGACGTAGGACGGTTATGCTAATATACAGATAGTGGAACGCCTGCTCAACGTATAACTTGCTCGCTGAAGAGGGGCGGCGCGTAGCCGCCGCCCTTCTCCCGCACGAGCCTTTCGAGTGGAGATAGGCTACGCCTTCCTCTTCCCCTTCTTGACCTCACTCTCGACCACCGGCGGCTCGTCGACATCCATCTCCAACTCTTCTTCGTCATCCAATGGCGGTAAAGTGACAATCACCGGCTGCAGTTCCCCTACTCTACCTTCAGCGCATGACCAAATGATGTAATATGTAATATTATAACTCACCACTCTCCGGATCTCTGAATTGCACGTATAGTCGCTCCCAATTCTTCGCAACTTCAATCAACTTCTTGTCATCTTCGACCGTCTCATAGTTGCCGGAGTTCAATGGTGGTCTCTCCACGGCGAGGGCAAAGTCATCCAAGCTCGTCGGTTTGAACACATCTACGCTTTCCGTGACTTCATCGAGCAATGCGGACAGCACCTCCGTCTTGACCTCCGCCATTGTGGTCGTGTTAGGGAACGTTAAAAATACTGTCACTTTATGCGTCTTGACCAGAATTTGGAAGATCTTGGGTTGTGCTCGAACCTGTCGAGATGCATGAGCATGTTGACGCCATAGTACTTGCGAAGGCGGATTGCAACGGACCATGGTGGATAAGATACAAACGGGTCGCGTCTTTCCCGCGTCGCGGCGCGTCGCCGAGACGCGGTCACGGGAAGAGCCGAATCTGGAGGCGCGTCTTGCTTCCGCCCACCACCATCACGCGAGATAGATCATGGCCTCCGCGGCAGATATTCGCAGCGCCCTCTCACTACCCGCCACACACACACCTTCTGTTGCTGGTCCCTCCCAACCCAAGAGAGCACGGAAGCCCGAGGGAATCTCGCGAGAGCTCTACTCGTTATTGGGGCCCACGCCCGCGGGCACACTTGTAACCAAACATAAGCCTGCATTCAAACACAAGCCGAAACTAGGGAGGAGTACGAGATGGTGCGTGATTTGGGATGACAGACATAAACATGCAGACTTATTCTTTGTCAGGGAGTGGCGACAATTCAAGAACGGCGCGCGTACAGACGGGTTGAAGCTCAGTCATTGGGTAAAGGCAAGCGAAGAGCCAGATAACGGTGCGCTCTATATCTCCTGTAGCATGCAATATCCATCTGATGGTATGATAGAGTACCCGTGGTCCAAGTACAATGTATCGGGTCCAGGCTACAACTACACCGAACAGGAGTACGCTCAATGGCTGCAAGGTGAGTGCCCAATGTGACAAGCATGCGTTAATGCTTAAACGCTGTCCAAGACTCCAACTGGACTCGAGAAGAAACAGACTACTTGTTCAAACTTGTGAACGAGTGGGACTCGCGATGGTATCTCATCGCAGATCGTTACGACTATCCTGGCGGTAAAGAGCGCTCGATGGAGGTAATGCTCTTGCTGTATAACTGGCCACGGCGGCTCATGCTGTCCAACTTCAGGACCTCAAAGACCGATACTTCTCAGCCTGTCGCCGAATAGTGCGCAATAGGTCTACCATCGACGATGCTACAAAGTCCACAGTTCTACCGACCCTCGAATTCGACAAGGAGCGCGAGGTGACGCGAAAAAAGTACCTCGCATCACTGGCGAGTCGTACCGCGGAGGAGGTGGCGGAGGAGGAGGCACTCTATATCGAGCTCAAACGTCTCGAACAGAACGAGCGCTCATTTCGCTTCGAACGCGAAGCGCTCATGCGCACGATGCTCGGTGTGGAAGCAGGTCTTCCTGGATTACCATTCGCGGACGATGGCGGGCCCTTCGCGGAGAAGGAGAAGGAGCGCAGTCATGTGCATACGAAGGAACATCATGCGGGGAGCAGTCGGTCCAACAAGAGGAGGTATACCGAGACGGAGAGTCCCGCTGCGACGCCCGTCACTTCCAGTGCGCCGTCGGTCAGTACTAGGCGAATGGCGCCTCTACCACCTCCACCTCCACAATCAACTGCCTCTGCCGAATACGGTGGGTTTCACATTCTGTTCTGCTTGCATGCCTCTACTGACTGCGCTTCTTTAGACGAGAAACACTGCATATACCGTCCCGACCCGCGCTCAATCATCCCGACGAAATCAGCGCACAACATCGCGTTCCTGCGTTCTGGCAAGATGGCAGTACCAAAAACCACGATTTATCCACGCGTCGCAGCGCTGCTGACTGAGCTCGGTGTGAGCCAGACGCGGCTCGTCATGCCTACACGCGAGAATCTGGTCGCGTACGAAGGTGTTGTGGATGCATGTGCGGCGATTGTAGACGCTAAGAAGGCGTTGGATCGCATCGAGCAAGAGGTCAGGACTGCGAAGGAAAGGCTTGCGATGCGCGAGAGCCAGAGTCAAGAAGGGGGCGGAGGAACGCCAATGGATGCAGACGGGGAGGATGAGGATGGTGCTGAGAGTAGTAGAGGGCAAAGTCGGATGCCGAGCATTAGGAGGAGTATGAGTGTAAGCTCTGCAGATACTACCGCAACGAGGGGTAACAAAAAGCGTAAGGTCGGTTGATAGCCCGCCTAAACCTTCTTCCATTACCACATGTTCCCGTTTCTTGTCTGTACTCGTATTGCGCGCTGTAGGCTCCTTATTCCTCTCTACACGTGATAGCAGATGTTATCCCATTGTAAATTCCTCGTTGATGATAGCACGCAACACGGAGACAGCAGCCTTATTACTATACACAGGCCCGGTGTAAGCTCTACGGTTTCCATTGTCCGGGTCCACTTCGAATTCGTCACACTATCCTGAACTGCCTGATCTCCTCAAACCTTCGCCAGTACGATGCACGTCCTGCTCGGGATGTATACCTGCAAGGTCTGTATCAGCGTCGAGCGATACGAACCCAACACAGTTGTAGACAAACCTGGACCCAGTTCTTGCGCCCGTTCCACTCCATCGCCGTCGTCTCGAAACTGACGGTCTTGTCGACATTGGCGAACCCTCCGAGATCCTTGTCATCGCTGCTCAGCACGATCTTGTACGTCCCTGGAACCTCCACGCCGACACGGTAATCCGTGAAGCTGTTCACGGGGTGGAAATTGAACACGAACAGCAGACCTGCCCGCTCAAACACGATGACCTTGTCCCCCTCGTGCTTGAGGCTGACATATGCGGGGTCTGCCGCGAGCCAGCCGTACTTCTCCTCGGTGTTGTTCATCGCAGCGTCAAACGAGTTTAGGTACTTGTACCGCAATAGACTGTCGTCGGGAAGGTTGAACTGACGGCGAGCGTATTGGAACGAGTTGTTATTGCCGGCGCGTGGGAAGTCGAGCCATTCGGGATGCCCGAACTCATTGCCCTCGAAGTTGAGATAGCCTTCACCGCCGAGAGCGTGTACAAGAAGACGGATCATCTTGTGCAAGGCAAGACCGCGGGCGATGACGGGTGTCATCTCGGTCATGTCAGACATGTGCGTGTCTATGAGTAGAATGAGTAGGTGAGCCGGCGAGTAATGTTAAGACGCGTACACATCTCCTTGTCCATGAGCCAGAAGGCGAGAGTCTTGTCACCGACAAGCGCCTGGTCGTGACTCTCCGCGTACGCAACACTCTTCTCCTTGTATCGCCTATTCGTAAGCGTGTGGACGATATTGCCCATGTTCCACTCATCGTCGCTCTTGTGCTTGAGCAGCTTGATCCACATGTCCGGAATCGCCATGCTTAAGCGGTAGTCAAAGCCGACACCACCGGTCTTCGATGGTACACAGAGCAGTGGCATACCACTGACGTCCTCGGCGATAGTGATGATGTCCGGATAAAGCTCATGCATCGCGTCGTTCGCGAGCATGAGATAGACAACACCCTCGAGGTCAACGCCGTCGCCGAAGTACTCATGGTAGCCACCAGAGAAGCCCGTGCCGATACCATGATGACTGTACATCATGCTGGTCACACCGTCGAAGCGGAAGCCGTCGAAATTGTACTCCTCCATCCAGAAGCGCAAGTTTGACAAGAGGAAGCGGAGGACCTCGTGCGACCCATAGTTGAAGAGACGGCTGTCCCAGAGCTCGTGGCGACCCTTGCCACCCTCGTGGAAGTAGAGGTGGTCTGTACCGTCGAAGAGGTTCAGGCCGTCGAGGACGTTCTTGCATGCGTGCGAGTGTACGATATCGAGCAGAACGGTGATCCCCATTCCATGCGCAGTGTCGATCAGCTCCTTGAGTTCCTCGGGTGTGCCGTAGCGAGAACTGGCCGCAAAGAAGTTGGTCACCTGGTAGCCGAATGCTGCAATATCATGAGCATACAGCACCACAATGAACCGCGAGAGAGTGCATACAAGCATAGTATGCGTGCTCCATGATGGCCATGAGCTGGATGGTGTTGTAGCCCAGCTTGTGAATACGCGGTAGGACATTCGCAGTGAACTCCTTATACGTGGCGACCTTGGGTTCAGGAGACGATATACCGACGTGCGCCTCGTATATGCGCACACTCTTCGGCTGCGGGGGCCGCGGGTTCTTGAACTTGTATACCTGGTCCTTCGGAGGATTCCAGAAGCGTGCCTCATACACCGGGGATACATTCAAATCTTGTGTGACGCGTCTTATCCAGGTAGGCAGGCGCTCGATGCGTTCGCCCGTTCCCGCAATCATCGATATCTGCGATATGCCGGATTGAGCCCCACGGGGGCGGGGCGGAGAGTGTGGAGCGACGCACCTTGATTTTGCTGTCATGCGGGACCGCGGGCTGGCCGTCCGCGGTGGGTGGGATTGTCATCTCCCAGACACCGTACTCGTTGCGCGTGAGCGGGTGGCTGATCCTGTTCCAGTCGTCTAAGAGGAGGGACACGCGCTGTCAGTGGATGAATATTCGTCGCATTCGGTTCAAACTCACTGAAGTCGCCAATTAAATTGGCCTCCTTGACGCCGGGCGCCCACTCGCGGTATGTGATGGAGTTGTCGGGCTGGACATTGAACCCGAACTTGTCGTAGCCCTTGGTGAACTTTTCGTAGCCGCCCTCGTGCTGCTGGATGTTGTCGCGCCAGCTCTTGAAGACGCCGTAGCGGTGCTCGATGGCCGGGACGAACGGCTCCAGCCACGGGTCAGTGTCGAGAACGCCTTGCTTCTGAAAGTCGGGCGTAGGCTGCATGATGAGAGTAGTGGTTCAAGTGAGGAACGGCGTGCTCCGGCGAGAGGAAGTGCACGTTCAAAATATGGCCCTGACGTCAAGTCAAACCTTGACCTCCGCCTGAGTGCGCTCGCTGGCCGGATAAGTGTCGGTTATCGCCCACTGATAAGGTCAACTCGCGCAGATGGGCGTGAAATTGATTCCAATACGCTCGGCGGAGACGCGACGCGCTCGCGAGCGCGTCGTACGCGACGTCGATCCGTCAATGACGCGCGCCCGGGCGCGTTCCGCGACACGGTCCACGTCCAGGCGCGCCTACGTCTAATTATCCCACGTGGGCCTGATCCGGTACGGTACCCACTGGCTGCGGCACCCCTGACCTGATCACAGCCGACGGCTTATATCTATCTCGCACCTTGCGTCTTGCTCTCATCCAGCAGACAGGACACCATGTCCTACTACGACAGCAACGAGAAGCTCGGCAGGGAGCGCCTCCTCTCCAAGGAGCCTGCTCTCGTCGAGCCTGTCACTCAGCCTCGGCCAAAGATCAAGCGTTCAACTCGCTTCCGCGGCTTGCTCGTCTCCATCCTCGCTCTTTCCTCCCTTTACTATCTCACCCACCGCACTTTCCGCGGCCATGGCCACAACCTCAAGGTCAAGGGCGAGTGCGCCATGAAACACGCTGACGCTGCCTGGGCGTTCTCTGTTGCGGACAGCCCGAAGCCGCCTCTCCGCGGTAAGGCTGCGGAGGAGCTCTTCCTGTCAGTCACGCCACTTGTAGATCATGGCACGCGTTCTGACGAATCTGTCCAGTACCGTTCCCAACTCGGCCAGCGCCATTCAGGCGTCGCGCCTGTACGCGACCAAGCCGCACATTGCCGGTTCGGAGGGTGACCTCCAGACCGCGAGGGACTTCCTTTCGCTCCTGCAGACTGAGCTCGGTGTCGAGGCGCCTGATAATGAGCCAATCTTCCCCGCTGGATCCGAGTCCTCTCGCCAGGCTACCCTGGGAATCACCAACTTGACCAAGCCTTCAGCTTGGATCGACGTTTACTACCCCGTTCAGAATCTACCGGTCAGCCACAGTCTTGAGATCCTCGACGCCGACGGAAATTCTGTCTGGGAAGCCGATCTCGAGGAGCAGGCCGATGGAACTGACCCTGAGGCGACGGAATATCGCACGGCTGTTCCGGTCTTCCACGGCCTCAGTAAGGACGGCGAGGCCACAGGCAAGCTCATCTATGTGAACTACGGCCGCAAGCAGGACTATGACGATCTCGTAGCCAAGGGTGAGCTTTCTCTTGCTTTCCTTGCGTATATCGATGCATATACTGACACTTCTTCACTGTGGGCAGGCGTCGACTTCAAGGGCGCTATTGTACTCGCTCGCTACGGTGGTATCTTCCGTGGTTTGAAGGTCAAGGGTGCAGAGGAACTCGGCGCCTCTGGTATTCTCATCTATTCGGACCCCCGCGACGACGGCACCGTCACCGAGGAGAACGGCTATGTTGCGTACCCGCACGGCCCCGCTCGCAACCCTACTTCAGTCCAGCGCGGCTCGGTCCAGTACCTGTCCATGTATCCTGGTGACCCGACCACCCCCGGTTATCCCGCTTACGAAAACGCGACGCGCACGGAGGGCTTGAACATTCCCGGCATCCCGAGTCTTCCCATTTCGTGGGCAACCGCCAAAGTCCTTCTTGAAGAACTTGAGGGCGAGAACCGTCAGGTGAAGCTCGTCAACCATGTTGATAACAAGGTCACCCCCATCTGGAACCCCATGGGAGTCATTCCTGGCCACATATCCTCCGAAGTGATCATCGTGGGGAATCACCGCGATGCGTGGGTCATGGGTGCCGCCGATCCTAGCTCGGGCACTGCATCTGTGAACGAGGTTATCCGCGGTATTGGCGAGCTTCTGAGGAATGGCTGGAAGCCTCTCCGCACGATAGTCTTCGCTTCATGGGATTCGGAGGAATATGGTCTCATCGGTAGCACCGAATGGGGCGAGGACTTTGCGGACTGGATTCAGCAGCATGTTGTCGCATACTTCAACCTTGACAGCTCATCCGCTGGTAGTGCATACGACGCTTCCGGCTCGCCCTCGTTCTCCCATTTCATTCGCGAGACGGCCGAGGCTGTTCAACATCCGACGGATCCCGCCCGCACACTCTGGGATGCTCGCAGCGACAAAGGCCCACTCTTCGGCGAACACATCGACGCCAACTTTCTTGCAATGCATGAGGAGGTTGAGGCGAACGCTGCCCGGGATGACGTTGGTGTTAAGCCGCTTGGTTCTGGTAGTGACTTCACTGTTTTCCTTCAACGTCTTGGCATCGCCAGCTTGAACTTCGGTTTCGGCGGCACGCTCTCGGACCCCGTGTACCATTACCACTCGATCTACGACTCTGAGCGCTGGCAAGAGCTTTATTCTGACCCTGGCTTCGTGAAGCACGTTGCGGTCGCGAAGCACCTTGGTCTCCAGACGATCCGCCTCGCAGACGCCATCATCCTACCCATCAATACGACGCACTACGCGTTTGAGCTCGAGAACTACCTCGACGGGTTCGTGTCTATACGCGTGTCGTCATGATCCATCAGCTAATGTCACGTTACAGTGTTGAGGCTCTCGCTGAGGCGTCGTCTCTCTCGGTGAACTTCGCACCCCTCCGCGCGTCGATCAAGGAGCTCCAGTTCGCCAGCATCAAGCTCGACCACGAGAAGTACCACGCCGAGAAGTTCTTCAAGAAGGCGCTCAAGTCGCTTCAATGGTGGCGTCATCATCACCACAAGCCGGGCTTCTTCGGCTCGATGCTGCACAAGTGCAAGCATATGCTCGGTCTCGCGCCCAAACACCACTTTGAGCACGGTGTACCGCATGTAGCCGCACACGACAACCACGGCAACCACGAGCTCAAGCACATCGAGGCTGGTGCGCATCATGAACATCACCACCATCATGAGGTTGGCGAGGCTCATGTTGAAGCTGCTCACCATCACGAGCACGAGCACCCGCACCCGCCTAAGGGCAAGCTCGCGCACTTCATCCACAAATGCAAGAAGGTGCTCGGTCTGGCCAAGGCGCATGTTGAGGCTGGCCATGCAGAGGATCGCGTCAAGCCTAAGCAGCACATGCCTGCCCATCGCCACCACGAGCAGGAGAGCGAGGGCAAACGTCTCGAGTCGCGTCGTCACCATCATCACGATCACGATGTTGAGGCTCACAGCGAGCACAGTGGCGCTGGCTTCCCTCACCCGAAGCTCCCTTGGCCATTGAACCCTAAGAAGGCGCTGGTCAAGGCCGCCAAGGCGGTTCGCAAGGTCAACAAGAAGCTCGCGACGTTCGAGCAGGGCTTCATCTCCGAGGGTGGTATCAAGGATCGCGAGTGGTATCGCCACCTCGGCGTTGCACCTGGAAAATGGCTCGGTATGTCATCTCCCTCGCCGTCTGCTGGTTGATGTAGCTAATATAAATACAGGCTACGGCGCTACGACTCTTCCCGCACTCACAGAGTCTATCACGATCGAGAAGAATGCGACGATGGCCGTGGAAGAAGCCAAACGCTTGGAAGACCTCGTCGACAAGCTGACTGAACTCCTCAAGGCGTAGTTAGCTGACCTTTGTTTGCTGATGTTATGCAATCTCGACCGCCATATAGTATATTGTATTTCACTGAACTTTGACACTGTTATGTATCCAACACGCGAGGGGTTAAGCGAATCTATACTGGATCCTTTAGCTGAACCATGAGGCGTATTTGCTACCCTTGCCTTCCAGGATGTTTGCGATTTCCCGTGCAACAATCCGGTCAGATTGTTCAGAGGGGTGCAGTTCATCGTACCTGCTTATGGTTAGCGTGGTACGTGTTCAAGTCAAGAAAAGCTACGCACCACACGAAGCTATCAGCATCGGAGCCGTGCGCCACGGTGCACACTCCAGGGTCGCTCTTGGGCTCGTTGAGCTGATAGACGCATGCGTCTATACACGATGTCGTATTCAAGGGTGCGGTGCCATTTAGATAATCTGCCGGACTGTCGAGGATATCGGTGAACAAGGCGTGCGAGTCAAAATAACCTGTCAGACGGATCCGTCGTTAGAATAGAGTCATGGTTTTTATCGTTGCATCATACCGATGTGAGCTTCGGGAAGAGACGGTGCAAGAGCGCGAAGCATGAGTTTGGATATACTATTGCCTGCTGCAACAAGCTGCTTCATCTCCAGATTCCACGATGTCGTGTTCCTTTCAAGCAACCAATACCTATTTGGATACGAGTCGATGGAGTACAGGGGTGTACGATCAAGTGGGAGCATCTGTAAATATCGCTTAGTGCTCATTCCGAAGTTTCTACGACGTTGGTGAGTCACCCACGTTTTGGAGCAGGAAGTTTCGAGCACCGCTGTGGTACAGGGTACTTACCCACTCGACGGCACAGGCTGTGACGTCAACAATGGTCGTGTTTCCGACGACATTCGTGCCGGTGAGCAAGGTATTTGGTCCAACCTATTCTCTGATTAGTATCCCTCGACAACGGACTGTCATGTCAACTTGAGGCGACATCATACATCATTGGTTCCTACCATGGTAATGAGTCTCCACCGGACGCTCGAAGTTGATCGTGACGAGCGGATGCTGGCTCACCAATCCAGATAGTGTACAGACTGTCCTTCGGAGGGACTACAACGCTTCCGTTCGCTTTCTCAGTCAGATAGAGCGGTATCTCGTCCTCGACGACCGCAGGGAACGGCCGAGGAGTTAAAGCCTGACTGCAAGGAGCGCCCGAGCGCGCATACGGGTAAAGAGTGGCGTTGGCGTAACCGGCGGCGTAAACCGGCCATTGTGTTCCGTTGTTGCTGACTGCAACGGTGTCCGTATACGAATCACCGAACGTGACCAGAACTTCAAACTTCCCAGGCGCATGTGCAGCGCGAGAAGCTGCCGCGAGAGCGAGAGCAGTCAGGAGCAACTGAAGCATGGCAGTTCCTGTCAATGTGGAAGAACGCCGGGTTCGAGTAAGCGACCACGCCTTATAGATGTTCGAGACCATCATGGCCCACCGCGGTCTCAAAATCAGAGAACACGTTCAGCATAATGACCCTGTCCACGGGGCACCGGGGAACAGACCCGGACGGCAGGCGGCGCGGATCGGAGAATTATCGTTCAAAAGGCGCCTGATACAGTCCGGATATAGCACACTATTCGGCACTCGCTCGGCTCTATATCACACCAGATCCCACGTATGCACTGCTAAGTGCCACCATCATGGGGAGTGATCATGACGAGTCATTCGCGCTTTGCTCTGTCTGTGGGAAACACAGTACACGGTCACCTGACATTAGTACGCGTAGCGCTGCAACGGCCTCAACTTGGCGCGGAAGCAAGTTTTCCACATGAAATCAAAGCGAGTGTCCGGAATCAGCTAAACCAGGTTACCCATCTACTTTCCGTCCCCTCCAATACCTTCGCGATTTCCCGAGCGACGATGCGATCCGATTGTTCAGAGGGATGGAGTTCGTTGTACCTTGAACCCAGTCAGTCATGAGCGAATGATCGAGGGTAGTCTGCACGATGACGCACCAGACGAAGCTATCAGCATCGGAGCCCCAGTTGGAAGTGCAATCTCCTGGGTCGCTCAAGCTCTCATTGACCTGGTACACGCAGGCAAACGCAGCACCCGTGACGTTGTAAGGCTTTGTGCCGTTAAGATACCGTTCAGGGTGATCCAGGATGTCGGTGAATAGACCATGACTATCAAAATAACCTGCAGTGCGAGGGTTGGTCAGACCACGTGCGAAATTGGCGTAACGCGCGCACCAATATGGGCACCCGGAAGATGCAACGGCAGTGCTTTGAGCATGAGTTTCGACAAGGCATTCCCGGCCGCGACCAGGTTCTTCACCATGATGTTCCAAGAAGTGGCGTTTCGTTGCTGGGCTTATTGGGAGGGATGATCGCGGAATGCCATATGTGGAAGCTCACCGCAGTCCACCACTTGGTGTAATAGGCCTGGGTCTGGTATATCGGAAGGCGCTCTTGAGGCACCATCTATGCCATCTGGGTTCAGAAACGACCGCCCGACGCATGTGAGACATACATTTTGGAAGAGAAAGTTTCTGGCGCCTAAAATCTCGTTAGGATGGATGCCGCGAGACTGTTGGACTATAGGCGCGCACCTTGCTGATACAATGTTGACACCCAGTCAACTGCGCATTCAGTGACGTCGACTATCGTTGCATTATGCGCGACATCACCGCCCGTAAGGATGGATCGTGGCCCTATGTCATTGGTTCCTGTCATGTCCCACGTAAGCCTATACCAGAAGAAGGCTGGAAGAGGATTCCATACCGATCCAGAGCGTGTGGAGCGTGGATTCTGGGAACATTCGTACGCTACCGTTTCGGATACCTGAGGTCTCACGCTCGAACCGTCACAATCCGCTTAAATCACTGACTGCTCACCTTCAAGATAGTCTGGTATCTCATTCTGAACAATCGCGTATGAGCCTGGACGCGGCGTGAGGTCTTCGGAGCAGCGTGCTCCGACGTGTGCGAAAGAATAGAGCGACGCCCCAGTATAGCCAGCAGCGTACTGTACGTATCTCTGATCAGTGCTCCGCAGTATATGACACAAAATAAACCTCACGGTCGGCCACTGAGTACCTGACGGGGTGTCAGTGTCCGCATAGTGGATCGATGTGTAGTGATTCAGACCTACCATTGTTAGAAGGGTTGCCTGTGTCCGTGTATGAATCGCCAAATACGGCCAGAGTATTGAAGCGAAGGTGCGAATGATGGTCTGCGCTGGCATGCTCATGACCACATGAGCCAGAGACGAGTCCCACCAATGTTAGCGCTACACGAAGCGGAAAAGACGCGGTCATGGCTCCGAAACCGGGGGTTCGCAATTAACGTAGTAGACGAACAAAGACCACCTTTTATACGTGCGAGCCATTCGATGTCTCGCCTAGAGTAGTAACATCGTATCTCGTCATGAGCCGCGGCGGCGCTCACGAGGACAGAGTATTCGGGGTGGGGAAAGTCAATTGAGACATGGCAAAATGCGCTTTAATGAATGCGCCTTGATGAATCCTGAACAAGAGAAATACCTTGTACATATTTCGAAGGTATGGGCTGCAGTAGAAGAAGTTGAGCAATCTAGAAGAGGATCGAGCGTTCGGGGATATCAGGTCCCCCGCGCCTCGCGAACGATGGTGCCGACGCTCAGCTGAACCACGTCGCCCACTTGCTCCCCTTGCCCTCCATGATATTGGCAATTTCACGAGCGACGATACGGTCCGATTGCTCCGACGGGTGAAGCTCATCCTGCCTGAGGGAGGTCAGTAGGATTGCCGCGGCTCTAAGAGAGCATAATCGTGCTGACCAAACAAAGCTATCGCTGTCTGAGCCTGTGGCGACGGTGCACACCGGCGTTTCATCACCTTTGTCCACCTGATAGACACATGAGTTGACGCAACCTGTCCTTCACGGGCCTTAAGCATGTCACCCCAAGCGCAATGAGATGCTCATACGTATTGTACGGCGCCGTTCCGTTCAGGTACGTTCCCGGACTATTTAATATGTCCGTGAAGAGAGCGTGTGAGTCGAATAAACCTGGTCGGACGTCTGTAAGGCAGGTCTCTCCCAAGCTTAGTGCGACAAAAGTCTGACCTATATGCGCCCCAGGAAGAGTGGTTGCAAGAGCCTGGAGCATGAGTCTGGATATGGAATTGCCGCCAGATACAAGCTCTCGCATGTAGAGCGACCATTCTGTACTGTTCTTAGGCGAGGTCCAAAACCGGTTTGGGTAGCCATCGGCCGAGTAGAGAATGGTCCGGTCAAGAGGGATCAACTATCGAGGGCATTTTAGTGAAACTGCTCAAGGTAGCGGATGCGTAACCCACGTTTTGATAGAGTAACACTCGGGCGCCCGAATCATAAAGGGTCTTCGCCCAATTGACAGCACACGCGGTAACGGTTGCGATCGTCGCGTTCTTGGTGACATCCTGACCTTCAAAGCATAGATAGTTGTAAGGGGTGGAATACGAAGAACTCAGGACATAAGCGCTACCTGTCAGAAGAGTGGTGGGTCCAAGGTCATTTGTGCCTATCTGCAAAGAGGGTCGATATATGGCGCAAGGTTCACTATACTTGCTTCTGCGTACCCAGAGAGTATGGAGCGTCTCGTCTGCAGAGGTAGATATGCTCTTGTTATGCACTTCGGCGAGGTAAGTGGGGATCTCGTCTTGTACAACGCCGGGGTACGGGCGGGGTGTCAGATTCTGATCACATACGGCACCGGACTTGGCGAAAGGATACAGCGTCGCGTTCGCGTAGCCTGGACATTGGTATCAGTACTCAAGGTATGAGCTCGGAACTCTCCGCTGACCTGCAGCATAGACCGGCCAAGCCGCACCGCCGTCCCCAACTGATACCTGTGCATCAATTGAGTGGGGACTCCGGACCAAGAAGAGGACTCACAATGTCCGTATAGGAGTCGCCAAATGTCGCCAGGGCGTTCAGAGGCCCTTTGGGGCCCTTCGCTAGATCGGCGGTGGCGCCTTGGCCGAAAATGAGGGCTAAGAAGGGGACGATATAATTCATAGCGATATTTCAGATGATCGATGATACTTACCTATTTGGAGCTTTTATGCGATGTCTTCAGAAGGTCATATCGACGCTGCAATCTGAGGGTCAGAGGGAACGACACGTGTCAAAGTCAAATGGTCATTGCGAAGAAACACCGGTGAATGGGTTGCTGGGGATGGATCCCGTACGTGACGAGTCGGGCCGGAGGCAGTCAGACCATTGATTCAACACGTGCACATGACATTGCTAGACTGTAAGGTACAATATTGGGGAAGTGTGAACAACATGATGAACTTCCGATGACGGAGCTACACCTAGGGATATTGTGGTCGCTGTTGCAATCCAGTCAGCCTCTTCTGTATAGGGATGACTTCTGGTCGGCCGGCCCGCGTGATCTTGTAAGTGTTGGTCGAGCCAAGAGCAGCGGGAAGTCGGGCGCTTGAGAATATGTTCGAGAAGGATTTTGAAGAAAAGCTCGCGTCCATGGACGTATGCGCTGATTCTGGGACAATCTCGTCGTCGTCATCGGTAGACGGTGGCATAGGCACAACGCGGGGTGTAGAAGGGTTGGTGTCTTTTTCGCCCTGCTGTGAGGACGGAACGAAGTCTTCTGATAGATGGCGATGAAGTCGGTATGTAACCTTCACACCACGAGCCCTCCGATTTGATGTTCTGGAATGCGTATGAGGCGCGATAATTGGCGTATCTAGCTCGTCTTCAGAAAAGAGTTCGGTGTCCTCTGCATCTGATTGTCCCAACGGAATAGGCGTATTGGACGTCTGGCCGTTGTTGTCAGGGTGTGGGCGATTGTCAAACCGAAATCGGGAGGAACCGCCGGGCCGGCGAACTATATCCTTGCGGCTGGCGCTGGCGAGATGCGGAGAGTGCGACGAGACTTCGGATCGAAATTCTTCGCTTTCCTGTGTCTGTGAACGCCGAGGCCTTGAGTCTAGGGCAGCCACATGAGGGAGATGGCAAAGATGCATGTGTATATGGTACTTACGGGGCTGCGTACCCGAGTCTTCTATCCTGAAGAATTTCCCACCACCCGAATTCGCCCATGTGATGATTGCCGGATTGCGGGGGTTCTCTCGCCTCATCTCTACAACGTGACTGAGGTCCTCATATCTGGTGGACTCGTGCAGATTCCAGGAGAGATCTTGAGAGGACATGAGCGCTCGAAGCGTGGCCAACCAGCAGCAGGTGCAGCTGGCCTTATATACACTTTGGCAAGCAAAGGCGAGTCGAGAACAAGGCAGAACGCCAAGCGCTCTACCACAGACATTGCGGCAAAGGGAGGACAAAGATGGTAAGGAAAGCAACGCGTTTGGGTTGGTGGCGGTCTGGATCAAGAAGCAAGGCAAGAACGTGTCCGAGACGCCCGCCTTTCACACTCGACGACCACTCCGTTTTCTATACTTACTCGCTACAGACCCGAACAACTCTCTAGACACCTTCGACGAGACTTAGCTGACGCCTCTCGCTGCACAGGCTCGACCGCCCACGCTTCCGGTTCTTGTAAATCGCCTGGTGCCACCGCCAATTTAATTGGATCGCCCCCTTGCAACGATGGCCGCGCTCACTTTGGGTCTACGAATCGTCTACGATGGGTTCCGGGCGCTGAAAATCAACGTGACTGAGCATGTCGATACGCTGGTGGACGAGGTGTATCAAGATACGGCCGCTCTCCGTCTTACACCTCCCAGAAGGAAAGCAGTCTTCAAACCCAATGGACTTTCAGACACATTGGACATGTTTTGGGATACTTCGGAGAGCAGTGTGAGTGGGTTCTCGTTCGATATGGCGTTTTCTGAAATAATGTGCGCAGACCGTATACAGGGTATGTTTGTCCAGTATCTACCATGCGCCACATCTCATCGTCTCTACAGCAAACTCGCCGCGCAATATCCTCGCTAGACATGGATGATCCAGCAATCAGAGATAGAAATATGTGCGTGATGTCTATTGTATGAAAGCGCGTAGCGCTGAAGGTCGCTTCATTCCATTGTTATGCCCAGTGTTAGTGCTCGTGTGTACGAGCTTCCCGAAGAACATTATACCATAACGGATAACGATGTCTGCGTTGCGTCCGCGGAACGTCCCAAAGTTGCAGCCTTGTCTTTCCTTGCCTCAGCTACCAGCGGAAGCACTGCCATCACGTCTACACAACCCGTTCGATCTCCTTCCCCGATTCTTCGAACTGGAGGCGCACCTCCCACTGCTCCTCGGAGCATGTCAATGCGAACTAAACCCGAAGATGCGTTAACTGGAAACGGAAGCCTGGTACATAGGACACTAGCTTCCCGCATCGGAGGGTCGGAGCCTTATCCTACCTCGGGTGCACGTCGCTCTCCCTCCAGATCTGGCAACCCGGCTCTTACTACGAGCGCTGGGGAACCAACGTCGTCTGTACCTTCCCGATCCGAAGCAGTCGCGTCTTCATCTACACCGACAACTTCCACGCGTCCTTTGGCACAAGGAATCTCTATATTGGGTGCTTCTCAGAACCAGAGCACCGCGTCAAGAAAGTCTTCAGAGGCCCGCTCGTACAGTCGCTCGCGCGATGCCATGGATATCGAGCGCGATCGTCACCGAGAAAGGGATAGAGAAAGGGACAGGGATAAGGACAGGGATAGAGAGCATGACCATGATAGAGATCGTCGCAGGGAACACAGGTCAAGAGATCGGGAGCGCGGTGAACGTAGTGAACGTTCGGTGCCCGAATGGCGCATGTCCGATGAACGAGAGGGCAGACGGCGCGCTGAGGAAGAATTGGCCGAACTGCGTCAGAAGTTGGATGCCGCTCTCTCCCGGGAGGGTCTTCTTCATCAAGACGTCAAGCGTTTGGAAGCGGAGAGTCAAGTTGCACAAGCTCAAACCGCCGATTTCGAAAGCAAGTTCCGGATCGCGCAGCGCGAGCTCGCTCATGTTGAGGATGCTCGTCGTCTTCTTCTGGGTCACAATGGAAGTGCTTTACGCGGGTCTGGCACTAATATCATCGGTTCGTTCGTGGCATTATTTGAGCAGTAACCCTCACTCATCACCTGTTCACTACAGATATTGTTCGCTCGCTCGAGAGACAGATTGAAGCACTAGGAGAAGAGCTCGCGAAGGAGCGAAACCTAAGGCAAATTGCTGAGGATGCTTTGAATAATATGCAACGGGGCGTAGGCATTTTCGCAGGCAATCTAGCCGGCGCGTCTTCATCTACGGGTTTCATGAGTGCGTTTGGTAGTGGGGCGGCCGGTGCTTTGGGGACGGGGGCGGGAGGATCGAACGGGAATGCGCTCAATGCGCTCGTCGCAGGCTTAGCCGGTCAAGAATCACAACTGGCAGCAAACTTGCTGAAAGCGCTTGTTGATCAGTCTTCCAACCAGCAAGTAAATGGTAAGTTGTCTTCTTGATGATCCTCATGGAAACTAATGCGTGCATGGCATTACGTACCGAGTTCTGCATCGCCTTTTCTCCCTAGTATTGTTCAGCACCTCGTTTGATCGCAATACACGGCCTGTGAACTTTGTAATGTCCTGAATATTTGAATATTCCACGATGAATAGGTACTGGGTATAAGCAATGTGTAGTGGTAAATGAGGTTGTACACGAGCCAGTGGGGTGCTCGGTGGACGCCCGTGTTTCTAATGAGAGGGATACTGCGGATATCACTCATAAGCATGCGACTAAGCGAGAAGAGATAGAGGCATTATACAGCTGCGAGAGATGACGGGGTGGGAGGCTGGAGCGCAGAAAGGACAGTGCGGAATGCGATGTCAAAGCAAATGTGGAGGAGCGAGTGTGAACTTGAAGATTGATACTTCAGATGATACATCACCGGGGATTCAGCAACCTGCCGAGAGGGAGCGACGCGCTTGCACGTGCGACGCCGGATTTGAGGAGCGTAGACTGGTCGACTTTGGTCACGGCCGCAGTCGCGATTGTGACTTTATCGCGCTCGGCCTGCCGCTGCTGTATGATATCGCGTACTTGCTCGCGTGGTGATTCGTCTTGATCGTCTCGTTCCTTGGGCGTGGGATCGAATTCGTGATCCTTCCCGGCGTACGACATTCCATGCCGATCGCCCTGGAACCAGTGGTCGTGTTTGCGCTCAGAGTATCTGATATGACCTCGTTAGCTGCGTTGTAGAGCCATGAGTGGCCGATGTTCACCTTCGCATTGGCCGACCATTGCTCATCAGTGGGCTGAACGCGTTCTTCTGCCGCACCATGAAGGACTTGTACGTTTTGGCGGCGGCTTGTTGTGACTTATATGATGATCGCGAGAAGGACATGCTATTCAGTACTTCTTGATCGCGAGCATCCGCCAAAGTATAATCGCCAGTCAGGTCTGCAAGGTCGTCCAGTGCTCGTCGAAGTCGAGCATTGAGAGGTTCAACGGATGTCCGCAAGCCTTGGTCGTGGCAAGGTAGTCTTGCTAAAAACTGTGCATATACGCGGTTTATGACAGAGGCAAACTCTGGTTGTATTGCCATGTAACCCCGACCGCCTGAGTAAACCACTTTCAGTAAACCGTGACGTGTATCCAAGAACCGGTCATACCCTTTACCGTGACAACTTTGGCGCCACCTGGTACGCTGGTCATGTCTGCGGCCATGGCATCGATCTTGGATTTGGACCATAGGCCATCATTGTCTCCCTGAGGGAGAATCAGTCAAGGCAACTTGCCATAGAGGAACACCACGAACATGCAACAAGAGGCAAGGTACTTGAATGGACGCCAACTCCAGTTTGGAGAGAGGTTGTCGCTATGTCTTCGTTCAGAGAAGACCCGTATGACCAGAGTACATGCATACATTCACCACGGAGTTTGCAACTTGTACCAGTCGCGCTGCGCGAAACGGAGGATAGACCTTCTCGTAGTATGCGATGAGCTGCGTCAGGATAGTAAGCACATAATCTGAGCATGACCGCGATGAGTCAAGGCGAGCGCACATCGTCTGCAAGGTCTTGGTCCACGTCCTAAACAAAATTAGCAATGCCGAAAAAGCAATGTGGTTTCGAGCATACTGGTCCGCAAATGAACTGGACGACCTGGTAAAGGCTAAATTCGAGCGTCTGAATGTCGTCCGCAGTCTCCCACATGTAGAACATCTCCTCGAACGCATTCATATCCGTATCGGCACTCCTACGGCAATTCAGCACCTGTATAGTGGGTATTAAGGAAGGGACACACCGTCCGGCCCCAGGGGTGATCATTGTCAAGGACTTAGCCATTTCTGGAAAGCTGAAAACAGAGCATCGACATCAGCGATCCGCGTTCATGGCGCGTGAGCTTGGGCCACATACAGCACACAGAAGCGTGCGCCCACATCACCTGCATACGGCCCTGAGGTGAGGACGTGCACGGGCGGTAGGCGAAGTTCCTGCACAAGTTGATGAGTTGGCGCTGAATGAACACAGAGCGCTTCGCACCGAGCACAGTATCGCGACGTCCACCGCGTCCGTATACGAATCATGCTTGGCATTGAAGCGGGACTGAGTTTTGCCAGCATATCGTCGGTCAAAAGAGATCAGGTTATACTGGGCGTCAAGCCGAGGATCCCCGAACTGTTGCGCGATCCAAGACGTGTCGAGGAGGTCGGGATGCAGAAATAGGACCGTGGGTTTTGATGGGTCGATGCCAGAAGCGTAGCCAGTGGCCGAGTTCGTCTGATAAAAGAATGTAACGTAGTCGTTGCCTAGACCTGGAACGTCGACATAGGGCATCCTGACCGGAGCCTGCAGGTCGTTGTGGTTGTCGTTGACAGCGAAGTGTGTGCCGCCGTTGCTCTCATGTCTGCCCCTTGCGCTCCTCAGTGATTGCCGTTTGATGGCAGATGCGGTCCATGGCCTCGGTCTTCGACCGCGGCTTCTCTGAGATGAAGGACCTTCGAATTCGTTCCGCCGCAAAGTCTAACAAACTCAATCCCGGAGATTACGTCCCAAACTGGCACGTTCTTGTCCTTAGTCTTTTGACATGTTCATGCCGGTTTCTGGCAGATTGGCACCCAGCTACAAGTACTACTGCTCGGATCGACCGACTCAGCGACAATTGTATGTTCCTACTACATAGTAGTGCGCACAGGCAAAGAATAGAAGGCTTTCCCCTTGATGACCGACATGCGTGGATAGATCCGGGATGGAGACCATGAAAGGAGAATGGAAAGTGGGCGTAACGATGTACGTATACCGCGCTACCGGCGATGTCTTCGTCAATGAATTGTACCTGGGCTAATACCCCCTTCAAGCTTCACCACGCATCTACCTCGACATAGCCAAGGAGCTCGCCGTAGGGCGTCTTCGGCGCGCGCGATGCCCTTGGAGTGATGAGCTGGGAAGTACTGCGCACAGAAGCGGCGGGCGCGGTCCTTATGTTGTTGGGATGAGAGCGCTTGAAGGCGTACTGCGGAGCGGGGCGTACGAAGCGCATAGAAGACGCGATGGGTGCCTCAACGACAGCCGGTGCGGCTGACGCCGAGGCAAAGGCGGTGTTGATACGGGCCGCAAGGTCGGGACGCCTGCTCAGAGCGCGCTCCGCCGCGATGGCAAGCCTCAGGCGGTCTACGGTGGTGTGGGGTGGCGTCCCCTGCAGTTGGAGTCTCCTTGGTTTCTGTGCCGCAATCGCGGACGCGAGTTCCAGCGCGGACTTGCGGCGAGTGGGCGTAATGCGCAGCGAAGAAGGCGACAACGGCGAATGGACTGTCTGGTCGTCGGTGAAGACGGCGGGTTTCCCGTCGGATGCCGAACCGATGCTATGATTCGCATCGGTAGAGGCTGCGATACTGGTCGGTCCTCTTACAGGCAACAAGGCGTCTACCACGACAGAATGCGTGGACGGGCGAAGCTCTTTGGTGAACGAGCGAACATCATGTTCATTCAGGTCGAGTAGTGCGAGTCTGGCGCAGACAGCGGTAGCGGGGACTAAAGATGAAGGCGGCTGGGAGGTGCAGGGAACAATAGGGCTCGAAGAGGGTGCGAGGATCGGGGCGACGGCGTTCTCATCGACGTAATGCGAGATATCCACCGGGTGCGCAAGACCGTTGCCGACGGAGACCCGAGCACGTTCTCCTCCTTCGATATGCTTTTCAAGAGCTGCGACATCGTTGACGACCAATTGGGAAGTCATTGATACATCGTTCGCAGTCGTAGCGAAAGACATCAGCGCATTCGATGTGTCGGAAGAGCCAATAGGATCGTCCTGCATGACAGAGAAAATGGCAGTAGTGGTGTCCCACGGGGCTTCGACGACGCCGACAATAGGAGAAGTAATGGCCGGAAGTGCCGGCAGCTTCACAGCGGGGACTACTGCGGTCTCTCCTATCCATATCTCGGACTTCGACACGAGGACTTGCGCGGTATCGTCCGATCGGGTGCTCTTTGTGTTATCACTAGACGTCACGACGTCTGAAGTCGCCGCCTTGTCATATGCGGTGGTAGACGGGCGTGATTTCTTGTCGTCCGAGAGACGCACAGGGCTCTCGTTCTCCGTCTGACCCTGCCTCCGAGGTTGTGTCTGAAAACGCGGACCAGCAGGCTTCTTGCTGGTAGGGCGAGGGTGGGTCGAGTTGGTACGGCGGACTGGATTACGGAAGGGAGAACGAGGCTTTGTACGTGTGTTGATCGACGAGACGACGACATCCTTAGACGGCTTCTCGGGCGGATTGGAGGCCAGCGGGCGGGACAGTATCTCTGAAGCATGTTCAGGCTGCGCGGCGGCGAGCTATGTGTAACAAGAATGAGTGTTCAGCTTGAGGTCATCCGCGTTGATAAGACTATATCACTCACGTTCCTCGCCTGAGCGTATGTGCGCGGCGCTAACAGAGTATTCTGGCTTCCCAAGGGAGCCCGTAGGATGGCAGCCGCGTGTTCAGGATACTGCTGAGCGAGCTGAGTGCTTATAAGCGTCCTGCGCACGGAAGAGCAATAGCGACAAGACACACATTTCTTGCTTGCGCATATGTCGTTGGCTTGACTGGGGGAAGAGGAAGAGGTCTCTAATTGGCAGCATAAGTATCGAGTATGCGCAGCACAGCGATGCGCATTTACAGTGCATGGGCCGTTCGCAGTAGACGCAGTAGTCGTCGTGATCATCATCGGCAAGAGTGATTGGAGGACACGCAGGAGATAACGAATGCTAAGACTAGGAGTCGGATAGTGTGTATCAGAAATGAAGAGAGTGGCGGTTCAGAAGACTCTTGTGAGCGTCCTTAAACGAACATGCGAGTTGGATGCCGCGCCCATACAGCCAACGTCACATTGTACTCGAAACCTATGCAAGCATAATTCTCCGTTACGGAGCATCGAGTGTTGCGAGAATCAAGCAAAAAGAAGTATGGGAAGCACGCTGCATCATGTACGAGAATTAGACGCCCCGCCTGAAAGCGTTGTTTGGAGTGCGCGATGGCTCCTGGTGAGTCGCAACTGAGGGAACAGCTGCGAACACGCGTCGGTGATTGCCGGCTGACAACCCGCGCTCTCCGAACGGCCCGCGCTGCATCCCGCCCTCTACCACATCCTCAGTCGCCATGCCCGTTCCTTGGGAGGCCCTAGTACCCTTCGGTGCGTTCTGCATCATGTCACGACGGGACAATAGCCGACATAATATGTAGCTCTTGTCACCACCATGTTCGGTGCGGCGGGCACTCTCTTCAAGGTCTCCAAGACCCACCAGAACAACGGCCTCGTGCGTGTACAGAATTTCCTCATTGAGCCATATACTCAGTACATGAATTAGTACCCGCGCTATAGTCTCGACGACTGGGATGAGATGATGATGGACCGGGACAGGCGGTTGACAGGACACTTCCGGGGAATATCGGTGTGTCCACATCATCAACCGAATTGGTGCTGTCCAACTCATCCAGCTCTAGACAGAACCAAGTGCGCCGGAGAGTTTTACTACGAACAGTGCTTGGTACACACAGAAAGCTTCGTAGGCTGTTTGTGTTCTGTATAGATCCCTCCATTTCGCTAGCTGCTCTTCATATTGCTTTGCAATGCATCATCTTCCGCCCCACATTACTTGCTCGTCTCTTCAATGAACCAATCGGAAACCTCTGCAACCAGGCCGTCTCCAGTCATCGACTTATCCTCCACGAACCCGTATCGCTTCCCTGCCAACGACGCGCCAAACGTTTCCAGCTCTTCCCTGGCCCATGCGTCGTCCGTCTCAAATCGGCATTCCAGGATGAGGCCGTGCTTAGAGCGAATCTTGGCCGTCTACTCATATCATATATCATCAGTGTGTGATCAAGGAGGCTGGCCGGAGCGGTACTAACCACTTCACCCCATGCAAAAGACCCCTGCAACGTATACGTAAACTCTGGGGTCTGTCCAAACGCCCAATCCCACGTCTGCAGAGAATGAGCTCGCTAGTACCAAGAGGTTCAATGAAAACAAACACACCGTCAACTCCGCCATCCCATCACGGATGTACGGGATGCTAAGCAAGTCTTCCGTCTCATGAACCCCCTGTACCTCTTCGCTCACACCATATTCTTCGCGGAATGCTTGTATGACCGCTTCGACAAATGCGTCGTGCGAGATGTCTGGATTGAACCAGCAAAGGTTACGGACAGGTGAGCGTACGGACGCCACACCGCGCGTGATCATAGAATCCTGTACCAGTCGTCAGCGGCAAGCATACTATTACGCAACAAGAGCGACGCTTGCCTTAGATACTCGAAGAGCGTCACCCAGATTACCAAGCTCCGTCTCAAGTAGCATCGTCCCATGGTGATAGGCGCGGTTGTTCACAATCTTGTACGCAGATCCAGAGACGTAAGAAGCAGACACAGTATCAGCATCAGTCTACTACAGATACATCTGCCATATAGTACTCATCTTATATGGCCCAACTACGACGTCATTCCTGTCATTCACACTCGCGTCGATATCCAGAGAGCGCACGGCTCGGAGTATGACTTGAGCAGTCGCATGCCGGTCAAACGATGTTCGTGGGAGATGTATAGAGAAGTTCGTATTTCCCGTATCCTGAATCATGTTTGAGGACGCTAGACAGATAAAGACAGGCGGCATACATGATAGACCGTGCCTCCTCCACTTCTCCGACGAATCCACGGGACCTCCATCTCGCGTAGTGCAGGGAGGTTCACCTCCTTCCAAGGGTTCTGATTCCGCCCAATAACCACACACGGTTCATCCCTGTACAGCAATAACAGAGGCTCTTTTGGGTTCTTGAATCTGAATAACCTGAAAACCATGAACCGGCGTGTGGAAAGCCGCCAGCGGAAGAGCGCACCAGTCCTCCAGAGTCAAATTGAAGTAGGGGTTGGTCGAGTTCGAGACGTATATGCTATGGGTTGGAGATGGGGTACTCGAAGCGACTTGGCTCGAAATATGTCTCTGACATGATGTCCGAATAAGGCTCGTGGCGGGACGAATGAGACGAAGCATGGACGCGTCGCGTCGCGCACCGCGTCAACGGGGCCACTGTTCGAGCCAATCACAGTCTCTCCGAGGCATCGCCGAGGCTCGCTTGCGCAATGGTATACATGATTCGCCGACACGACCACTGTCTGCATGTCGCTGTATAGTTTTCCGAGTACATTCTGACTCAGTTCCACTTTCGGGTCGGACAGGTTGGCCCGTGGACACGGGTTTTGCGTACTCTAGCCTTGATTGTATGCTATAGTCTGGTGTACGTCTATGACACCGGAGACGGACGACAAGGCATCTTGTCGAGCTCAACACAAGTCCACAATCACAAACCGATAATGGATACTAGCGAGTCCCCGGTAAAGATATGCATGCATCACCGTCGGTGGACTTGATACCAGGGCCCTCGGGTACCTCGCTGTCACAAGCCAAAAGGCCTTACACGACGACGAGGCTTCGGCGTTCCCGGTAGTAGTGCTGAGCTCGGAGGTAATCTCAGCTGCGTGGCCTGTGCGTCGCGTCGTTTATCGCGCGCGGCGCTAAGTTCGGGTTTTCCGGTCGAGGATGTTGGTGATATAAGCCGCCCGACGACCTACAAATCCGCTCTTCACTAGATATCAGTATTCAGCATGGCTCCCCAGACGATGTTCTTCATGGGCGGGACTGGTAAGCCCATTGCTGCCTCCATCGATACGAGTTCAATCGTCGACGTCGTTGGCAGGCTTCATCGGCAGCGCCGTCCTGCAGCACTTTCTTGGGAACCCCGACTTCGAGATCACAGTGCTGACGCGTGACGCCGGCAAGGCCAAGAAGCTGACACAGCAGTTTGGAATACGAACGGTTGTAGGCTCAATGGAGGTCGAGGGGGATCTAGAGATGCTTGAAGCCGAAGCCGCCCAAGCTGACGTGGTTCTGCAGATCGTGCGTATCAGGTTCCCCTGTGAAAGTGTGCATGTTGAGTGTGAACGTGATCAGTCTATCGTTTGGGCATTCAAGGCCATCGATGCCATATTGAGAGGGATGAAGAAGCGCTCAAAGGCTACTGGGAAGAAGCCCATCCTGGTTTATACGGTGAGTGTATGGTAACATCTATCTCTGCCGAGCTGACTCACCAATCATAGTCTGGAGGTGGTGAGCATTCCTTCTCGATGACTCCGCCGCTCCTCGTAGTGATTTGGATCAACAGGCGCGATCGTCACGGACACGAAAGCTCTCGGGAACTACGCCGTGAACGAATATCGTTCTGATGTGGACACAGAATACCTTGTCAACCTTCCTCGCGATCATATCCACTACGAAGGAGATACGAAAGTACGTTTGGCCGACGAGAAAGACGGCTACATCCGCACATATATCATCCTGCCCTCGACTGTGTGGGGTCTGTTGCGTGGGCCATTGGCCGACGCCGGGATTGGGCATCGTCACTCCCAGCCCATGCCGGCTCTCATTATGGCTAGTATTGCTTGCGGACAAGGCGGAGTGGTCGGCAAGGGTTTGAATGTCTGGTCGCACATTGAAGTTCACGAGCGTACGTCATAAATTCCATGCGATCCCTGCCAGATATTGAGTTCATGCCGCTACAGTAGCAGAACTATACCGGCTCATCGTAGTCAACGCGCTCAACGACGATCGCTTCCCTAGCGGACGCGAGGGTATATACTTCGGGGAGAACGGCTCATACACCATGATAGAGGCCTGCAAGGCCTACTCGAGAGCCCTCTTTGACGCGGGCAAAGCCCGCTCACCCGAGCCGGAGGCGTTTTCAAAGGCAGAACTGCAAGCCATAGGTTTCGTGAGTCATCACAGTACGTTCCGAATTTCGAGATCATTCGCTCACGTGGATACAGCTAGCCCAGTACATAGGAGCGTCCTCAATATGCAGGGCGGATCGTGGCCGCGCTCTGGGGTGGAAGCCGGCGCTTGGCACAGATGACTTCCTCGCCAGCCTGAGACCCGAAGTAGAGGCTCTTCTCTTGGGTTCTGCGTAGGTGTCAAAGCATAGGAACTTGCGCTATCGGGTAGGGCTTGACTGTAGAGCACGCCAAAACCGACGTTTGTTATTACAAATGCGCCACGGCGCCACATATCGTACAGGAGTAGACAGCAAGCAAGGCGAAAGCAAAAAAGACGTATGTGTATGAGGCACGCAAGCACTCAGTCCTCGTCTCCAATATTGTGTCGGCTCTTGAGTGCTGCGAGCTCCTCTTCTCGCTTCGCAAGCTCGGCTTTGGCGGCGGCGGCGTCCTGTTTCGCAGGCATGTGGTACAGTACGACGATATAACGCTCCTGCAAATGGAAACCATTCAAGTGCTCCAGTGCATTCTTGGCCTGTCAAGCCGATGTAAGCGCATATTTCGGGTGAAAGAGAGCGCGCGCCACGCACGTCCATCACATCGTCGAACACCACAAAGGCCGTGCCCTTTGTCTTTTGCTCGTTTCCTATCCTTATTTGTCGGATGCTGCCGTATCGTCCGAAAAGGTCATACAAGTCCTCGCCCGTGATCTGGTAATTCAAGTTCTTGACGAAGAGGATACGGTTTGCACCGGGAGGGAGCTTCGACTACGGAGGAAATGAGCGGATTATGAGCGCGTGTGAGGTAGCAGACACACTGATGGTCGTTGCATTGCCATGGTGGGCGTACTTCCGTCGCGGATGGATGGAAAGCGAGAAAGGAAGGAGCAAGGCGAAAGAGATCGTGACGGCTGTGGACAAGCGTGATGGGCGCCCACGACGCGCTGCATGTGAGCTGTGACAACACGCGTGCTTGAACAGAATTAAACGCGAGTCTCGCACTTTGCTCCCGCCCACCTTCCACCACCCACCACCAGCCCCTTCAACCACCTGCTCGTCGCGTGCACAGGCGTGTCGCGCGTCGATGAGACTGGCGCACGTGGGTCTATCTCGACTGTAGAGGTGAATCCCTGGTGCGGTCTGTTCATCACCCGAGTTGTGGCAGCGCTTGACGGTTTCTGGTGTAGCTCAGCCATGTCGGCCGACGACTCTATGGAACTCGACTACGGCCTACCACCAACTCAGCCTGCCTTTATCCAGCTCTCTCACCCTGTCGTCGATAAACGAACAAGGATTGGATGGCTGAACAGCCAGTCGAGCTCCCAGACCGCGCTCGCCAGCCTGTTCGCCGATGTTGACGGCGATACACTCGGTACGTGTGCTCTGACGGCCCCCGCTCTCACTTACCGAAACTGTACTTTAGATGACGCACCTCCACCTATACTGGAGACACTGCCCGAATTTCCCGTCGCGTCAACCTCTGCATCCACCTCTACGCACAGACCCGACCGTCGCCGGCGCCGCGTCCAGCATCCAGAACCGGAGCCAGCCCATGCGCCTTCGGCCGTTGTAAATCTACTCGACCTCTTTGCCCGGAAGTTACCGGAGCAGTCCGCTACCCGGCCACAAAAGGAGAATCGGTATGAGCGCGAGAAGCAGCACGCCTCGTCGGCATCTTCCGCCTTATCGAGGAGCAAACCTCACTTGCGCGAAGCCAGTGGAAGCAGCGCGGCGTCCAGTGGCCCGCAAACGCCGGATTCGGACATCTCCCGGCCCTGGCCGGCGCCACAGCCAGAGGGCGCAACCTCCAACGGCGGCGCCAGCGCGAGAACGCGGTCTCTCGGCTCTGGTCAGCTACCTACCTCTTCTGCCACGGCTTCCGCGTCCATCCGACATCATAGCTTGCCCGAAATGGGCAAGCGTTTGCAACAAGATAACGATGTCTCGATGGGCGTCACGTCGGACGGTTGCTCAATGACGGACGCCTTCGCTCGTGCGGCGCTGGATTCGCCCACTTCAGCTGTTGCAGCATGGCCCTCTCCTGTTACGGAAAAGTCATCGCCTGCGCCGGATCGATCTTCCTATCTGGACTCTTCAGATATATCTCATCCGCCACTAGACACCTCGGTGCTGCCCGACACATCTCGCTTGCTGCCGCCGAACCTCCAACGAAGGCCGTCTTCGCCTGCGGCTCCCTCACATCGCGCCTCCGGTGCAACACGGCCATCATCTCGCACTTCATCTTCATCCACTATCGTACCTACGCACCGAAGCAGAGATTCGACACCACAGGCAACTACCACCTCCGCTGCACCCCTAGGAGGTCGTTCTCTTAAGCGCACCGGTAGCCGCACGCTCTCCAGAGATGACATCTACAAAGCTATCGCATTAGCTCCTCCATCGCCTGAGGTTACCCGGCGGGCGCCTGCATCCCGTCAATCGGCACCTCCTGGCCAGAGAGCTATGTCTCACGCGCCTGCTCCTTCACAACGACCCAAGACGCTCGGCATGAGGCGCGGTATCAAGCCCTACGGCGCGTCAACGACTAAGCGTCCTCCGCCCCAACTGCCAGCGCCGGCGAGTCAGAGGTTTCGTATCCAAGGTTTCGAGCCTCCATTCGCGAAGAAGCCTGCCACGTCTTCCGTCATCCCGAAGCCCGAACGAGCGTCCACGCCGCCTGGGCCGCCCCTCCGCAAGCAAATCCAGGTGCCAACGCCCGACTCCTCCCAGCCGCAACGCAAGGCGAAGGTTGAAGTCGACGACGTAAAGATGCCCGACGTCGGAGACTCGAGTTTCGGAGACGTATCGTTCGGAATCGATGCGGATACGCTCGATCAGGCCATGGTGCCGTACGACTGAGCAGGGTCACTACCGTCTGTCACCTGTGTATTAGGACTCTATATTTCTTGATCGGCGCCCATAACGTTGTGGGCGGCCCTGTCTCGGCTTCATCTTGTCATTTTGCGCTGGATTACTCGCATGTTCGCCTCGCACACATGAACCACCTCCGCACCTGTATCATAGCTGCTCACTCCTCTACTCCGTCCAGTACTTCATGCCTCTTCTTTTCAAGTTCATCCCCTATTACCTTACCATTGGCCCTCCGTCTTATCCAATGACCACCGTATCCGTTGAGTTATACATACCGTTCCCTTCGTCGTGGAGTAATGCAACAGCGCAAGATAGCTCGTTTCCGTCAGATGATGCTATAGGGGTAAGGTAAAGTACAGCGAAATACAGCAGTCTGGGCCCACAACATAGAAAGCAACATGGTTTGGCATTGGAAGCAATTGCGATACGAACGAAGGGAGACTAGATGAGCTCGGCAGCGTTGACGGGCATCTCGTCGATTTGTGTGCTGTAGAACTGCTCAATGTCGCGCAAGATCTTGACATCGTCGACGGTGACGAACTGCGAGTATGATCAGCTGTCGTTCTCACTGGCGAGATGTGGGGATGACATACGTTAATCGCGACACCCTTGCGTCCGAAACGACCTGAACGACCGATACGGTGAATGTAGTTTTCACGATTTCTGTACAATGGGTGAGTGAAAGCCTCATGAGTAGATTAAATCAAGTCACGTACGCTGGCAAGTCGTAGTTGATGACAAGGGAAACATGCTGCACATCAATACCGCGTGCCCAGACGTCAGTCGTGATCAACACACGCCTACATGCTGGTCAGCGATTGCACCTCGAGCGCTGAAAGGCGAGACATACGATGTGCCAGAACGGAACTCTCCCATAATTGCGTCACGTTCCTTCTGTGGCATCTCTCCGTGCATCGACGAAACGGTGAAGTTAGCGGCGCGCATTTTCTCTGTCAACCAGTCGACCTGGACTAAGGGTGAGCGACCGTTAATCGATACCTTAATGCCAGAACGCACCTTGCGCCGTGTGTTGCAGAAGATGACGGCTTGTGTGATCGTCAAAGTATCGTACAAGTCGCACAAGGTGTCGAACTTCCAGTCCTCCTTTTCAACCGCCACGAAGAACTGCTTGATCCCTTCCAGCGTCAACTCGTCACGCTTCACGAGGATACGAATGGGGTCGGTCATGAACTTTGTCGTCATCTCCAAGACATCGTAAGGGAGCGTGGCGGAAAGTAGCACGACCTGCGTCGCGGGCGGTAGGTATCGGTACACGTCGTAAATCTGGTCCTTGAAGCCCTTGTTCAGCAGTTCGTCGGCCTCGTCCAGTACGAGCATCTTAATGTTCCTTGTGCGGAGAGTGCGGCGGCGAATCATGTCAAACACGCGCCCGGGTGTGCCGGATACGACATGTTGGCCGTATTCGAGTTTGCGGATGTCCTCGCCGATGGAGGTACCGCCGATGCAAGCGTGGCACTGTACGTTCATGTAGTCGCCCAGCGCCAGTACGACCGACTGAATCTGAGTCGCCAATTCTCGCGTGGGGGAGAGCACCAGCGCCTGTGTCTCGCGCACGTTGACGTCGATCGACTGCAGGATAGAGATGGAGAACGTCGCCGTTTTACCCGTTCCGGATTGGGCTTGGGCTATCACATCGCGTCCTTGGGTAATGGGAAGGATGGCGCGCTGCTGGATGGCCGAGGGCTTCTCAAAGTCTATGATGGCGTGAGTTGGAGAAGCGGCATGCGTCCATGGGACGTACTGTAGGCGTAAATGCCGCGGAGAAGATCCTCCTTCAACCCAAGGTCGTCAAACGTCGAGATGACCGAGACAGCCTCGGAAGACTCGAACACAATTTTCTACCCGTGAAATGAGTATAAAGCATGATTATCAAGTATGAGCGTGTACGTACGTCGTCGCCAGCGTTGATTCCAGACATGATGGCACAGAGCAAACCGCGAATGCACACTGACGCGCCTCCTTGAACTTTCTGATCGCACCCGCGCTTATGACCGAGTCTCAAGCGCGCGTCTACGAGCAGTCTTCTCTCTCACCCGACCCACCACCGTCCCTCTGATGTCCACTTGTGTATAATTGTATTCTGCTGTCCGATTGCTCTGAAAGTACTTTGTCTCTTGCTATTACCATTCATGGAATTCAAACGCGGGTTTCTCAACTCGAAGAAGGGGCGCGATGCGCTTCATATCGAGGCCACGGCCTCTGGCTCCAAATCCAAGCTCGCTACTTCACCGCCCGTATCTGCCCGTAGTACCGCCAGTGGCACTGGCGCCACAGATAGCCATATATATGCACCCTCTACTCCAGCAGGCATCACCAAAGCGGCACATTCAGTTTCTGTCCACGCACCCGAATCCATGTCTAGCGATCCCGTCGACGAAATGAATCAACAACATACCAGCGGCATCCCTCCCGCGACTCAGCCCTCGTCAGCGTCCCCCGCATCCCCGCATATTAATGGGATGTAAGTGGAATCTTATGGCCCTGCATGATGCATCCTACTCACGTACACCTCAGTCCCGCAGATCTACATGCTCTTCCACCCGGGGTCGAAGCGAAGCCTGGATACAACCGCAAAGTCTTCAGCGAATGGCCTCGTGATCCCAAGGGTCAGATCATACGATTCAAAGATCACAAAGAATACGGCAAGCGGACGCCTAATGGGAATAGGATGTGGGGCGAGACCCTGTGGGATTTCTACATGGTCCGCATGATGCCGGAAAACCATTACTTCTTCACCTGGACCTCCGGCAGCCGCATTGCGGCCTTCATGCGTGAATACGGCGAACTGGACAGCGCTCCTTCGGAGTTGGCTTGGGCTGACGCTGAAGGCGACCCGAAACAGCTCTTCCCTTGTAACGTCGGACGACTCATTTGTGACCGCGAACGCCAAACAATCGATTGTGCTCTAGACGACGAGGCGGCGAGGATCTTCTCGTCGAGAGTGCCCACCTTACAGGCCCGCATTCCCTTCCATCTCCTGCCTGAGAAACTCATCGTTCACGACCCTTGGAATACGCTCTCCATCAAGGACGAGCGCGATGATATGACCACGCCTGTAGCCGAGAGGGCCGACATCGTGCACACGTTCGAGCTCTCTTTATCGAAAGAGAGTCAAGAGAAACAAGCCGCTGAGCGAGACGCCGCCGTCGCCGCCGACAAGGCTCGCTTCGAGAAGGATGAATGGCGTAAAATCGAACCCTCGGCTGAAGAGCCGGGTCCTCTTCCGCCCAGCCTGTTTGCTATATACGCCAAGGTTCCCCCTCGCCCTCCTCGCCCTACTTCCATTCCCGAGGCTCACCTTTACATTCGTCGCGAAGACAAGTGCGGTGATGGTAATCACTCGGTGGTGTACTTTAGCGAACTTGAGCTTCCACGCTGGACCCTCGTCGACGACGTACTTTGCGAGACCTGCTGGCGGACCGCTCTACTGGAAGAAATCCGCGAGCGCAGGAAATCTGGCACACTCCGTCCTGATGTTTCCAACGGCAATGTTCGACCTCCGGAGATCAAGAGGACCGTCAAGGTCTTCGATGACCTACGTAACCCTGTCGCTGTTGAAACCAGTTGTACTGAGCGGCGTGAGGTTGGGTTGACTACCGGGGGTACCGACTTCGAATTGCACCATAACACGCATAGAGTCGTCACGGACGAATATATTGGACCCGTTGCGTATGTCTACCCGAAGGTTACGTGGCAAAACCCAGAGCATGGGCCCGTCTGTGAACATCTATGCATCAATGGGCACCAACCGCCACTCACGACACGCGTCAAGGTCTGTGCGAAGCTTTCTATCCAGGGAGACTTCCACCTAGCGCGTGAGGCGGAGAACTACCAGGCTTTTCCCTCCTATTTCTTCGAACACTGGAACGGCTATAACCTCGTGGTTCCCCTCCGGGACCCTACACCCTGCGGCGCGCTTGTACCCCAATTTTACGGCTACTACGTTCCTCAAGGGGGTTTCGAGCCTGTCCTAGACACGGTTCTCGACGAAGCCTCTGCAGCCAAGACGAAGGGCGCGCCACTGTTACCTGCAAGCTACATCAGCCCAATCCTTTTACTCGAATACTGCGGTATTCCCATCAACATAGATGAAATGGGTCCAGACGACAGAAACGCGGCTGCGGCGCTTTGTCAGACCTTTCACTTTGGAGGATGGGCCCAGAACTCTATGTATGAGCGCAACGTCGTTGTGCAGCCTGGTCCCATCACCGAGTGGCCCGCGTTTCGCGGGCTCAATGAGCGATGGAAGAGTTTCCGGTTAATCGACTTCGGTCGGGCGACGCCTCTAGACTGGCATAATCAGGGCTTTTTGCAGAAGAAAGCGGAGGTCTGCAGGATGTTCAAGTTATTCCATTACCATCCATTACGGGATCTAGCTAGTTCTTGAGGTCGACTGCGCCTGAATCTCCCATTGTATCCTGCCATATGCCTTCAATCTTCTTGTAGCTGTAGGATGTATAATATACTGTATTGTCCTATGCAAATCGCTCTCGTTGGCTGCGTGGCAGACTGCAGACACGATTGCGGAGCACGGTGAGCGTAGCGTGATGGCGATTCTCACGTGCACACTGCGATGGACGCGGCACGCGTCGCGTCTGCAGAGTCTGCTCTCGCCGCCATCCTCTGCGATACCGTAGAGTGTACATGCACCGCGCTATCTTATCGCCTTGAACCTGTTTTAAGCTCTCTTGATGACTTTCAAGCGCGGCTTTCTCAACTCGGAGAAAGGGCGCCAGGCTCTAGCCACCGAGTCGACCTCTTCTTCCAAATCAGCCGTCTCGTCTACCCCGGACAATAACTCCCCATCCAATCCGGATCGCCGCTCAAGCGAAATTGACTCTTCCCCAGCAAAAGAACTCGAGAGTTTTGAGGTGTAAGTAGGACGTGTTGTTCAACTTCGACAGTGATGTCTGACTTCCCCGCATTAGTCCGCTTGATCTGCACGCTCCTCCACCATGGCTGGATCGCCTACCCGGAAACGATCGCTACATCTTCAGACAATGGCCACGCGCACCTGATGGGAAGGTCATTCCCAAGGAACATCCCGAGTTCGGTAAAAGGACGTCCAATGGCTGGTACATATGGGGAGAGACACTTTACGACTTCTTCCAGACGCCTCGCATGCCGACAGTCCCAAATTTCTTGACTTACAGTTCTGGAAGTAGACTTGCGGCATGGATGCGCAGCTTCGGGGAGCTTGATGCCGCGATCGACGAGCTAGCTTGGGCCGACGCCGAGGGCGATCCGACTGAAGTACACCCTTGCAGCGTTGGACAGCTTATCTGTGACTATGAACGAAACACTGCTGGCCTTGATCCGAAACATGAATCATCACAGATCTTTCTCTCCAGAGTGCCCAAGCTACAGGCTCGCCTTCCCTTCTATCTGTTGCCCGAGAGATTGATCGTTCATGACCCTTGGAATACACTCTCTGTACAGGATGCACATGATTGCGATGATCCGTCTTCCTTTGGGAATGATGATCTAGTGCATACATTTGAGCTTTCAATGTCCGAAGAAGGCACGAAGAAACAAGTAGCCGAACGCGAAGCCGCAGACGCCGCCGACAGGTCCCGCGTCAAGCAGGAAGAATGGCGCGTCATGCTGCCAGCCGTTGACGACTCTGGCCCTCTTGAGCCCGGCCAATTCGCCGTTCATGCCAAAGTACCCCCTCGCCCACCTCGACCGACCTCTATTCCCGAGGCTCATCTCTACATTAGCCGAGAGGATCAGTGCGGTACTGGCAATCACTCGGCAGTCTATTTCAGTGAGCTTGAGCTGCCACGATGGGCCCTTGTCGACGATGTACTCTGCGAAGCGTGTTTCCAGGTCGCGCTTCAGGATGAAATCAATGAACGCACTGAAGCCGGTACCTTTGCTCCCGAGGACCCTCAGGATCAAGACAAGCCTGCAGAGATTAACAGAACCCAGATGGTCGTCAAGGACCACCGGAATGTTACCCTTGTCACGGAGAATGTCAACCGTACTTCAGGACAGAGCGGCGGGTCTGCGACTACCCAATACATGCGCACTACTCCTCGCACAGTGATCACGGAGGAGTACACGGGACCCGTTGTGCGCGTCTACCCCAAGGCCACATGGCAGAATCCCGAGCGCGGGCCTGTTTGTGAACATCTGCGCGTTCGGGGACTTGACCCGCCGCTCACTGCACGCGTGAAAGTCTGCGCGAAGCTCTCTATCCAAGGCGATCTCCATCTCGCGCGCGAAGCGGAGAACTATCAAGCTTTCCCCTCGCATTTCTTCGAACACTGGAACGGCTACAATCTCGTGTATCCCCTACACGACCCAACCCCTTGCGGAGCGCTTGTGCCGCAGTTCTACGGCTACTACGTTCCTCGGGGAGGGTTCAAGCCCGTCGTAAACGACGTAGTCGTCATAGATCCAAATCCAGCGGCTGGCTCAGATGCAGTCACCTCCGATCCCAAACCAACGCCGCAGCTACCTGCAGATTACATCAGTCCAATCCTGCTTCTCGAGCATTGCGGCCTGCCGATCCAGATCGACGAACTTAGCGAAGACGACAAGAGCACTTGCGCGGCGCTCTACTTGATGTTCGCTGAGGGTGGGTGGACTCAAAACTCTATGGCCGAGCGCAATGTCGTTATACAGCCGGGCCCCATCACCGACTGGCCTGTATTTCGTGGAATGAGTAGTCGACAGCGCAGTTTTCGATTGATTGATTTCGGTCGAGCAGCGCCTCTTCGAGAGAACTACATTCTCTTGAAGGACGAGATTCTCCGACTGTTCAAATTGCATCATCATAGTCGCTGAGCGGTTCGACGGGCAGTGCAGAACTTTCCTTCCTGAACATGCCATGCCTTACACAAAAGAACTCCAATGAATCATGTTCGTGCTGTCATATGTAGCGACGCCAAAACTGTATTCAGTCATTACGATATCGATGACACAATTCCAGGACTCACATGTAAACCATCACCTTGTAGCCGTACAGTGTAGAAATGAATCATTCATATCATTTGAACTCTGGAGCGATTGGACGTCTCGTCGTAACTTGAACCATTGATCAACACCAGACTTGCCTGCAAGGGCGTGTATACTCAATGCGAGTTGTCCTAAGCCGCTCACTTGCCATACATCTCCTAAGCCTACAGTTAGACGCGCTCGACGAACTCGCTCGATATAATTTCAGATATGATGGCAGTGATGCGATATATATATAGACGGACGGCCAGAATCCAGAGCTACTCCGACAATTCGCTGAGCTCACTCAACTCGCTTGCCTCGCCCTCTTCAAGCTCTTCCAGTCTCCTCCTCGCTCGTGCATTCCTCGGCGACCTCCCAGGCTCAGCCACCTCTCCCATCTCGATGTCATCATCCTCGGCCGGTGGTGTTGACTGTGGCGCCGGTGTCGCGGAGGCACTCGAGCGCAACGCACGGGTGGATTGGGGCAGTCCGCTTCGCGGGACGAACTGTTGCGCACGTGGATTGAGTGTGGCGGAGAGTGGGGCCTCATCCGAGCTCACGTCTGCCTCACCCTCCTCACGCTCGTCAACGTCTATGACGGTGTTGATCGGCGGCGGCGCGGGTGATGGAGCAGCAGTGGGCGGTGCATTCGTAGACGGCGCCGGCGGCTCGTCGCTGTCGTCTGACACGCGCTCGCGCATGGTGGTCTGCAGCTCTGCAAGATTGCCGATGACGGACGCAAAGGCGTTCCGTTGCTCTTGCATCGCGCGTCGCTGTTGGTCACGTTCTTCGCGAATGACCGCAATGTCGTTCTCCAAAGCAGCTATCATCCTGCAACACGACATCTTGAGTACAAGTAATATAATGCATAACAGTCTGGGCGTACCGTTCGCGTTCTGCACGGCTCGGATACTGGTTGATGCGCTCCGCAAACTGATCATATTCCTGCTTCTGAGCCCGCTCCAGCTGGGCTTCCTCGAGCGTCGACTTGAGCTGTTCGATGTGGCGCCTCAACGCCACACGTTCCTCCTCTGTCAAATTCAAGTCTGAGCATTCCAGTTTGGGTATGACATCAAGTGAACATACCAATGCGTGCCCTTTCAAGGTGATATTCCTCAACTTGCCTCGCCTCAGCCGCACACACCATCGCCGCTTTGCGAAGGTGCAGCCCAAACGAACCGAGTTCGACCAGCAAAGCCTCCCGAGCCTCTACGCTCTTCTCGGCTGTATTCTGGGCGGTATCAAGTTCTCGCAACCCAGCAGGTGGGAACGCAAGCGCCGCGTATGTGCTGAATTTCCGGACAACACGCTTCAGCGGTCGCTCGTCATTTGTGATTCGGGAAAGGACGATGGTGTCTGGAAAGCGCATAAGTATGCAATTAAATGAATACGCTAGACTTTACAACGCACCTTCTTCCTCGGGTGTAGCAGGTACAATGGTCACGCGTTGCATAGGTGTGGACAGTGGTGCAGCCATGATGGGTTCCGGCAAGTCACGCAGCGCGCGCGTCGAGGCCCATCAACAGTACGCCGGGCCGGCGCGCACTCGCCCGGGTATGTTTCTACACCTTCTTTCTCAAGACGCTAAGCTCCGCTCATCGTAAGGCTCGGATGGGTTTTCCTTGCGAAGGAATCCATACATCAAATGGTCTCGATAAGGGCGGTAGCTGAGCGATAGTACATGGTACAGAGAGAGCATCACGACCCAACCCCACCTGGGTACCGGGGCCGCACAAACACTGGTATGTTACAATCAGTTTGTGGCACACCCCCGTGCTACGTCGGGATGTCAGAGTATACAACTCTCATCAAAGCATTACCAAGCTGTGATCGAGTTATTGAGAGGATTCGACGCCCGACGCTGTGAATTTCAAAGACAAAGCTGGGCGCACGACAGTATAGTTACCACAGAATCCAGCTGCGATGCTCTTGAACGAGCATCAAGTCTGTAGGTACAACACAAAGGCGAGATTGAGGCCATGATGGAGGTTTAGCAAGGTAAGAATGTCCTGGGCGAGTGGACAATGTAGATGCCGGGATATTGCCGTCGCGCGGCGACTGCGAGCCTCGTGTTCGCATCCGTGATGGAATCACGGACCTACCCCCACTCCCCCCCGAAGGTTCTTACCCATTCCCTACTATCGGACCAGTCTACCTACAGTACATCTACATCTGGCGCCCCTAGCCCTTCGGGCGGCGCTCTATAAGTCTTGGAGAGTTAAAAATGCAATCACGGGGCGGGACTGAGCCGGGTTAGAAACTCCGCCGGAATTGATACCCACGGGAAAAATTCAAACCCAACTACACAGGCCACTTTCAACTGCGCCGCTATTTCTCGCCCACGTTTGTCCCATCTTGAACAGTGTCAAGGTATAGCCATACCTATGTTATCAACTGTATCTCGGCAGGTTGTCCACCCTAGATCAAATCAAATCTACCGTGCCATTTCGTGCTTCCTCACCCATCGGTTTATTACTTCAAGGGGATAACTAACCCTCAATGAGGGAATATTAATATCTAATCCTGAAAATTTGTGGGTGCCCAGTTATCTACTCACTGACTCCGAGTCACGTCGCGACGCTGTGGAACCGTGTACTAAATGACTTTGAACGTTGTATGCCTTACTACCTGGTTGTTGTAAAACACTGTAACTAACCTCGCCGTCACGAGCGTTATAGCTGTCCGTTCTTTTCCCCATCTTCTCCCATCCAAACTTCGAGCACTGCAGGTGTTTCATGAGCGAGATATTCCTTTGAAACCAAAGCACACAGTACTACAAACTACGCAAGGAAAGCAGGAGAACCGAAACGATAAGAGCCTGGCGGCCCGGCGTCAAGATCGTAGCGCGTCGTGAAAGGGCATCCAAAGATATGGGAGCAAAGCCAAAGAAAATAACAGTAAAGAGATAACAAATAGACCTTAGAGTAGGAACAGAGTCAAGGTATCGTACCGTACAGATGATGCGAGGAGAGCATGGCATTCCGAGAGCGTAGTAGTAGATGTGGAAGATAAACGGATAAGGGGACATGAAGGTAGCAGGGGCCCGGTAGATGGGTGGCGCGGCAGATGGTGTTGGGCTATGGAGGAGCATATCCGGCAGGGTCAAAGAACGTCCTCCTTGACGATCCTGACCAGGTCATCCAGCATCTCTCGCTTCTCGCGCGAAGTAACGCCCGGTGGAGGCGCCGTGTCAAGCAATTGCCGCACGCGGTCGAGCAAACCGGAAGCACCGTCCAGTGGGATGATCTCCTGATCGAACCGGCGCACATACTTCTTGAACTTCTCGAACCCCTGCTCGCCCAGTACAACGCGGAAGCGACCTGTGACTTCCTTATCCGCCTTGCGCCGCACGTTCAAGTCCGCGTCACGGTAACCCATTTCACGTCGATGGCCATTAGTAGCGTGCTGTGTGCGTTCCCGCTCTGTCCCTCGTTCTCGATCCCTCGGGACTTCTGGAGGGTCACGCCTGCCAGTGAACTCGCGTACGCGAATCTTCGTTGGCGCCCATGTCAGTCCTATACCAAGCTCGACCTCCCTCTCCTTCTCCCTCTCCGGCCACGCGCTCAATTCGTGCACTCGGAAGCGAGGACTGAGATCTATTCGTGGTCGCCCTTCACTGACAGGCACGGGCGACGCGCGTCCATTACTGGCGCCAGAACCGCTCGCCGCGCTCTCGAACGCGAATGGCGGATGCACTCCGGCGCCAACCCAGCCCTGCCGTCCCGCACGTCGGCCCCACGAACCGCCCTTCTCCCCAGTAGCATCTGCAGTCGCACGCGCAGCTCCCGTTCCGCTGGTAGCCGTTGACTGCTGCGAATGTGCCGAGCGCGCAGGGTCGAAAGGCTCCGGTCGTGGTGTGTGCGCATGTGAGGCACGCATATGTGCCCGTGCAGATGTCGATTGGGAGTACGCGGCCGCAGGATGACCGTCGTGACTTCCTCGAACGCGCGTACGGCGATCGCCTCGCTCCGTTCCACCCTGGCTCACGCTCCGCTTCATCTCAAAGCCCGAGTGCGTATGCCGCGTCTCAAAATCGAACGAGCCAATGCGCGCACTGGACGGCCCATTTTGCACTAGACCAGCCGAAGGCGGCCCCGTGTCGCGCGAAGTTTGTCGCATGTTGAGCTTCGGCACACTGACCCTTGGTGGGGCAGGGGCCTTGCCCTTGATATTGTTCGAGCTATTGGTTCGGCTAACGCTCGTGCTGCGGCTGTGCGACCCGCCCCGCGAGGATGAACGGTTGAAGATTCGCATGCTGAAGAAAGGGGAACAGCGACCGCGGGCGGACTCTATAGAGGATGGCGGCCGCTCGTGCACATCGTGCGGCGGCGGGGACGATCGTGAGCGCGGATGAACGTCAATTGAAGCGCGCTTGACGGCCGCTGGACGGGGCTGCGGTGCATGCAACGGGATGGAGGACGGTCCTGGCATGGATGCTTGAACATGCCGGAGCGCACGGAAGTTTCCGAGACGGAACGCACCTGGCATCACTGACGCCTTGTCCTTGCGGCTGGAGGTACTGAAGCCTGAGCGGCCGCGTGCCGGTGTGCCGGGTGGTGATAAGGGATCTGCACGTTCGTCTTTGGGTGTTGTAGGTCGCGAACGGCCGGGGAGGGATATTCCGAAGAGGGTCGGTGGTTTGGACTTGCGTTTTGCTGATGCGGAGGTCGGGACGGGCGGCGGGGGCATGGACATGTCGTATCCGTCTGCATTTGTACGCGGGGTATGAGCACGTGTCGGTGCGGAGGGGAGGGGCGTGATGGTCGAGTGGGTGCGAGCGGTCTGGTCCGAGAGCGGGCGGGAGGGAGAGCGTGTGCTCGGCTTTGAGCGCATGCTGTCCATCGTCGTGAGCGTCGTGTCTGGGTCGTCGGGAGTTGCCGAGTCGCTCGACCTCCTTGTGCTCTTCGACCGCGAGCGCGACGCCGAGCGAGCCAAAAAGTCATAAATCTAAACACCGCCGTCGGGTTTGTCACATGGTCGCGTTGGTGCTTTCGCGATATATGAGGTACGTACCTTTGCTTTCCTTGTCGTCTGGGTAGCCGTAGCAGACATTTGCAGTTCGAGTACGTTCTCCACCTTTATCGTCTTGTCTCCCTCTTCATCCTCTGCTTGAACCACCGAGCTCTGACAAACGAGATCAGCTTCTGATATTCCCACGAACATATTCCGGCTTGTGCTCACAGAGTTATCGTGTATGACACTCTCCGCCGTCGGCCGTGAGATGGAGGTGGAGGTGGACGCGGAAGACGATGAGCGAAAGAGGTGAGCTGAGAACTACACGTGTAGCGTAGAAGATGGCCGAGGCACGAGCACGAGGCAATGTTCTCTGGTTAGCCCGCTTGTCCTCCAAAAGTACAACCACCACCCACGTCCTGCGCCAAACTCCACCTCCCCGGCCGTATCCGCTGCGACAGCGACGGCTTGCGCTCGGGTCCGCTCGCTCCCGACATCCCGCTGCTGCTCGCAGACGTCAAAGACCCCACAGACGGCGTCAATGTCGGCATTTGTGATCTTCCTCCTTAATATACCCCGAAGTCGAACGGCCCCTTGCGGCGGTCGCAGATATTCCTCTGAGAGCAAAAAGCAGAGCGAGAGTAAACAGATAGACGAAGAGATGAACGTTGTCGGGAGCAAGTCGAACCTCCCAGTGTCTTGAACGGAAGCATCGAATAATCCATCGTGAGAATGTGGCCCTGTCAGCTTTAGCTATTACGCGCCATTACTCTCTCGCTTCCCTCCGTTTCTGTTAGCACGATGCCTTACTACGTACAGAACTTCCCCGCTCCTCCCAAATCGAGAAGATCGGCGAGAAGACTGGATAGGCGAGCGCTTGCTCGGACATGCGCGTCATTGTCTTTCCGTTTGCGAGAGCCTCGTGCCCGCATGCGGCCCGTTGTGGCCGCTTTGAACCTGCACCGCCATGAAGCCGGCAGCTGTGACGCGCTACTGGGGCGCGGTGAACATACCTGTCGGCGAGACTGTCAGTACAGCGCCGCATCCATCGTCCACGCCCCATTGAGTATGCCACGTACAGAAAAGACTATGTCGGCCCTACTATGCGCCCTTCGTTGCCCGCGCGACCGCCGATAAGGATGCCGGCTCATCGTACGCATCTTCCTCGGTGGTAGCTTGACCTCCTCATTCTCTGCGCAGAAGCTTTACAGTCTCCAACCCGGCAACTGGTGAAGGACTTTCTACGTCAGTGCACGCTACCGATGTTCCGTGTCCTCTTGATCCTCGTCTCACTTCTGACAGGGTGTCTACGCCAACCTCGGAGGAAGTCAACACGACCGTAGAGGATGCGCACGCCGTCTTCACCTCTGGCGTATGGTCATCTCAACCGGCGCATGCACGCGCAGTAGCTTTATCCAGACTATCTCGGGCACTGGCTGAGCGTGTGGCGGAGTTCGCACAACTCGAGACCTTACAGACTGGACGCGCCATCCGCGAGATGAAGGCGCAGCTGGGACGTTTGCCCGAATGGCTGTGGGTTCTCTAGTACTGGCTGTGCATGGGCTCAGCAGGCTGATCCTTTGACTACAGAGAGTACTATGCATCGTTGCTCAGAACACGAGCGGACTATGTCGCGCCGACGCAGGGCGCGTTACTGAACTATGTTCAGCGCGTGCCGTTGGGCGTTGTTGCCCAGATTACGGTAGCATGCATGCACGCCTCCTCCTCAAGATGACGCTCACACTCTTTGCAGCCTTTCAATCACCCACTGCTCATCGCGATGAAGAAGATTGCTCCTGCTCTTGCGGCAGGTAACAGTGTCATTGTCAAGCCATCTGAGGTGTGTTCCATTCAAGGCATGCAATACGCACTGCTCATCATGGAAATAGCACGCACCAATCTCAGTGCTAGAATTTGCGGAAATGACTGTTGATGCTGGATGTATGTATCCAATCGCCTTACGCACAGCATACCTGAAACTAATCACGCAGCACGTAGTGCCACGAGGAGTGCTATCCGTCTTGCCAGGTGGCGCGGACGTCGCGCGTCAACTTGCCGGTCACCCCCTCGTTCGCAAAGTCGACATCACAGTATGTTATAGCTCGCTACGCCGTTAAAAGCGACTGAAGAGCCGAGCAGGGAGGTACCGCGGCAGGCCGTTCTCTGGGTAGCATCGTAGGGGAAAACCTTGCTTCATACACTGCCGAGCTTGGTGGAAAAGTAAGAACACCGTCTATCGGCCGCATACCCGCGTCCTCATACGCAAGTAGGCGCCCATCGTAATCCTCGAAGACGCCGACCTCGACGCAGCGGTGAACGGCGCCGCATTCGCTGCATTCGTCGCCTCGGGTCAGACTTGCGTATCCGGCACACGGCTGATCATCCAGGCAGGGATCTATGATGCGTTCATGGAAAGGTTCCTTGCCAAGGTCGCCAGCATCACAAAGCGTATGGGTAGCCGTATGTATATGATCTTCTCCCTTGATACAGAGAACCATCGCTGACCAAACCTATAGCTAATAACCCTGCATCAACAATGGGCTCAGTCATTGGCGCTCCCCAGCTCGCGCGCATGCACGATATGGTTAAAGGCCGAGGCTCGGGCAGGATCCTCGCCGGCGGTGAACCGCTCACCGGCAAATCATCCCTGGACGGCTTCGATTTCTCGCGCGGTAGCTTCTACCCACCCACCGTCATCGGTGACATCGAGACTTCAGACGAGTTATGGCGCGAGGAGGTGTTCGGACCCGTAGTCGTGACGCGGCGATTTGAGGTAGGCAGGCATCTTATATGCGCTAGACCGAAACTGATTACTTGCGCAGACTGAGGATGAGGGCGTCGCGCTCGCGAACGACTGCCGATATGGGCTCGGTGCTGGTCTCTGGACTCGCGATCTTTCGCGGGCGCATCGGCTTGCAGCGCGCATACAGGCGGGCCTCGTCTGGGTGAACACCCATCACCGAAATGATCCGAGCTCGCCTTGGGGTGGGATGAAGGAGAGTGGGATAGGACGTGAGAACGGCCAGGAGGCCTTCGCTGCTTGTAAGCCTTTCTGTTGTATCGGTAGCGGATGGTGAGTACTGATACTGTGTTCATAGACACGCAGAGCAAGTCGACTATCGTCAGTGTAGCGGCGCCGGAGCAAATGGTGGGTGAGGATTGGTTCGCGGAGAGCGCTGCTGGGAAACGATATGGTTGACCGGCGCCACACGTGGTCATATACTATCTAGCTTTCCCTGCTTCACCACTGTGAATTTTATAGCCCTGTTGAGACCACCAATTCATATCTGACTCATACTTTGGCCGCGTTTCCTCTCTCATGCTCACACCAAAGCAAAAGCATGATTCAATCAACCTGATTCATTGGATCCGGCCACGCCGACAACAACTGCTGACTAGCGCTTTGCGACCCGCCCCCGATAGCAAGCGCGTTCATAGCTACCCTAACCTCCTCCACAAACTGCCGTGTCCTCTCGAGCGGCACTTCGCCATTCGCCTCTCCCCGGGCAGCGACGGCATCAAAAGCCTTCCAGCTCTCCATGGCAGCTTCCAATACCTCCGGATCCGTCGCCTGCAGCTCTTCCTCCCATGCCGACAACGCTCCTGCACCGGGACCGGGAGCAGGTGCAGAGACGAGTACACGGTCAATGTCGATAGGCGATTGCGAGAACATGCGCGCGTGCAAGTACGATCCGCCTGTTTCAAGCGGAAACGCCACGCCAGGCCCCTCCCTCGCCCAATGCTCCGCCAACCGCGCAAGACAGACCTCGGCCGTATCTCGAAAGCCCCAACTGGCCGACAGTACACCTTCGAACCAACGCTCCGTGGCGCCGAAGACATGTGCGACGACCCATTCCCAAGATTTGGGTAGTGGGGAGTGTAAGACGGCCGCAAACACCCGCGCTCGTGCCGCGCGTTGGTCTTCCCAGCTCAACGATTCGGGCCCGGGTCCGTTTAGTAAGAACGGCGGCATGCGCGCACAGCTCCATAACGGTGCTCTATGAGCGTGTTCCCAGCCCGTCACAATCAGTCTTGCATCGGTGCCTCCTGCCTCCCATTTGACTATGATACGCCCCATACGCAAGTCGGTGTGTAAGAGCCCAAACTCTTTGGCTTGCAGAACCCCGAACGCCAGTTGGCGTGCGGGGGCGGAGAGGTGAGCGGGGACGTAATACCCCCCGGAGTGGTACAGCACGAGAGAGCCTAGTCGCGTCCAGGTGTCGCGCGCCAGGAGTACGTCTCGGTCGTTCAAGGGCGGGGTGCGCGGCCATTCCATATTTCGTGCTGCGGCGGAAGTTCTACTATCGCTGAAGACGCGATCTACACGTTGCGAGAGCGCGATGAGGTAGTCGTGTGCAGACGTGAGCGCTTCCTGCGGTGGGAGGTCTAAAAGAGGGCCCTCGTCGAATGGTGGCGCGAGGAGGACTGGATTGCGAAACTTGGTCTGTTCAGAGGCGGGGCGGGGAGGAGAGTCGCGCACATTGGTGTAGGTCGAGATGTCGGTACCACGGCAGGCGAAGAGTTTGATGAGGAGCTCGGCAAGGCGGTCGCAGACGATATCGAGTTGGGCGGGTGATAGCGTGTGCCATACTTGTTCGAGAGAGTCGCCATGGATCTGCGAGCACGGTGTCAATGCCCTCTTTCTGCATAATGTCCACAAGGAGAAAGCGACATACGTATTCCAGGAGCACCACCTCAGCCTTGACTGGATTCGCCTCGTTATCGTAATAACCGTAAATTTTCGGCGCAGAGATCTGAGCGTGTTCGCGCGCGATCTGGGTCATGCCGACCATAGCCTTGGTCGTGAACCCCGTGCGTCCGTATGGAAAGTGCGCCATCATCTGATGTGGACCTAGAGGCGCACTGGCTGGGTCGATGTCGATTTGAATCATCTGTAGACACCGCCCCGATGAGAGACCGAACCGCCCCACAGTGAAGATCGAGGGGCTTACCCATTCTCCTACCCAAACAACGTCTGTACATTTGGTTACGCGTGGGTAGATCGTGGCTTTGTCTGCGACGCGAGCTTTGCCTTTGGCGCTGCGCGAGGTGGTGGTGGTAGCGGCTTTGCCCAGTGGCGCGTTGCGGCTGACGCGATATGCATGTTCGGCGGCTGCAGCTGCAGCTGCGAACTTCTTGAGCGCGTCTGTGTCGATATCGGGGAAGTGTTCGGACATGTTCCATGAGACGAGTGGCGGTGGCGAAGAGAAAGAGATTCGGGATTAAGCTAGTTGTATTGACGGTATGGAGCAGGTGGCACGCGAGCAAACTGAGTGGGCAGAGACGATGGTTATGTGTAATGGGCCGTACAGATGCGTGAAGTAGAGATAGATCAGATGTGATGCGATGACAACAAGAACAAGAAAGGACAAAGCAAGAAGCCAAGCAGAATTGCTAGAGTGATCGGTTCACAGTATACAGGCAGAATAGATCGGTCGGTAGGCCACGCGTACTACGTCGCGCGTATACAACAAGAGCAGGAACGCTCAGCCAAGGGCCCCAGTACAAGCCGTAGTGTTAGATCAAGGGGAGATGGTGGTCGGAAAGCAAGGAGGGAGATTAGATTGAAAAGCGTCCAGTTGATCTTTTGGTTGATCTAGCCTTCGCCGAATGCTTCCCGGAGCTTTTGCCAGGTTGCACCGGCCCGCCATCTGTCCCCTTCCCCCCTTTCTTTCGTGATGGCTGCTGGACCTGAGGAGGACATTGACTTTGAGACGCTACAAGCGCAACTTGACAAGACCTGGGCGTACGCACACAGTGTGGTGGACAGCTGGACGAAGAGGGGAAAGTCCACAGCGGCGCCTAGTATAATGTCAGACAAGGAGCTGAATGACCTGTTACGAAGACCATCACGGTGCGCGAGACTTTCTGTGGTATTACTGGCATCCCCCTCATAATATATCTAGATTAGGTGTCGGTGCACCCATGCCAGACTCTACATCATCCTCTGTCGCCTCGGCCCGCGAAGCCTTGAAGTTGAAGTACAAGTTGGAAGGAAAGGATAAGAAGAAGCGTGCACGTGAGGAAGAGGAAACGCATAAGGGCGACGAAGATGAAGACGGGGAGGAGAGCAGGGCCAGTGCGATCCGCAAGAAACCGCGGATAGACCCTTTCGCCTCGCCCGGCGGGAAGAAGCGGAAGGCCGAGAAAGGGTCGGGCGTGTCGCATGCGAAGGAGCAACCCGTAGCTGGTACGTCACTGACATATGCTTGAATGCCATATTGATGCTAACTTATGTTCAGGTCCTTCGACGCTGAACGCGAAGGCGACAATCCAGTCTCCACGGCCCGACAAGAAGGGCAAACGCCGGGCACGCTCATCTTCGCAAGACGGGTCTGCCGCTCGTTACTCTCGTACGTATTTTAAATTATTTCATTCCGTTGCTTGTCGCTGATATGTCATGCACTGTAGCTGCAGTATCCGCCACACCCTCCAATGCAGCCAGCTCCCTCAAAGCCACATCCCCGGAAACCATCCCCACACCTTTACCTACGTCAAATCTCAACTCCAACACCGATGGAGATAATACCGGTCTACCCATACTCAACCTCGACGGACCTCCGCCACAACCTCCAGCCTCACCGTCTAAAGCGGAGTCGTCCGCAGCTGAGAAGAGACGTCAGAAGCGTAGGCGACAGAGAGAACGGAAGAAAGCCAAGAAAGCCCAGGTCAAACAGGGCGAGAGTGGTACTGTCAGTGATACAGAAGAGGCCACAGACGTAGAATGATTGTGACTTTGTATCCTACTCGCACATCAGGTTCGGAGTCTTCATGCACACATGTAGCCGTAGTCGTGTATAACACATTACATTGCTAACCGAGATGAACATCGTCCTTTGAGTCGAACTTACACTCGCTCCAGTAGTATCTACGCGATCAAACGAGAATGCTATGCCGTCGTCTTGACAGCCTCGTGCGTTTGAGGAGAGGAAAGCTAGATGTTATGCATCAGTGAGTGGCGCAGACCTTGTGAAATGTAACTAACCTCCGCAAGCTCGTCTGGAGCCTCGTCAATAAAGTCTGGCGATTTGTTGAGATCGGCGAGATAGGATGGAGCTTCCTCCTCCTCCAACGCGAGCGCATCAAGCTCTACATGTCAAGGTCAGACGCGTGACATACTGCACGGGAAAGAGCAAGTCATACCAGCCTCGAGATCTGCCTCGTCCAACTCATCTGGCACCGCGTATGATCGTCCCAACGTCTCCTGGATCTCGTTCGCTTGCTCAAGAAGTTCCTCCATATCGTAGTGCATATTCTGCCCGCGTACATATTAGCACTTGCAGTGACGTAACAAACCAGAACGTACCTCGATCTTGTCAATGTCGATCTTCCCATACTGCTTCTTGAGCTCCTTGTTCGCCACCTTCATAGCGTCGAATGTAGCCATTGTATTCCGTAAGTTCTCAGTCGCGAGAGCGGTGCTCTCCATGTTAAATGTCTGCTGCATGAGTTGGTTGAGTTGCGCCTCGTACATCTTTTTCTGCTTGAGGGATTGTAGAGCACGCTGTTGTACTGCGTTCTAACCCAGCGTCAATACGAGTCACACACTAAATCGGTATTAGTAGCATACCTTTCCTGGACCGGGCCGCAGCTTGCTCATCTGCTCCTTGTACCTCGCGAGCTCGCCGTCGAGCTTCTTGATCTTGACCTCTATACTTGCAATTCTGGCGTCTGTCTGTGGCATCGGATGAGGCGCGCTTAGCCACAGAGGCTCCCTGGCACGTACCGATGCAATCGCCTCGTTGAGACCCGGTTTGGGCGTCTTGGACGAGCCCATTCCAAATAATCGGTTCATGATGGTGGGCAGAGGTCAAAGGGTGTTCGGCGCCAAACTCAGACCAACTGGCTCCCTTGAGCGCGCGTGTTATGATCGTGGGAAAGGCGACTTGGGGTCGAGGTTCACGCGACCTGTGTTTGGAGGCGACGGCCACGCACGATGGACTCGCATTTTGAAGTCGTACGGCAGACGCACGAGGAGATAGAGCGCTTCGAGCGCGCCCTCTACGACGTCCTCGCCCGTCCCACGGGTGTCCACCAGACCAGGCTCCAGAACGAGCACAAGGCCGCCCAGATCCTCGACCGCCTCTCCGGCCGCTACCAGGTCTTGAACGGACTCTACCAGGACGACGCGGCCCGGAACGCCGAAAAGGCAGCGTTGGCCGCTCCGGCGGCTCATCAACAGGGAGACCTCACGGCCTTTTACGAGAGGTTGGGCAAAATTCAGGACCACCACCACAAATATCCTGATGCAGGTGCAGATGGCTTTGCGCTAGAGCTCGCTGCTTTCCTCGACGATCCCGCCCCGGAGGACTACGATGAGGGATACGAACCAGAAGACCGTGCGCGCCCCTCCTTTGTGCCTGATTATCATGTTCAATAACCATGTTACCAGCTATCGCGAACTTGTTCTCCGGCGAGGAGCTGTACGGCAAGTTCCTCGACCTCTACGCCAACCATACCGTCTACAACAACTTGAAACTCGTCAAGCGACTGGGATACCTGCAATATCTTGATGTTCTCATGACGCTCGACAAGGGTCTTCACGTAGAACTTGAGAAGAAAATCCGGCTCTCCAAAGACTACGATGCGTACGTCCACGCGAATTCTCCGTATACCGCAGCTCATAACCTCAATATAGGTATATTCGAGGTCTACACACATACTTATCATCTTTCATGCGTCGCACACAACCTCTGACGAACGTCGACGCCTCCCAATCTACCGCCTCGGACGATTTCACCGCGAAATGGGACGCAGGCGAATTCGACGCAGAATGGGTAGAAGAAAAGAAGGGTGCGGCGACAGAATCGGGAGAGGGGGTTTGGTGCACGGCATGCCAGAAGATGTACTCGAAGCAGACCGTATACGACGCGCATCTGACATCCAAGAAACACGTCAAAGCCGCTGCGAAACAACCTATCGATACGCCACCTAATAACCCCAACGGGCCTCCTGCGAACGGCACACCGGTGCCGGCTGGTGCTACGTCCAATCACAAGGACAAGCACCGGCCCGCCGCGCGCCTGACATACCTCTCCGCCGCCCTCCTCACCGACCTCGCACCTGTACTCGCAGACACCAAAGCGAACGTGGAGCGCAAGTTCTCTCTAACAGCACGCGAGCGTGAGCAAGAATTGCTTGAGCAGTCTCGCCCACAGGCTCCACCCGCAGCTACGAAGGCAGATGGTACGGCCGAGGAAGAGGAAGAAGAGGAAGAGAGGATATACAACCCGCTTAAACTTCCATTGGGCTGGGACGGGAAGCCGATTCCCTATTGGTTGTACAAATTGCATGGGTTGGGGGTGGAATACCGTTGTGAGATATGTTCGGATCATGTGTACATGGGACGGTTCGTGAGCTTCAGCCTTGAAGTAACGCGCAGAGGAGCTGACGGGGCTTATAGCAAAAACTTTGAGCGACACTTCCAGGAGTCGAGGCATGCATTTGGTATGCGTGCCCTTGGGCTTCCCAACACGAAGCACTTCCACGAGATCACCAAGATTGAGGATGCGCTTGCTCGTACGTGCACTCATCCTTTCATCGCAAGCCTTACTCAGCTATTTCGTAGTTGCTGAAAAGCTCAAGCGTGAGGGCCGCGGAGAGATCACGGAGCAGGAGACAATGGAAGAGCTCGAGGATGACGAGGGCAATGTGTACAACCGCAAGACGTACGATGATCTAAAGAAGCAAGGCTTGATCTGATTCTCTATCGGATGCCTTGTTCTCTCGTGCCTTGTATACTTGCTAGTTGTATCGCTGCTTTGCAGTGTATTTTCGCCCCGTTAGTCTCACACCGTGGAAGTAACCATCGGTCCCGAATATATCTAACCATCTGGACACGAAAGCTTGGAGGAAATAGCTCCGGACGCCCCAGACAGTCCAGATATCGGGCATTGGTGAATACATATGACGGCCAAGTACCGATTGAGGCATCAGGCAAGCGAACCTCTGAATATTCCTATTTCTCGCGTTTGGCCAATGTCTGGCACCCGGCTTATTAGTTCCTCCAGTGGAGAACGAATCACGATGCCCCGGCGAATGTCCCGGGCCCCGACCATTCGCACGCGAACGGCGTCTATATCATATAGTATATGGCTCCTAGGCCGTCTCCCGGGGGGTTAGGATCGCCGTCGACAAGACGATGTCCCATGCTGCGTGGATATATTATGGCCTGCGAATTGGCCCTAACAAGTAATTCTAACTACTCATGAAGCATCTCTCGATGGCAAAGCCCACGATGGAAGAGAAGTTCCCGCAAACTTGTACAAGTGGCCTAGATAGCGTGCATTTACTGATACTTGGCCTGAGCTTTGTCCGTGGTCTCATAGCTATATGTGAGATACATAGGGAGGGCGCATATGTACTACATCTAATTCATCTGGGACCAATGTCAGCCTCAGTTAACGTGAGGCTTGCGCGAAGGTGGTGGCGGTGGTGGCGCTTTTTTAGTGGGCACGAGTGGAGCATGAATCTTGAGAGCGCTATTGAAGAGCGCCTCGTCCGAGCTTGACGGACTTGCGGACAACATACCCGTCCCGTCAGAGTCCCATGGATTTCTGCCATCTTCGTCTTCATCACTGTCCGACTCGTCCATTGGTACAACACCACCAGGATGTGCGGAGCTCTCCCACCATGCCTCCGTTTCCGAGCTGGGTGGAGGTAGTAGCATCGCTATGACGATGCTGATCAGAGACCACGTATATCAGGCAAGGCATCACTCGTACATTCAGGGTGATCAGTTGTGTCCACTCTCAGCGTAGCAAGCTTCTCGTCGAGGGTTTCTCCCGGTGCAGTCGATGTCACACCTTGGGTAAGCGCGCGCGCCAGAGTTGCCTTCTTCGCATGGTCTACGACGCGCACAGTGGCTCGGAAGAGCGCATACACAGGCTTATGATCACTTGTCCGAAGCTCGGCGCGATTGTAAGACACGAGTTCGAGTGGTGCTCCTGGGGCCTTGTACACGATGCGATCTAGGCAATACGTAGCCAACATTCAATCACGTTAACGAATGGAGATGAGGAGAGAATACGTACCCGTCCATGCAGGAATGCGTGCCTTCTCGCTCGTGTCATACGTATCGGTACCAGCGTCGTACTTGTATGTGGGCCTGAAGCGAAGCGGGCCCTCAATGTAGCCGGGGAACGCTGTTCCCGCGGCCCTTTCAGCGCCTAACTGATCGGCTGCGAGTAATGGATCAAGATCGTTCGCATGCACATGCGCTCGTACGAAGTCATTATCGCCGTCAATCCTGTAGTTCGTGTCGGCTAGCCACACCACAACACTAATCAGGGAATGAGTGAATATCTTCAGGTGAGTACGCGTGGGCAAAAGACAGACGTACTCGTGATCGTCAATTGCTTTCCCACGTTGGAAGTGAAGACCTTGGGCAATGGTCCAATAATCTGCATTACGCTCTTCGACATTAGAGTGTCCAGCGGCGAGGTGTGCCGTAATGAAGCAGAAGCTGGTGTCGAATAGTTCCAAGCGTACGCCAACCGCGCCCTTATTGCCGCTCATCCCGCGCAATCCGGTTTTACGCGTCGCAGCCTCTACCGCACGTATCGTACCCAGATGCTCCGCGCGCACTAGCACGATTAATGCGGTTCCCACCAGCTGCTGGCTTCGCAAAAGGATATAATCAGTCGTCTTTTTGGGTCGGCGCGCCAGGGCGTCCATGAGTTTATTCTCCCAGAGACGTCTGGAATCAATTAGATCAGACAGAGCAGATGTTCACGCGAGAGTGGCGGACGCACTTTTTCTCCGGATCAGTTTGTACGATCTGCTGTGCAGTCAGTGGTACGATTTCTTGAAATCCGATGACGATGATGTCCGGTCTACGGGCTGGTGAGTCAAGGAATCTCACAGTTCAGGATATGTGCGTACTCTGATATGCTATCGTTTGGCTGGATCCATGGCAACAACGACTCGAGACTCGGGGCCTATGACAGAAACGCTCAGCAGGAAGGAGGGAGGCCGTATGTGAGGCTCATACCCTTCCATTTAGATTCCAAGTCCCGGCGAGCACGGTGCACGTGCGAGTCGACGAATACTCCCCGACCCTCTTCGCAAGTGCTGCGTTGACAGTATCATGGACAGGATCAAAGATTGAAACCTGTCGTTGGCCGCCCAGGTTGCCAAGGAATAGGTCGATGGCGGCCTGTTTGCTTTTGTCCGTGAAGTTGTTGATGTATGCGCGACTGACACTCTTCGTCGCATCGCTGAGTAGACCGCCCAGTGTGCGCTTTCCGCTACGTGTGAATGACGTATTCAGGGCTCCTGTGCCGGCGTAAATGCGACTAAGCGCGTCTCCGTTCTCTGCCCAGAGCTCGCGATGGTATCCCCACAGTGCCTGTGCGCCCGTCCACTCCGGGCGCACAAGGAGGAGATACTGTTCGAGCGTTGTTCGCGATAGAACATCCTGCACAAAATTGGTGCGATCAAGACTAGGGTGCTTCATTAGTATGAGTATAAGGCGTTACGAAAGTGAATACGCCAAGCGCACCAATCAAGGCAGTTCGTGCGGAATACGCCCTTTTGCTCTGTAATAATCTCGTCTGTCTGGACATCACACATTGTAAAACCGAATGCGTCGACGTGATCTGAAATGCCCTCCACACGACGAAGTGCAGAGCCCAGACCCTCGTGTCCTTGCACGCGTGCGATAGAATGAAAGTCGAAGTGCGTAATGCCAATGTCGTTGCCCCAAATACTCTGAGCCTGTCTGAGCGCTTGTGAATATGCGGAGGTCAACGCCGCCTCATGATCCTTGGTACCGAGAAGATTCACGGCTTGCAAGCGTGAGTATTCGTCCGTCAACTGTGCGAGATGGCGCTCGAATGCTGGTTGTGATGCCTGGGGGCGGGTGAGTTGTATCTTTTGACCAAATGTTTGCAGGCCCTGCTGCTCCCAGAACACTAGATGAAAGAAACGATTGATGAATATGGATATATGTAGCATTATCATTGCGAAGATACATACAAGGCACACTACCGCGAACTTGTACATAACTGAACGTATTTTGCTCCGTGCAGAAGAGAACCTCCGTCTACCAACATACGGCGCGTGAGAGTTGATGATCAAGTATGTAAAACCCACGCGCACCTCGACGAAGTTGGCTGTATTTCCGTCGTCATCAACGCCGCGGGTGTTGAAACGCGTGCCTGCGCGCTTATACCCCAAGCGGGACACGATGGAAAGTGTTGCGACAACAGGTTTCCCGTGTGTCGGCGGTGCAGGTAGTGGAAGATCGAAGGTCCCAACGAAGCCTTGTATGACGAGCACTAGGAATTGACAAAGATCAAAGTCGACGCGTTCGCGCGGGTCCAACCGCTCGCGGAAGTCAAGCAAACCGCGCGCGATGAAATTGTTCCAGACAAAACGGTCGTCAAACTGCATAGCATCGTGACCCATCCGGTCGCGCATCTGGCGCACGGCCATGCGCGTAGAGATGTCCCACGCCGAGGATGAATGGCGAGTTGATGCCACGGCGTAGTAAAACGTGCCCGAAGACAGCATCTTACTCAGTGGTACGCATGGATGCTCTAGCACTGGCGCTTGATTGGCTGTGACACCACCAGATGTTGAACTAGCAGCACCAAGTGGATCGGCGATGTCGCGCGAAAGTAAATCCGTTTCATTGGCGAGCGTGTCCCAGGCGGAAGAAGTCAGGCAAAAGAAGGCAACTTGGTGAATACGTGCGGCCATCTCTGGCATTTTGGCCGTGGGACGTATATTGCCAATGTCGGTGGCCGAAGTGACCACGGCGAGGAACATGTGTTCGCCGAGCGAGATGAGGCCCAAGCATCCCTTCACGACACGGCCTGTCAGTCGGACCACGGCCGAAAGCTCGATGTCGTCCTTATGTAGAAGCTCGACCACCGCACGGGATGCGTCGTCCTCTGCAGTCCGCACCACTAGTGCCCGTGGCGGACGCCCTGCGGCCTCCTCCTGAGAGCTAGTCACGAGATAGATCGTCCGTGGGCTTTCTCGAAGATACAGATGCATGGTGGGAGTAACGGCGAGCTAGGCGAGCACCTGAGTTTGCGATACGACACGCGAGGAGAGGGCAAGAAGATCTTTACACGACGAAAGCGAACAAGATGGTGGGAGAATGAAAGATGTAATGCGCATCAACGAGTGGAACGCCGGACGCGTCGCGTATGGTGACGTTGATGGGTCCACGCAGGTCCAGGCTAAGCATGTTGAGAGACTCGCGTCGCGCGAGCATGGCGACATCTCGATTGCAACTTGCCCGACGCCGTGTGCATGGTCATTCACAATGTGTTCTTTTGCTGCAAACCATCATCTACACGACGCGTCCAATCGTCCCCAGGATTCATTCCCAGGGCTCCGGGCTGCTATAAGGAGCTATCGAGCTTCTGGCTGATTCATCCTGCGAAGCCGTCACGGGGAAGCCTGGGTATCCAAAAAGCCTGCCGGTGCAACTCGAGAGCTTTGTCGAGGGCATACCTGCTAGTCTACGAATTGTCGCGCCGCCATGATCAGCCGCAGCTTGCTGACTCTACCGACGCTTGGTCCTCTTTCGCGATCTGCATGTCTGCGTCCGTGGCTGAGGTCTACGAGGAATATACACGGGAACCCGCGTCGCTCGAATGCCACCCCAGCATTTCCTTGCGTTGATGCACACGCTGCTCGCGAGACGGCCATCCTGGCAAGGTCCACTCCCTCTGCGGATCCGTCGAACTCTGGACCAGAACCTCCCTACGCTCGACCAGCTCCGACATCCTATCAAGTGTATACGCACACCGAACCCATGCCCCTCGTCTATTCAGACCCATTACCGCGCATCGACATTGCGTACGAGACATGGGGCACGTTATCACCTACCAAGGACAATGTGATCCTCCTTCATACCGGACTTTCCGCATCCTCGCATGCAGCAGCGACAGATGCAAACCCCGCAGATGGATGGTGGCAGAAATTTATTGGACCCGGCCTCGCACTGGACACGAACCAGTTCTTCGTGATTTGCACCAATGTGCTCGGTGGCTGCTATGGAACGACAGGCCCATCATCGACTGATCCTGAAACCGGCAGGCCCTACGGGACAACATTCCCCGTGCTGTCCATCTTCGACATGGTTCGCGCGCAGTTCACCTTGCTCGACCATCTCGGCATAGAGAAACTATACGCCAGTGTGGGCTCATCAATGGGTGGCATGCAAAGCCTCGCTGCTGGCTACCTATTTGCCGATAGGGTGGGGAAGGTTGTGAGCATCAGCGGGACTGCGAGGAGTAGCCCATCAAGTGTTGCGATGCGATACGCCCAAAGGAGTGGTACGTGCGACTATGCTCGGAGCCACTTGATGAGGACTGATGGGCGCGATCATACAGTACTCATGGCGGATCCGAACTGGAAAAACGGCTTCTATTACGATGGTCTTCCACCGCATACGGGGATGAAGCTTGCTCGACGTGAGTGGCGCTTTATCTACAAACACGATCTCTGCTGAACGATACTTTCAGAGATTGCTACCATCACATACCGATCTGGTCCTGAGTGGGATATTCGGTTCGGTCGCAAGGTGCGAGACCTCTCCGGAGGGGTGACCGATGCCAGTCGTCCACGCGTGCCAGCCTTGTGTCCCGATTTCCTCATCGAGACATACTTGGACCACCAGGGCGAACAATTTTGCCTTAAATACGACGCGAACTCTCTCATCTATATTTCGAAAGCGATGGATCTTTTCGACATGACAGAAGAAGCACTCACTGAGCTCCGGCTCACACCCGCGAGTGCACCACCGCCACCGCCGACAGACGATGCACTGTATGCGACGCGCTCACACCCTCCGCCGCATGCTCCCGCACCACATCTACCTGCACTCGCAAAGGGGCTCGAGCCGTTGCGACACACTCCCACACTCGTTCTAGGCGTACAATCAGATATATTATTCCCCGTGGACCAGCAGCGCGAGATCGCGGACGCCCTGCGCATGGCAGGTAACGCACGTGTGAGGTATTACGAGCTCGGCGGGGTGTGGGGCCACGATACGTTTCTACTCGACGTTGCCGGAGTTGGGGGGGCGATCCGGGGTTTCCTCTCATGATAATGGGCGTCTACACTTGATTGCCGGGAGGCGCGCACGAGTGGGAGCAATGGCACATAATCGCCCAGCATGTTGCCTTAGATGGAATACACATAAAGTATGCGCCATGTACTGGTGTCTTCCGTGATGCCTGCGGCACACACCGTTGTACCTCTACGCACCTAGTCCGCCGATGCGCACACAGACTGAAGCGATGATGATCGATGATCTCAGTGCTCTGACCTTTACGCCGAACTTGTGGTTCTTCAAAGGCTTGTTTTGCCATTTCTGGATAAGCGTAGATTCCGCAGGCCGCCGGCTATTTCATTCCGTAAAGCACGCCGCCCGGTGACCTTAACTTCGTTGGTTAGCCGATCGGGCCGATGCGGTTATCTATATGCCTGCCCGACCGCAGATGTTGCCTGGCGTCCTTGCGTGAATGCTCCTTCTCCTTTTGTATATCCTTGGCATGCCGAACTGGCAACTAGACACTGAGCGCTGAGCTTTGACACGTATCACACTCCGCTGTATGATCCCCGTGGATGGCCGGTTACATCTTATGTTCCAGAGAGGCAAGACATGAGCGAAGCGCGGAAAGCCGACGGTACACCCTCGCACGCACATATCCTCAAGCTTTGCGATTGTTCCTCTCTCTCGATGCTTCTAAAGCCCTCGTTACAGGGAACACGTCTCAGACTCATGCGTGAGCCATTCATTGTACAGTGTTTCCGGATCTTCTTCGTTGCGCGACGGGCTCCGAATTCAGGAGTGCGCACGAGTGGCACTCTTTCATCGAAGTTTCCAGTCAGCCGATAATAGTAGCGGGTCTAAAGCATTCGGGCAGGAAGGTGATAGACCGAAGCGCTAGGTCATGGCATATAAGAAGGGGCGCCCTCTATGCGCAGTCCATGGACGTTGTGACAAGCCCCCTACCCCGGGCAAGTGTTCGCCATGCCTGCATCTCAATGGCATCAAGTCAACGCCGAGAGCATCGCCCTACCACAGCTCGGAGCTATTGATCTGACCGTTGTCACCGTCGTTTTCAGTTTCGTGAGTCCTGTCCTCGTTGACAGATGCACATATAGTCGCTAACTCCACTCATCACTGCGAAGCTGTCATACCTTTATTTCAAGACGCGGGAGCCAACGGATTACCCCACTGTGATCGTGCTTCTCATTGTCCTCCCTGGCCTACTTGCGTCCCTCTTGACCTCATCAGATATCACACTGCTACGTGCCCTATTTATCTCTGTCGCTTTACACAACGGCTTGCTAGCACTCTTCACTCTCGTCTACCGTTTGTCTCCTCTTCATCCACTCGCTCGATATCCAGGCCCCGTGCTAGCGCGCATCAGCAAGTGGTATTCCGTATATGTGATTCTCGAGGGCAAGCAGCACATACACTATCAACGCTTGCATGAGCAGTATGGGCCTGTCGTTCGCGTCGGGCCGAACGAGCTCTCCATGAACGACCCCGTAGCCGCACACGATATGCTCAGTCATGGCGGCTTACCGAAAGGACCTTGTATGCCAATGTACTTCGCAATCCTACCCTCACTAACTTCGCGCATAGTCTGGGATGGCTGGGGCCAACCCCCAACACTCATCGCGACACGAGATGTGGCGGAGCACGCGCACCGCCGCAAAGCCTGGAACCGCGCACTGTCAGCCGCAGCTGTACGCGATTACGAGGGTACAATCGCCACGCGCAGCCGGCAGCTCGTCGAGCGGTGGAAGGCCCTCGTAGAAGCGCAAACTAACGAGAAGGCGACATACAAGTCCGCTCTGATCGACCTGTCCCGCTGGATGGGCTTCTTCACGTACGTCGTGCCGCATGCTGTCCGGCGTTCGCTGCTTCTTTCCTTCTGTAGCTGACCCGCTACGACAGGGCCGATTTCATGGGCGATATGGCGTAGGTGGAAAGCTTCTGTTCTTTATGTGATGTTAACGAAAGTAGGTTCGGCGGTGGATTCGAGCTCATTCGAGACGGCGCAGACATTCAAGGGATGTGGCACATCCTGGAGTCCGGCGTCAAGTTAGTAACCTCGGGGTTCTAGCTATCGGGAACCCGGGCCGATCGAAGCTCACCTGCGTTTCAGGTCCAACGCTATTCTAGCCCACGTATCCTGGTTTGCGGTGATGTACCGGCGCATCGTGGGCGGAAATCGGGAGAGGCTGCGTGGTTTCGCGAGAGAGAACGTCCAACGGCGGCTGAAGCTCGGTGCGGACCGCAAGGATCTGTTCTATCATCTGGTACGTATCCTTCGAGTAGGCAGCCGCAGCATCGCAGATGACGACATCGAATCAGAGCGACGAGGAAGGCTACGAGCCTCGGCCGCTTCCCCCAGATCATCTAGCTAGGGTCTGCGCTGAGGGTACGCTTGCGATAGTAGCAGGAGCGGATACCACAGCAACCACGCTCACAGGCGTACTCTTTCACGTTCTGAGTGATCTTCGAGTTCGCAAGCGACTGCAAGAAGAAGTAGATGCGACGTTCCCCGATGGACAGGAGCCATTGGACACACTGAAGTTGAGCAAGATGGACTTCCTCACTGGCTGCATGTACGACATTCTAGTCCTTGGCAGGAAAGCCAGTGCTGATTGAATCCGGGTCTTAGCAACGAATCACTGAGGCTATACCCGGCTGTCTTGACGGGCTCTCAAAGACGAGTCGAGCGCGGAACCGGCCAGCGAACTCTGGGGACTTGGGTGGTACCCGAAGAGACACAAGTATTCACGCCGACATATGCTATGCAACGGGACCCGCGCTTCTTCTCCAGCCCTACAGCCTTCGTACCAGAGCGCTGGCTCAAAGATGGGGGTGCATCGACGCATGCCTTCTTGCCATTTTCGGCCGGTCCCACGACTTGCGCCGGAAAGGCTCTCGCAATGCTGGAGATGCGGATGCTGCTGGTACGGCTTGTGCAGCAATTCGACTTCGTGATGCCAACCGGTGAAATGAGTCGCACAGCTGCAGAGTGGCCGGACACGCTAGAGGACTTCTTTGCCGCTCATAAGGGGCCCCTCCCTGCAATCGTGTCCCTTCGACCATGAGCCCATGTACTTGCACTCCTTGTGATCCGCCATTATGCGAGACATGCAGCGCCCTGTGAAACCCTATATGCCGCAAAGATTATGTACAGGCTCCAATGAACAGTCCTGTCCGAATATCCAATATCGTTCATCGCCTTTTTAACATATTAGGAGTAAAATCGCGTAGGTCATCTCCGACAGAGTTCGCACGCCGTGGTGGGGAGCGGACGGGGAAGTCTGGGGTCAAGTGTTGTTCGAAAGAGCCGGCGCGCGTGGGTGAGGCCGGCATGTTATTGAAGGAGAACGTCGGTGTCCCAACAGGTGATGTTGGCCTGCTGGGACCTGGCGAGCGGGGCGCAATGATCCCTTCGTTTTGCACGCGGCTCTTAGAGCGAGAGAAGTAGTTGAACGGTTGCACCAATGAACGGAAGAGTGATGTTCTTGGCGCTGGCGTTGCAATATCGAATTGCGACTTCGTAGGCGAGGTCGGCGCTCCTGAAAGGTCTTTCAGCGCAAGTAGCCAATGGGAGAACGAAGAGCCTACCTGTCGGCAGTGCGTGATCATTCGCACTCAGACTCAAGAATAGGAACAGAGGTGCGAGCCACACGCATACACCAAAGAATGTAGCCATCTCTCCGAAACTAGGAGGCGTGACTTTCCATAATCTCCGCGGAGTCTGTCGGGCTTGATGTGTGAGGTCGGCAAAGTAGAAGAACCACAAGAAGTGGTCAGCGATGACCAGCACGCATGAAGCGATGAAGGAAGGCGAGACCAGGGAGATGACCGGCCAAGAGTGGGAGAAGTTCTGCAGGTACACCAGGTGACAGAAGATAGAGAAGACGATGTGCCACAGCGGGAAAGATTCCGAGTAATAGAGCACGATGTGCAGAGCTATAATTACCTGCGCGTAGTTGTTAGCCGAGTTGCATCTAAACGCCGAATTGTGTGTGACGCACATAGATTCCGCGTGTGCCAATGACCTTGGCTGGTCTTGAGTGCTCTTCGATGAGTTCTGAGATCCAGAGAAGGCCGCTGGCTGGCAGACACGTCAGCTTGGCGCGATGAAGCTCAGCGTGTAACGTACCGATCGCGAGAGTGACGAAAAGAAAGGCGGCTACCGCAGCGCCATAGCTGTGTTACGCGTAAGCGGGTATTCGTATGCAGCCCATAGGCGCGAGATCACCTAAGAAAATGAAGAACCGACATGGGGAGTAGAGCCAAAAACGCGGAGTAGACGCGTTCAGAAACAAGGCAGTCACACGTGGTCGTGGCCATGACTTTTCCCGCGCATAGGCGCAGCCACACAGCGGCGGGGGCGGCGCTTCGCGAGTTGATCTATACCCACCATCATGAGCCAACTCGAGAGTGCGCTGCTCCATCGCCACGCGCATCACTGTCTCAAGCTGACCTAGCGGCACAGAACAACTGTTCCAGCTCAAAGTCCGTCGGTCTGCATACTGCTCTGCACAAGTCCTCACGAGTGTATTAGTTCACGGCGAAGACGCTGAATCGCCAGGCGAAGAAAGCACAGAAGGACGAGAACTCTGAGAAGACACGTCTGAAGAAGGTGCGCGACCGATTCTGGTTGTGGTTTCTGTCTTATCTCATATCGGGCCCCAGGCACTGCAGCAGGGCAACAACGATGGCGCGCGTATCTACGCCTCCAATGCGATTCGCAAGAAGAGCGAAGCATTGAATCTGTTGAGGCTCGCCAGTAGGATAGACGCCGTGGCGAGTCGCGTGGAGACCGCCGTCACGATGCGACAAGTGACCGGGAGCATGACGAACGTGGTGAAGGGTATGGACAAGGCGATGGAGAGCATGAACCTTGAGCGGGTACGGCGCCCAGTCTTCTCACCGCGCTCTCTGACTGATCGGTTTCTCACAGATATCGCTTGTCATGGATAAGTTCGAGTCCCAGTTCTCCGATCTCGACGTGCAGACCTCGTACATGGAGGACACCATGGGCGCAACTACTGCCGTTAACACGCCACAGGACCAGGTCGACGGCTTGATGCGCCAGATGGCCGAGGAGGCTAACATCGAGCTTGCACACGATCTAGCCGCGCCAGATCTGTCTGCCGTCAGGAACACGCCCGAAGCGGAACTCGTCCGAGAGGAAGACACGAATCTTGCGGAACGGCTACGGGCGTTGCGACCTGCTACATGATTTCATTTTCGTGCCATCTAGAAAAGCTTGTCTCGGGTTTGGTGTTCGCGATATCTCAACGCTTTCGATTTGTAGGATGTATCACTGTACATTAATCTGGTCCCTTCCATGCTAAATACCAAGTTTCGCAAGAGGATGGCGGGTGAACGAAGTCAGATGTTGCTTAGCCCGATGCGATAGTTACCAATATTAGCTTCATGATGCGTATGCTGAGCCTGCAACTTGTGAGTATGAGTCGGCAATGTCCCTTGTGTTCAAAACTCCCTAGGCCTTCCCAGGCTTCCCTCAACCCATGAACGGATTACACCTGCACATCAACGCCCTCACCCCGAAGCTCGCGAAACTGCCAATGACCAATCCTCCCACCAAACAAAAGCTGATGACGGTAGCAGCGATGTCAACGTCTTCCCTCCTCTCCTTCAGCCTCTTATTGTGCTCTAGATTTGGAGCGCTCATCATGCACATGCTCCCGACATAGCCATTGCTCAACCCGAAGAGCAGCAGTATCAAGAAGAATAGAGCGTCGCTGTTGATAAACGGTGTTGTCCCGGGGTTGATGTTGCATAGGAGGAACAGAGGGATAAAAAGCGTGCGGGCCAGTGAGAAGGCCAGAAGACGTTTGTCGTTCCAGGTCAGGAGGGCGGGGAAGGAGCAGAGTGACCGCCCAGCGAAGTCACCCAAGTTGAAGATCAAGAAGTGTACGGATGTAAAGATGAGCGCGTTTGTGTCCGGATGTACGGGTTGCACTGAGATCGTAATCGGCGGGTACACGGACTGCAGGGAGCCAATGTCAATTACTTCCAAGGTTGTGCGATAAACAGGGACAACATGCGTACCAGAGTGACGATGAACACGTACGCGACAGCCACCTCGTATACAAGATTGCGCCCCGCAATGTCCAGGATACGGGCCTTCGCGTCCCGAGTAGGCGGTGCAATGCTATCTGTGCTCTCAGCGAGGAACGCGCGCTCCTCGCCCAGATCGTGCGATAATCTGCGGGTCCAAGTACGCGTATGTGTTTCCGTAGGAGCAACAACGGCCTTATACGCCGGTAGCTGTGACATCCATACGCTTGCGGAAGCAGTCACAAGCAAAAACAGCGTGCTCAGGCCAAAGAACGCACGAGCGGATCGCGCCGCAGCGTCGTCCTGTGCCAGTGCGAGGGCGGCGGGACCGAGGTCGCTCGAAGTATGCACGGAAACTGTGGCACTGAACAGCTGCACGACCGAAACGACGATAGCGACGGCGGCCTGACCCGCCATAATGGCCTGTAGGACCCTCGGCCCGAAGAGCGAGCCCACAGCGAAGACGGCGGTCTGGAGGTACGAGCCTGTGCCGGCCATGGTCACACCGGCGACGAGTACCACAGCCGCAAATAGTCCGGGAGGCAGTATGATGAAGGTCAACAGTGTGAACAAGACACTGAGAAGCGCAAGTTGGATTATCGCCCATCGTATCCTTCGTGCTGGGGAGCTCTGCGGTAGATGAGTCAGGTGGCGACAAGGTTGTTCCAAATTCACGCACGTTCTTGGTAGTAGCTGTCGCATGAGCGAGGAAGGTGAAGTTGGAGATGGTGAATGAGACAGAGAGGTACGAGCTAAAGAGCTTGTATATGGAGGAGCCTTCCAGTCGTGAGAGGAAGAAGGGTGTGGCCGTTATCAGCACTGTCAGGCGCGTGTTTTAGTACGTCTTTATACTACAGCAACTTTAAGGGCCAAGCTGCGCACCATTCCACGGAAGTAAGACTGCGCATCCGAGTAGGAAATGCACCCAGCGGATACGCGAGTCCGGCGGTAAGTTGTGTACCTCGACACCGTCTAGTTCGTCTTCCTCGGCAAATACACCGCTGTCTTCGAGTACTACCGGCGGTACTGCAGCTTCCAAGGATGTCGGCACGTGTGGCAGCGACTGATACGGCGCGTCTTGGGACGATATTGAAGACGATCTCCGCCTGGAGTGCATTGTGGCGGAGAGCAAGAAGCCAATAGGGGCACAGAGATTGCGCGCGAACCGAGACGCGTCGCGACGCGTCTCGGGAAATCAGCTTTACGCTTTCGGCTACTTCGATCAATCATCTTTCGTCGTGTAGAGTGGTGCATTAGGTAGTGTATGCGATGAGGTAGTGTAATGTCATGTAAACTATGCCGTGACCTGCGGAATGACCTGGTTGGGCGCATCCTGGAGAACGAGGCGGTCAAGCAGAGCCTCCTTCCTCTTCTCGCGACGCTCCTTGCGCACACGACGAGCCTCAGCGCGAGCAACATCTCCGCGGAGCTCAGCACGGCGGCGAGCCTCGGCCTTGTCCTCGGCATCCAGCGTTTGCTTCCACTTCCATGCCGCCTCAGCACGAGCCTCACGACGCGTACGGCCGCGGAGATCCGCGAGTTCGGCCTTGACCATCTCGCCGAGCAGCTCACGCTTGTAAGCCATGCGTGCTTGCCAGCGTGCCTGCTTCTTCGCGCGCGAGTACGGGTTGGAGAGTTCGCGTGTGACAAAGACCTCTACGGGCGTCGCGTACGAGGGCTGGGCAGAGGGAGGGTAGTACAGGTTCTTGATGTACGACTCCTCCACGTCAGGTGCACCGAGTGCGAGAAGTTCCTCCTCCGTGGGGAACGTGTATGTCACCTCCTCGACGGCGCTGGCGGTGGTGTCATACATTTCGTGCGCTGAAGTGAGATGTCAGAAGCGATAGTACAGAGTGAAGCATTTCCACGTACGCTCGCGGTCCTTGTCCTCCTCCTTCACGTACTTGGGCCACGGTATCGGTTGCTTGAGGACGTCTGGAGGTAACCGCGGGTTGGAAGAGAGCGCAAAGCGTTTCCAGTTCCAGATGCCAGCAGCCTGGTTCCACCACTGCTTACCACGTCCTAGACGTGTTGCGAAAACTCTATATCATCATATCAATATAAAGAACAATGGCTATAGAGCAAGATAGTCACGCACGGTTGTGGCAGTTTCCTGCCGGGGAACTGGTGCATGCGGATGAAGAGCTGTAATCTGGAATAGTGCACATTCCACGTCTTTTCTCGCTCCTCCTCCTCTCCTGGTGGGGTATTCTGATCACACAATCAGCATGGAGCCCATACAGCGCTCAGATACCGACCAACACACCTTCTTCTCCTCACCCTCTGCCGGCGGCACCCGCAACCTAACCCGGTTCGTGATCTTATTCACGTCCGTGACCTCCAGCATATCCTTAATTTTATGCCCCCGCACGCGCACTTTGTCTCCCGAGACGAAGTTCCAGTACTTTATGCGCTCCCGTGCAATCTTGAGTTTATTCCGCTCGAGACGCGGGATGGGCAGCATGTGCCGCAAGTCACGCGTGCCGGTCGTGCGGGCCCATGACGAGCGCAGGACCTCTGCAGAGGTGAGCGGCGCCGGCGGCATGATTGGCCGGGGTGGGTCGGTAGGTGGAGGTGGTGAAGGACTGCAGACAGCGGCCAGCAAACGCGACTTTGGACAGACGCGCTTCGGCGTGTTCGGGCCGGTCCATGCTTCTCGCCACTATGTAGCTTTCTCGCGCGGTTGTCATTTCGTCTTGACTCTCATGCCCTGACTCTATCCGTCAGGCCTGTGTCCTGACGAATTCGGACTGGGTGGTCACGGCTTCTTTGTAACAGAGATACATAGTGCGAGGTTGACAGTCGGTTTGATGTCTTATCTTTGATTCTCGGAGGTCACGTTTTCGTCTCCTTTGCTGGATGGTTTGCACCCACTGAAGCGGTCTTCTCTTCGGTGTTCTTACACTTCACGCCGAGCAATCATACAACATCGAGCGATGCAAAGTTCCATTGATCCAAGTATTGTATCCTAGATTGCTCGAGTCCCGAGAAGTGAAATGTACTTCAAACCACTTGCCATGACGCCGCCAGCGGCGCATTGACAAAGACCGTGGGCCATGGCATTACGAGTGTCATGCGGAGCGAGTCGCTCATTCGAGGTCGTCGATGGAGCGCTTCGCCATGCTTTCCTCGAGTTCCGAACGCTTCAGGTTGGAGAAGAAGTTCTCAATGGCAGAGAGAGAACGCGCGTCGTGCTCGTCACGCTTCAGGTTACTGAAGAAGTTCTCGATGGCGGAGAGGGAGCGCTTGTTGAAGATGTCGTCGATAACTCCCTCAATCGCAGACAGCGAGCGCCTGGCGAACGTCAGAACAGCGAAGGTATAGGCGAAGGCGAAACGGCGTACCTGTTGTTGCCGAGCACGTCATTGGCTGCTGCGCCAGTCGCCAATGAGGCGACGCCGCCCGCGATCGCAGTGCCGACTGCCTTGAGTGAGCGTCCCTCAGTGGCGTCGAGGATGTCCGTGTCGATCACGCCGGTGTCCGTGTCGATCATGATACCTGAGTCAGAACGTCTGACGAACGAGTCAGTTGAGGTCCGTTCGAAAGGAGTCAAGACGCCCACTTGTTGTTCAAGACAGCATTGCCCACGGCGCCAGCCACTCCAGAGGCAATACCGCCTGCAACAGCAGTACCGACCGCTTTGAGCGAGCGTGCGCCGTTGGAATCCGGCACATCCATATAGATCAGACCGCTATCGGTGTCCACCATGAGACCTGAGTCGGCACGCCTAATTTATCGCTCAGCAAAGGCAACCTGCGCAGTTTTTGTTGGCCACGCACTTGTTGTTGAGAACGGCGTTGCCCACAGCACCGGCGACACCAGAAGCGACGCCGCCTGCCACAGCAGCGCCGACAGCCTTGAGTGAGCGGCTGTCGTTCACATCCGCTACGTCCATGTAGAGAACACCGGTGTCGGTATCAATCATGACTCCAGAGCTGGAGCGCCTAGCAAATCTATCAGTAATGGAATACGTACATATGGGAGCAAAAAGATATACCTGTTGTTCAGAACGGCGTTACCGACCGCGCCAGCTACACCGGATGCGACACCGCCGGCAACTGCAGCGCCGACGGCCTTCAGCGAACGACCTTCGTTCGCATCAGGGACATCCATGTACAACGTGCCAGTCTCGGCATCGATCATCAGACCAGAAGGGCCAGAGCGCCTACATGTGCATTTAGACTAACCTAATTGATGAAGATCAAGGACTACATACTTGTTGTTCAGAACAGCGTTGCCCACGGCACCAGCAACGCCGGAAGCAACACCACCAGCGACCGCTGCACCAACAGCCTTGAGCGAGCGTTTGTCGAAGATGTCGTGAACAACGCCTTCGATAGCAGAAATCGAGCGGGCATCCACGTCCTCGCCACGCTTCAAGTTGCTGAAGAAGTTCTCGATGGCCGACAGAGAACGTTTGCCGAAAATATCGTCGACGACGCTCTCAATAGCGGAGAGCGATCGCGCATCGACGCCCTCTCCGCGCTTCAGGTTACTGAAGAAGTTCTCGATGGCCGAAAGAGAGCGAGCGTCGAGCTGTTCGTCGCGCTTGAGATTCGAGAAGAAATTCTCAATGGCTGACAGCGAACGCTTGCCAAAGATGTCGTCGACAACGCCCTTGATAGCGGAGAGTGAGCGCGCATCGACGTCTTCATCACGTTTCAGGTTTGAGAAAAAGTTCTCGATAGCCGAAAGGGAGCGAGCATCAGCGTCGCGCTTGGCTGTGGTGGGCCCGAGAACGTCCTCAGCGAAGTTGCCGATCGCATTGCTGATCGCGTCGATGGAACGAGCGTCGTTGAAGGCGGTAGGGGCGCCGATGACCTGGGAGGCGGCGAAAAGAGTAAAAGCAACGGTAGCAGCGTGCATGGCGTAGTGGTTGAAAGCGTGAAGAGAAGTAGGAGACGTGAAGTCGTAAGAACAGAAAGAGTTTGGCCTGAGAGATGTGGAAATGAAGACTGAAAGAAAGTCGAAGGGGACTCGAGGCAACCAGCACCTGAGGAACGAAAGTATGAGCACAGCTGGAGAGCAATGGAAGAGCCAGCGGCTGGTTTTATACGATTGGTAGGACTCGCGCGAGGCCAGCGAAGGACCCCGCCATCAAATGGTGACCGTCAAAGCTCCACCCCGTCGAGCGCTAGTTGTTGTGTGGCTGCGCACTAAGGGACACGCTCGCAGGGCTGTTTACCCAGGGTTAACCTCGATGCTACTGACAGATGCGATTGAAGAGTCGTTGCTCACTTTTGCGGCTTAGTACACCTTGAAGTAGTCGGTTTTCATGTAGGCCTTGAGAGACGTGCGCTCCCAGAAGCGCTCCACAACGAAGATGTTGCGGCCATAGAGCCCGACAGTAAGTACGTGGAATCAACCGTTGCAGCGCGTTGTAACTGAACGGACATCATCGGCTTCAGCAAAGTGTGGAGCATCCGACCCGCTGATGCATTCGGCCCTGCTAGGAAGCCTCGGAAGCCAGCGACGACGTTGCGAATAGCGAGAAAACAGGGTGCTCTTGCAATCGTCCGTCAAAGAAGCTACACCGCTTGATATTCAGTAGCGCATCCACACGTAGCGCCGATATATATCACAGTCACGGTGACGATCTTGCCCTTGGAGTTATCCCTGCACAGCACCTTGAGGGTGACCGGCGACGGGGGGAATCATCGGAGCGTTCATCACAGTGTTCATGGCGCCCGTAGGCGCTGAAAATAGTTGCACGTCAATGAAGTTAAGCTTCGCAACGTGGATCAACGTCCAAAATGCGTACTGTGCGAGATGTCCAAAAATCACATGTTGAGGCAAGAGCAGCCATGGGTATACGCCAAGTGAGTGCATGCATCAGATATTCAGTCCCGTCAAGTCTCAAACAGACGTAGCTTGTTGAAGAAACTCAGATATCCGGGACGCAAGACGAGCGTATGATAGCCCGCCACATACATTCGCGAGACATTCCTGTTATGCATTTCGGAGGTATACTGAGCACCTAGACTAGAGGGCTATGGTGGTCATGGAAGAGGTGAACGGCATTGACATGCGCGTCCATCGGTGATACCGGGCCGATCACCGCCGGGGCGGTGCTCCTCCGAGTCTCAGCTTTCCACGTACTGTAACTTAGCAGCGCCCGTCGTCATCAGCGCAGTCTGCCGCTTTCTTACCGGCGCAACTGAGCCGCATCTCAACTCTACTGACAGTGACAACGAACACGAACTGTCATCATCGATAGAGCTCATGCTCTCTCCAAACTGAGCAACTGAATCATGTCCCAAAGTTGGTTCCTCGCTCAAGTGCGCTAAACGCCTACATCCCATATCCTGCTGCAAATCTCTCTGAAACCCCGGTATGTACAACTCTTATTCCTGAAAATTCCATGCTCAAACAGTCTTACTCGTGCTGTTAGCCAAGCGCTGGTATCACGTCTACGTAGAAACCATTATGTGGACGGCCTTTGTACCTCCTACTCTCCTACTACTCAGGACGCAGATACCGCTCGATGGCCTCAATTATCAGAGGCGGGACTAGCTCGGGGACTTCCCATTTCAGGACTAGTGCTTGGCTGGCCCCTCTTCAGCCGCGTGTCTGCGACTTGTGGCATCTTTTGAGAACTTTTGATCATACCATTCTTATCCGACGCTAGCTAAGAACAGGGGGAAGCACCGAGCACACACCCAAGACTGGACATTGAGCTTGGGCGTAGTATACATGCCGGGCGCCTAGGCACAGTGCTCAAGCGGGTCAAAAGAGTACACCGCGCCTCGTACTGCGCATAGCTACGAGACACTTCACTGGCCCCCTTTATGCCCGTTCAGAATGGACACCACCAACCTACTCAGTCCGGCCGCCATGCATGATGGGTGCTAAATCGCCACTTGTGGCAAAACAGTAGCTCGTGGTGACGGATGCTATCATATTTTAGGAGTACGTTCCCTACAACTTAGCAGTTGGCGGCGCGTCACACAGCAACTCGAGCGGCTGAGCGGCTCAAATCTAGTGTGGACTAACTCCTTTTGAGAAAACGGCGGCCATACACAATACATTTCACTACACGGGCAGCCGGGCATCTCCGTGCGGGTATTGATATGGAGTCCGCTATAAAGGCACGATGGTCGTCCCCTGTTTCTGGGCACCTCATCGCACACCCCTCACCCATATTTCTCCTCTATGTCATTGTGGAAGCTTCCTTTCCTCTTCGCTGGCACGATGGGCACTTGGCTTGCCCTCACCCCGCCACAGCAGCCGGCTGGCAAGACCGAGCTTGCAAAGAAAGAGGGTCTCGAGAAGTACTTTGGCTCCGTCGTGCTTTTACATGCATTCGTGTGGAAGGTCAGCGACCTTGTTTGCCTACCTGTTGCGAACACGGAACAACCTACTGATGTTTCCCTCAGACAACTGTCATCACGAGCACCGTTCTCGGCATTGCCTCCATTATGGGCGCCCACATCCCGTCGCCGCTGCATACTCCGCCGCCTCCGGATTCGCCGACACCAGCGTCCACATCGATCTTCCTCGCCGGGATCGCCTTAACCCTTGCATCGGGTCTCATCCGCGATGCCTGCTATCGCACCCTTGGCCGTCTGTTCACGTTCGAGATCACTATCCGCCCACAACACCAACTCATCACCTCGGGTCCGTACGCGTGGGTGCGCCATCCCAGTTACGCTGGCGTGGTGTTCGGATCTTTCGGAACATTGCTATTGCACTTCGGCCCCGAGACATGGTTCGCCACGGTCATGCTACCAACATTGGTGGGGAAATTGTATGTCGCAGTGTGGTGCGCTATCGAGGCATTCGTGCTCTGGAGCATACTCGCGCGAGCACCACTGGAAGATAGACTGTTGCGCAAGCAGTTTGGGCAGGAGTGGGAACAATACGCGGCAAGGGTCCGCTGGAGGGCCATACCCGGCATCTTCTGAACTCAGTATTACTCATAGGTCAACAGGACAGGGTCGGATATGTATTGCACCTATTGTATGATTTATGTGAATAGTTCAGACCTGCTATATACACCAGCCGCCAGAGTCTGCCTCTTACATATCGTCGTCGTCTTCCACCATAATCAGCCGCAACTTCCAGCCAGGCTTGTCTTCATCCGGTTCGTCTTCCGCCCAAAGCAAGTCTTCATCGTGTAGATCGCCATTAACGCGCGGTGACTCCATATTGAGCTCTACACCAGTTTCGATATCGACGTCCTCTTCTTCCTCGCGCATCTTACGCTTTGAGATCTCGTTTTCATCTTCCTATGCCAGGCATCAGGATGATGATAGGCGGGGAGGTATATCAGCGCACAATATCGAACTCATCCTCACGCTCTTCGTATTCAACATTCTCGTCGACTTCTTCAAAGCCCCCTGCGAATGCACCCCAACGTTCCGGCGAAGGGCAGTGCCAGATCAGTACATTGCCCTGGTTCGTCGTCGATACGATGGACGGCTTAGATGGATGCCACTGCGCAGATAATCAATTGTACTGTTCTCTTGTATGCGGGAGATGGACTTGCGTGCGCATGCAGCAGCGGTTCACGTCCGCCATCAAGTGTGCTCGTGAACCGACCATCGTTGACGATGTCCCAGATGTATATCTTGTGCGTTGCATTATCTGATGCACCGCCCGCGAGCCATTCGCCATCGGGACTGTACATCATGACGTGCCAGGCGTTTCTGTTGATTGGGTCACTGAAGCGGTGCGTGGGTTCGAGCTCAGTGTCCAGGTAGAAGTAGTCATCGGATGGGATGGGGTATTTCGGAAGATTGAACTGACGCAAGACGCGGTCGGATGAATTAGTCACCAGGCGGTGTCCGGCTCTTGTGAACTCGAGCCCGCGGATGACGCCCGCACCGGATAGTCTGTGTCTACCGACGAGCTTAGCAACCGCGCTTGGTCAATACGGCGTGAGTGCACGAGCTTCGAACGGCTTACCGATTTTGTTCGGGAGTTGAATACGAGGATCATGCCTGCCGTGGTTCCACAGAATAGCAAATTGCCGCTCGGATTGAAGCGTATCGTAGAAAAGTGGCCGGATGCGTGAGGCTCGTCTCCCTCTTCGTACGGCTCCTCCAATTCCACACGACTCCTGTATTTTAACCGCAAATCAATAATATACGCGTCTCCAGAGGATGTCAGGGCCGCGATAATCTGACTGAGATGTACTGTCAGCGCAGAATCACCGTGTCGAGTACGTATACGCGCCTATTCTTTGGATGAAACCATGCACATTGTACGGCTGCGTCAAAGCGCAGGGTTGTATGAGGTTGTGGAGGATCGAAGTCAGCTGCCAGATCCCATACATTGATGTTCCAGTCCTTGGATGAGGACAGGACAAAGCGCGAATGGCGGGACCAGCTAATCGGACGCGTTAGACGCGCCGCGATCCTAGGATTACGGTGCGGCGCACTCGATGTTTGTTATTGCCCGGACATGTCCCTCAAGCCAGCGTACCGTGGCACGTGTTTCGAGATCCCAGACGAGTACCGCGCCGTTGTGCTGGCCTGCGGCTACATAGCGTCCAGTCGAGTCGAACTTGGCCAGCAGCGCCTGTGACGGTAATGACGTCTGCACGGCGGTCGGGTATGTGATGTTGAACGGGTCTACGCGTCTTCGCATTGATATACGTTACATTGTTCGCAAGAGTACGCGACATACTGAGCAAACTCGCGTTCATGGTGGAGGGCCTTGACAAGTCATGTTATTCTGGCAGAGCGATCACGCGCCTTCGCAAGCTTCACGCGCGTTGGCTGCGACGCGACGCCGGCGAAGCGCGCTGATTCCGAACGACTCAGTCGACGACGCTCACCACCCGCCCCCGTCTTTGTTCCCCCGCGCGTCTCGCGCCAGTAAGTCTACAATGCCGACTGACTCGCACCAAATATTCAAGGTAAGCGCCCGAAACGCGTCCAATATTTTGGTATTATCAACCGGCTCACACGGACGGACCCTTGCCCAGGCGACGTACAGTGGTATTCCCGTCTACGAGATGTATGTCGGCGTGTCCGCCGAAAATATCTCTCATTCACGCTCCGGGAACGCGTCTAGGATTGTCAAGGGCGTCGCGGTCATGCGCCGCCGCTCCGATTCTTGGTTGAACGCGACCCAAATCCTCAAGGTCGCAGGGTTCGACAAGCCTCAGCGCACGCGCGTGCTCGAACGCGAGGTGCAGAAGGGTGAGCACGAGAAGGTGCAAGGCGGCTATGGGAAGTACCAAGGCAAATATATATCGCACCCAAGCATGCCGTTTGACTTATCCTACTCCCCCGGACAGGTACCTGGATTCCACTTTCCCGTGGCCTCGAACTCGCCAAGCAATACAATTGCGAACCCCAGCTTCGACCCATCATCGACTTTCAACCGGCCGCGAAGAGCCCACCACCTGCGCCAAAGCACATTGTGGCCGCAAGCTCCGTCAAAAAGGGCAAGCCCATCCCACCGGACGCTATCATTGTCGACGACAGTGACATCGACATGATTCACAACAGCGACTCGGACATATCCAGGTCACCAACACCGTCCCTCCAGTCTTCTAGCTCTCGGTCACCTTCACCTGTGCAGCATAGCCCCCCCGCTCGCCGAAGAGCATCGCCCAAACGCAAGGTGCCTCGCCGTGCTGCAGCGGCTGCTGCAAGGGAGCCTACTTCCGATGGCGAGACCTCCGCTGTCAATGGTACAGGCAAGCCACGCCCGTATGGAGATCAGATTTTGGAGTACTTTATCTCGGACTCGAACCAGGTCCCCCCGATCCTCATGAACCCACCGGCCGACTTCGATCCCAACATGCCGATTGACGACGAGGCACACACGGCGCTCCACTGGGCGTGCGCCATGGGCCGCGTTCGCGTGGTCAAGTACCTGCTTCAGACTGGCGCGGACATCTTCAAGGTGAACAAGACTGGCCAAACAGCGCTCATGCGTAGCGTCATGTTTGCGAACAACTACGACGTTCGCAAGTTTCCGGAGCTGTACGAGATGCTGCACCGTTCGACACTCAATATCGACAACTTCAACCGCACCGTCTTCCATCACATCGTAGACGTCGCTATGACAAAGGGGAAGGCGCACGCTGCACGGTACTACCTGGAAACTGTGCTGGAGCGACTCGCCGACTATCCCCGCGAGCTGGCCGACATCATCAACTTTCAGGATGAAGATGGCGAGACCGCGTTAACCATGGCTGCCCGGTGTCGGAGTAAGCGGCTTGTGAAAATCCTCATTGACCACGGTGCCGACCCGAAGATCGCGAATCGCGACGGCAAGAGTACCGAGGATTACATACTCGAGGACGAGCGTTTCCAGGCTTCCCCAGTGGTCTCTAATCGTGCGCTCTCTATGTCGCTGCGTGACGCGCAGCCGGGCGCGTCTATATCTACCTACGCGTTGGGCTCCGCAGGCGGCCCCGAGAAGAGCGCACTGCGCTACAGTAGCGCAGCACAAAGAGCAAGCACACGTTGCGTGGCCGATATGGCTAGTATGCTGGATAGCCTCGCTACTAGCTATGATCGCGAACTGCGCGACAAGGATCGCGATCTGAACCAAGCGCACGCGCTTCTCGCGAATATCCAAGCGGAGATCCTTGAGAGCCAACGAACTGTCGGGTCGCTACGGGCGAGTGCGCAGGGTGTTGAGGAGATCGTCGCCGTTCAACACCAGCTGCAAGGCGAGTTGAACGCGAAGGTAGCTCGAAGCGCTGGCTTGGGATGGCAGAAGTGGCTAACAGATGAGGAGAAACGCGAGGCAGACGTTCGCTCAGCGGGGAACGGAGTCCTCGTGCCGCCTCTGCGACTTGTCACGGGTGAGGATGGTGTGCAGCGCGCAGAGCAGGAAGACATTGACGACATGATCGCCCTCCACTCAAATATCCCCACCGATCCCGCCGCATTACAACAGGAGTGTGAAGCATTGCGGCAGGAGCTATCGCAGCGGCGCGAGCGGAGAGTCCAGCTCATGCATGAATACGTACGCGCCCGAGTCGAGGCAGGTACCGAGGGTCGGATGCAGGAGTACAAGATGCTCCTTGCAGACGGTATGGGTGGCCGCACGCTTATGCTCAATGAACCTGGAGCAGAGAACGACGAGATCTTGAGATTTCTTGAGGTCAGCAGTATTTCCATTCAGCCTCCTCGCCTCGGGTTGACTTGTTCACAGCAATTGATGGAGGCGGAGGAGCCAAGCTCGGGTGCGCCGTCATACCAGGCCGGACAAATCGCGACGGGAAGATAGTTGTGCAATAGTGTACCTGCATCTCTTGCTGTGGAAATGTTCTCGACGTTGCTTTCGGCCTCTTTCAGAGATACCTTTGTTCTGTATAACCACGGTCTGTATCATCGATATGTATCTCAATGCCTGAGAATCCTCTGTTCGGATTTGCCCGGAGGCTGCTGTCAGACCCATTCTGACCCAGTTCGTTAAATATTCCATATCGCCGCAACGCCGCATAACCAGAATACACGTATATACTAACTTGGTGCAGCACGACCTTGAGAGGCCTGCGTGATGGTCGTTTCGAGTTTGATCGACCGTACTTGTGTACGCCAAAGAACTCCTAATAAGGGGCTGTTCGGCAACCGGATATTTTATGTCAGACCCAGATCTAGGGGCAAATCTCGCTCCGCGATTGGTCGAAAGCCGGCGAATGTTCACGAAATGTTCGCCGGCTGCCTTATAAAGGCAAGATATCTCGGATGTCGGACATAATATCAGGTTGCCGAACAGGCCCTAAAGGTTAATCGGGAACTGCCGGCCCATCGTCCGCTGCGACCGCCACTTGCCGACTCCCATCACCTTCACCACTTGACCCATGGACCTCACCGGACGATATTCCTGATGTAGTTCCTTAGAGCGCTGTATAAGTGTAAGCCCGTGCTGCTTGATAGAGCCCACACGAGTCACACGCATTGCCATGAGCCTCAAAGTTCGTTGCACCTCCCTAATAGCAGCCTCCTTGGGTGTCCGGTTTGCAACCTTCTATGAGGAAGAAGGGTTCTGATAGATTCTTAGATGTGGATGCGTGGGCGTGATATCATCTGCCCAAACATGAGCATCCCGACTTGCCCGGGGCTTCACAGCGTACGTGGGAGCTGGGCGCCAGTCTTAGCGGGTCCGGGCGCCCTTGTAGTCCTTCGCATGGCCTCGTGTTGGCCACGCCCCCGATAACTGCGCGGTTCGATCGAGGTACAAGATGTTGGCGCTACTCTTTCTTTCGGTAAGTATAAGAACGGGCGAGCTCCAGCCATCGATCTGGTCATTCTCTTTCTTTCCCTTCTCCTTCCCCCAGCCGTCCTTCACGCGTGATGTCGTTCCTCTTTGAGGACAGCTGGTCGGAGAGTTCCAATCTTTACCTTCTCGACCGGCTCTTCCCGTTTGGGGGAAGTATCCCGGACGTCCACTCAGTGAGCCAAACTACTGTAGCCTGCGCCCACGTTACCGACGCCGCCCATAGCCTCTTTCATACCACGATGCGCCTCAGGACGGGGTCCTGCCCAGTAACGAAGTGAGTGATGTTTGTATCATCCCTCTGTATCCGTCGATCAAACGTGACTCCAGGATAAACACCCGGCCATATGTGGTCACGACGTTTGGATGGGCTCGCCCGAACAAGAGGCGCAACCACTCCTTCGATCAGGCTCCCTATCCCCTCTTCCCGTTACATTGAGGCCCCCCTCACCTCCCTCTGCCTGCGTATCTCCACAGGATATCTTCGCAACCGTCGCGACTTTCGGCGACGATGAAGATACTGACGAGGTTCACCCGCCTTTGTCGCCGGTCCTGACAGGGAGCTCGCCTAGTGGCTCGTCGCCAGGTTCTTCTGCATCCAGTGGTGACAGCATCTTCCTTTCTACCCCGGCTTTCGCATCGGTCCCTCTTTTGTCTCCCACGCAATCGCTCACGATCTTGTCTCTTGGGCCCGCTCCGACGTCTCCGCAGCCTAAGCGCCCCTTCCAGGACTACGAGCCGTCCTCACCGGAGCTCTCTCCTACTCGCAACCGTCATCGGTCGACGACTTCATTTGTTGACAGACTCAAGAGAGGCGGTTCGGATGAGGCCGTCGCGCCGCGGGGGCGCGCAAAGTCTTCCACACTTCGTAGGCGTAGACCCGAGCGTCGCGTTGTCTGCCGGGGCTGCGAACGGGACTTCGGCCGTCTTGCCGAGCTGACCCGGCACAAGAAGTCGAGTTGCCCTGCACGCATACACGTAGGCGACGAGACGTCTTCGGCGAGCCAGCCACATCAATGCAAGAAGTGCGGCAAAGCACTGTCCCGAAGTGATGCCCTCGCCCGGCACGAGAAGGCCGGCGACGGTGCTT